AGTACAGACTCAAGCTGCACAGGCCCTTTCTGGTCAGGCGTGCTTGCAGGCTCAAGGTGCACAGGGTCAAGGTGCCCAGGTTCATGCCTAGGTCCTGTCGGGCAGCGTGCCAGGCGGTTGGTTAATACTGTTGTTTTGCACACACTGCGCAAGCCTTGCGTCTGTCATGCGTCTGTGTAAGACGCAATTCTGCACGTTGTCCTGCGTTTTGGGTGTAGAAGGGCTTCGGATCGCACTGTTGAGGTCTGCCGCTCCCCAAACCAAAGGCATAAACAAACGAACGGTCTTGCCAGTCAGTGCAAGCGTGCTGGGTTAGCTAAGGTGTGTAGTGTTAAATTGTTCTTAAGTAGCATTCCCTTCCCTTAAAATGCTCCCTCACATTCACTTGCCTATTGTGCACCTAGCCGGGGCTCCGCAAAAGGCGTCTTGTTGATCAGCCTGGCGGGCTCGTCTGTGTGCAGTTCTGTGCGTGGCAGCAGTCAGCGGGTGTGCAAGATTCTGCATATCGGGTTTAAGTTTGCTGCTTAGGTTTCTGGTCTGCCTCTCACTCTTGTGACAGTGCTAGTTGCAGCATAGGGCGAAGGCCTTTTCGTGTCAGTTCAAACCCGGCAGGAACACTCCGGTTTCTGTTGGAAAAGTGCCTGGAACAACCGGCAGGAACAAGCCTGTTCATGCTGGAGGGTGCCTGGCGGGGGTACTTCTTGCCACAAGCTCGTTTTGCGTAATTGGCCTGCAATCCAGCGCGGCCCTGTTAACAAACGCCATGGCTCATGGACAGCGCCACCCCCTTAGAGTGCCAAATACAACGGACATCTGCTGGTCTATCTTGCGCAGCACGATGGACACACCCTGCTTGTTACGGCCTTTGTAAGGGAGTAAGCTTCTCAAACAATGCCTAAGTCTTCTCCACAAGGCCCAGAATGTCAAATTGCTGCCCAAACCGCTTCCGGAAGGCCCAGAAGTGCTTTGGCCTATCAAACTGTTGCCTAAACCCTCCCGGAAGGCTCAGAAGTGATTAGGCTAGACCTCTGAAACTGATGCCTCAAACATCTTCAAAAGGCCCAGAAATGATTAGGCCTCTTAAACTGCTGCCCAAACAGTTGCCTTGAAGGCCCAGAAGTGATTAGGCTTCTCAAACTGCTGCCTCAACCCTCCCTGGAAGGCTCAAAAGTGATTAGGCTCTCAAACTGCTGCCTAAAACTTCTCCGGAAGGCCCAGCAATGAGTAGACCTCTCAAACTGCTGCCTAAAATTTCTCCAGAAGGCCCAGAAGTGATTAGGCCCCGCAAACGGCTGCCGGAACCTTTGCCAAAAGGCCCAGAAGGTATGTGAGAAACTGCTGCTTCAATCTTCTCCAGCCGGCGCAGAAGTGGTTAGGCCTAACACTTTGCTGTGGGTTCCGCATCAGGTGTAGTCACGGGGTAAACCTGCTTAAAGTGCTCTCCACAAAAATCGGCCGCTGCGCGGGGCTCTGAGTTATAAGGCCCCTTGACTCTCACACTTGACGCGCGGTTGGCTGCAGACCGTTAAGCAGCCTTGGGGGCCTTAAAATGCTCCGAGCTCCGCGCTGCGTGCGGCCAGATAATTGCACTGCAGGGGGAGACCGTGAGCGAACCTGTGTAATCATTCTACCGTGTGAGTCCTGCCTCAAAACTCGCGCCAATCCGGCAGGTTTGGGTTGTCTGGCCCAGAAGCGATCAGGTCTCTCTAACTGCTGCTTAAAACTTTCCCGGGAGGCCCAGCAGTGTTTCAGCCTTCGGAGGCTTCCAGGCGCTACGTCACCAAGCTAAGCGTGCCAAGCCGATAGGTTCCCGGTACCTGGGAAGCACATGAGCCAAGTGCCAGCCAGCAGCCTTTGGGGCTCTTGTGCCGTTTCAAAAATCGGCCGCTGCGCGGGGCTGTCCAGGCCCGCCCTATGGCCATGGGGTCGAGCCTCAAAACTTTCGGCGCAAACACAAGGAGCCTCCAAATAGGGCACTCCCTTAACAGCTATGTGAGGACGCCCGGACTCACATAGCGCTGCTAGCAGCATTGTGTAGCCACACCAGCCCCTTGCCTGCCCCTGCTCGCAGGGGGGGGGGGGCGCCCTTTCTGGCACTCTGTGTGCATTGTGCCTTTGTGTGCGTTCGTACCTTTCTTTCAGTGCGCTTGCAACTTTCTTGTCAACCCAAAACGGAGTCCTGAGTGCCATGCTTTTGCTACGGCCCTGGCGCTTGTGTGGGGACTGTCTCTACGGACGCGTTGAGCAGTTTAGGTGACGGAGGTTCCTTGCCTTACGGCCTACCCATACTTTCGCTTAATGTTTGTACCAGACGTGGCGCAGCATTGCTATGGGTGACGGGCAGCTGAGTGATTGGTGCCGGTAGGTTTTTGTTTGCATTGGTCTCACCTCGCTGGCCTTGCGTTAAGTTGTCTTGCAAGAAGGGCCTCTGCGCTAGCGGTCGCTTCTTTGTAGTCACGACTTCTTTTACACTCGCTGGCTTGTACAGTTTGGCTCTCAAAGTAGATGTCCTTCCGTTGCCAAGACCTGTCCACTGGGCCGCTGATGTGGTAAAGGGGCGTCCGCTTTAAAAATTGGGCAGGGTTGGGGTTACCTCTGAACCCGTTAGGGTTTGGGTTGTACTCGAACCGCAATGCCAGGTTAGGGATCGGGTCAACTCTAACCTCAGCCCAAGGTTTGGTCCTCCGTGTGTCTGGACTTGCGTTTTTTCGCCTTGCTGTTGCTTTTGCCACGGTTGTTGTTCTAAGCTTGATCAGTACGCTTTTGCACATGAGATGCCGAAAGTTTGAGCAATGCGGGCTGAAGAGCCGCCACGTAGGAAGAAGCAGGAAGCGGTCAGAAGGGCGATAGAAAGGACGGGGCGTAGTTGCCGAGAGCAAGGAATTCTTAACGTCGGTTGTGAATTTCCAGGCCTTTGACCAGATACCAAGAAGGCAGATGCACACCGCCCGTTGTCCAAGATGGTTCAGTCATGTCCGCTAAAGTTCCAAAAGCCATGTTCCTCATTTGGCCAGAGTAGGGTTTCGGGCGGTGGTGAGGGTTCTACTGTCGCAGCTGCAGCAACTGCGACACAGGAGATCGAAGTGCAGGCCGATGCGAGATGGCTTCACATACTCCAGGGTCTACACATCTATTTAGGATTGTCATGGCCTGAAACGTGGTGCTGCCCGGCACGACAGATTCGTGTGCCACTAAACGCAAGCCGGGCTGAATGGTGGGACCAAGCTGAGCGCAATCCTTGAAACTTAAAGGCCTAAAGGGTATGCACACGGAGGAGTATGGAAAGCTGACGGACCGTGCCACAGTGTATAGGGTTAGTGAGTACCCCTCCTGACATGTGTTTGAAGTGTTGTCCGAAAGCACTTGTCTTCGGAATGATCCGATAAAATTGGAACTGTGCAGAAGAAGACGGCCTCAGCAGATATCCTGGAGAACCCGAACGCGTGTTCGGAACATGATGATGAAGTTCAAGTTACAGGTCCCCACTTAAGAGCCCACAATAAGGGACCATGCGAGTACCCTAAGAGGAAAGCCGTTCAAAGATTTTGGGAAGCAGAGTTTTCTTCCACAGGCTCTTCGTGGGCCCGTGAAAGTGCCTCACAGGATGTCACGGTATTTCAGTGGTGATAGAATCTGGAAACGGGAAGTACAGAGAAAGAAACGGAATAGAGACGTCTGTTGCACTGCAGCGCGACCTGTGGCTGCTTTACAAGTGAGCTTGATCATGAAGTTTCTTTACGTCCACGGCGGCCTGAGAAAGCTTCTTCCGAAATAAACTTTCAGTTTTCATGACGTGTCGTTGTTCGGAGATGTTTCTTGACAGGAGTGAGGGCTTTGCGTTTTTTGTGTTGTGTAAATGCAGTGAACTAGTGAAATGAAGAACGTTTGCGGCGATGTTTTTCCGACCTGAAGTGAGCATTTCTCTGGTCAAATGTTGGACTGTGCGGCCTTAGCCGCATGCACGAAGTCGGATGGGCGGCACGTGTATTGCCGCCCCATGACACCCAGCCCGTTGTTCTATATGTATATATGCACGTATGAATAAGAAAGCACCTTGTTGACCAAATCTAGGAAGGAACTACGTTTCCCCGTTCTCCATGCCAGACTTTCCTCGGTGGCTGTGACATTCTGAAACACGCGGCAGGCTGATTCAAATACACATTGGTTCTCATAACTTCGTTATTCCTCGCGTGGGTGACAAATACTTGCAAAAACATACATGTGCTAAGAAACTGCTCACTTTTCCATTCTTGTCCAGTTGTGGCTTTCCATGAAGGTCATCAGCCTGACTTGTAGCCTGACTTGATTTCTGGAGCCTGTTGTAAAAGTTCTCCTGGATTGGTCCGGCTGGTTTGTGGATTTACGTTTTGAATGGGTTTGGGATCCTGATTCAATGTCGTCCGCTTCAAGCATATCCTTGCACAGGTGTTTCACGCTTTGTTGGCAAGATGCGGTGGCAAAAGTTCATGCAATTGATGCAACTTTTGTGGCATTTGTCACGTTCCGCAGCTGCTTTTCAATCCAACTCCGACCTGCTTGGCCTCTAGTTTTGCATCTTCTGTACCCTGGCTTCAAACAGGTTTCGTTCTATTTCGGGGTTGTGTCAGCTTCGTCATGTTGTGCATAATTGGTTTGATGTGCAAGAATCCGAGGTCCTGTTGCTCGAGATGACATCGACGTTTACGACCCTGCCAAGCGGCCAGCAGATGTTGATGGAGCCCGTGACGGGACAGTTCCCTCCACAGGGGCAGCCCGTACCCTCGAACCAGCCGGTTCCCACAATGCTACCACCTGCAAATCAAGCCCCGAACCCCAACGTCATGTATGCCGTTCCCACAGAGTCGGTACCCACACAGCTGCCGCCCGGCACGGGCCCGGGCTATACGTACGCTGCTCCCGGTGGGGCTCCCGCTGGCCCTGGTGGAGCACCAATGGGCGCCCCCATTGGCCCTGATGGTCAACCCATGTACGGCGCCCCCATTGGCCCTGATGGTCAACCCATGTACGGTGCCCCGGTTGGCCCTGATGGTCAACCCATGTACGGCGCTCCCATTGGCCCGGATGGTCAGCCCATGCCCATTGGCCCTGACGGTCAACCCATGTACGGCGCTCCGGTTGGGCCTGACGGTCAGCCCATGTATGGTGCCCCCATCGGCCCTGACGGCCAACCCATGTATGGTGCCCCGGTTGGCCCCGATGGTCAACCCATGTATGCGCCGGGACCCGGTGGAGCACCGGGCACCACCAGCGAGGGGCTGCCGGGGCCGGCAATGCCTGGACAGACGGTCATGGGACCTACCACCCAGGTGTGGCTTGCAGTTGAGCTGGTCAGCTTTCTTTGCCAAACCTCACTCTGCGCGTTGCAGTAGCTTCAGCCAGTATGGCAGAGTTGAGATGAAAGAAATTCAGCTAAACTTGCAGAAGATGCATCGGGAAGGGAAAGCTGATTGGAGAGGAAGCCATCAACTTCGCATCCCAATGATGCCAATGACTTGCTATCCACTGAGTCTGCCAGGTGAAGGTTCCTGTGGACAGCATAGCAGATGAAAGCAGTGCCACGACCACGCCACTTGCCGGCATGATAGCGAGCTCCCTGAACTTCATCACCTTAAGGCAGCTCATGGGTGCCGCCTGCGTGCATGGTGTCAGAGGAACCCTCGCCCTGTCGCTGCTTTCTAAGGCAGTGGCCTCCAGCACACAAGCAGATCCAGGCGTGGGCGGTGTTTGTGTAAGTGCAACCGGGTGCAGGGAGGGGCACGGTTTCTGGCACGTCATGCGTGTGCGCACTTCGAGACAGATTGCAGCACGTCCTGTGCATTCGGGGTTCGCGTGTCGGTGAAGTGCATGCCAGCTTGAGTCAAACGACCTGGCATGCGCCTCAAAAACTCCTCAGCAGAAGCTCCTAACAACTCCTCAGCAGAAGCAGCACTTTTTAGGTGGAGGGTGAGCCCCAGTATGTTGCCGGCAAGACCGAAGAGATCGATGCCCCTGCACAGGCTCGGCTTTGTTGGCAGAGTTGCGGGAAAAGCCTCGACATCCCTAACGACCTCAAATCGTCCCCACAACGCTGAGATTCGTTTTCGTTGAACCCATTTTTTCTTTCCTGTTTTAGGGGCGGGGGGTGAATTACCAATGCTATAGAGGAGACCTCTAAACCCCCTGCACACCCTAAACTCCTTGTATCCCCGAATCCCCGTGAAGACACCTAGGAAAAGCTGCCAGCTGTTCTTTGGAGGTCGGCACACAGCAGGTCGAGGAGACTGTGGCCGGGCAGGTGAAACAGCAGGCAGGTTTTTGTGGGGTTCCCGGGGTTTAGGGCTTTAGAGAACTCTAGGGTAAAGGGTTTCAAGGTTTCGCGTTTTAGTCTTCAGGATTTTTCGGTGTAGGGCTTCGAGGTTGGGGATGTAAAGAGCCAGGGTACACGCGTCAGTGTTTAGGGTTTACGGTTTCCGTGCCGGGGGTTTGAGTTTGGAGGGGGTTGGCCTCAGTCGCTGGAGGGTTTACTGAGTCTGCTGCTTTTGTTCTTCAAAGGTCAGGCCTTCAGGGCCGGTAGAGCCTTTGCAGGCGTGTGTTGAAAGTTCCGTTCAGATGTGCAGCAAGTGAAAACTCTACGAAGTCCGGTTCGGGTTGGGGGCAACTCTGGGCCCCTGGATCCTAGGATGTTTTTTCGAACGGTTCCCCCCTTGTACTCGTATGATGTCTAAGCTTTGATCAGCGCTCAAAGCAGGGTTCCAAGAGTTGTTGCGGTACCCCTATAGTGAACGGGGACATGCCACATGTAAGTCTGAGGACAAGCACCCAGGGACCTTGAAGTAAGCCCTGAACCCTTCAAGGCGTAGACTCTGTCCCTTGCGCCAGATCGTGGAGATCCCGCAAGTCCAGGAGGTTGTCGAGGAGCAGGAAATCCCGGAGGCCTCGCTGCACCATGCGGAAACCGAGACCTTGCATCATGAACTGCCCTAAACCCAAAACCCTGAACCGCAAAAATCTGCAGTGTGCAGCTTGTCTGGCGCACAGGTGCAGGTCGTGCAGAAGGTGGTCGAGGCTGTCTGAGCACGGATGTGTTGGTCCTGCTCCCCGTGGAGTCCTTTCCGGTAAGGACGCTGAGACAGAGAAGGTCTTGAAACCAAAGTGTCAAAGCTTCACCCCCTCATCGGGCATGTAGGCGTGTTTCTGGGTTGTGTCTGGCAGGTTCCGCAGATCGTGCAGCAGGAGTTTGAGCAGATTGTGGAACAGGTCGTCCAGGCCGAGCAGAAGGGTCTGAAGTTTTTGCCTGGTGGTGAGACTCGGGGCATGCCACTCCCAAGAACTGCCCAAGCCCTTCACACCCCCCAACCCCAATGTCCTAAACAGTGAACGTCACAGTCCAAACTCAAAATGCTATGGACATTGAAGGCCTGCGAAGGCATCCGCCTACAAAGAACGGACTTCAGCTTCGGAGTTTTGAAACCGAATTATGAGATTGCTTGGGCGAGGCCCTTAGGTACCTTGACGGTCTTAGCATCAATCTGAGCAGGTGCCAACGATCATCGAGCAGCAGAAGGTCTCACATCGCCACGTGGAGCAGATTGCGACCGGGCGTTAAGTTTTCGGCCCCTAAACTCCAAACTCAAAACACTGAACAGGAGAGCCTTTTGGGCTACCCCTTGCTTAGAGCAGGTAGTCCTTTTTGGGCTTTGGCGAGGCTTTTGTGGTGGATTCTTGGATGTAGCTTGGGCACGACGCCTACTTCCTGAGGTGGATGTTCCTGTGCCTCAGATGGTCGAGGAGGTTGTGCATGTGCCGGTGACACAGACCCAGGCGCGTCGGAGCCTCAGAAGACAACATAGAACCTCGAGCGAACAGCATGGCTGCTGCCATCTGCTGTTTCGGGCCCGCCTCTTGTATCTCTTGTGCTCCGAGGCCACTACCATGTGCCCGTGGAGCAACAGGTGGAGATTCCTGTCCAGATGATGCAGGAGGAGACCGTGCATGTGCCCAAGGCCCGCGAGGGATTGTGTGTGCTGTGTTTGGGCTTTCTTGGCCTGTATTTTGTCAGTCGGGGTATTCGGTTTTCTGATAAGCCAGAGCGAGGGAAAATGGGCATGAAAGAGGTGCCGAGGGCATGGGCTCGGGACATTTTCTTTGCTTTTCTTGTCTGGTTGCAGCTGGCGCTCGCACGGACAAGTTTCTCCATATGGGCCGAGGTGACCTGATCTATATAGAAACTTCGCGACTTCTAAATTCTAGAACTTTTGCAACTTCTAGAATGTGTGGAGTGTTTTAGAACTGTTTCGTAACAATGGCACGTTCCAACAGCTCCAAATATTCTGAAGTTCTAAGTGTTCAGAACTCTCAAAGCTGTTTTAAGTTTCAACAAGCTTTTGGGAATCAATCAGCAAGGCAAGGCAGAATCTGCACAAGTAGCACTTGTAGATGCTTGAAGATTTTCAGCACTTTTAACTTCAGAACGTCAAGAACGCTTAGAAACTTAACATCCGGAACGTATAGAGTTCAGTTGGGGCTTCCAGAACTAACCTTTGCAACTGTTGAACTCCCAGTGCAAGTGACCTCTCCTGCAAGATGTGCTTCTTCCAACTAAAACTGAGAGCCTTGCAAGCTCCTTATTCCCGAGGCCTAAGAGTTTCCTAAAACCAAGATATTCTGAACGTCCCAGGAACCCTTAGCTGCCTTAGCCTCACAAGTCTCAATGTGTTTGCACCCTTGCAGGTCATCACCCAGAAGCGCCAGATGCACCAGCACGTTGAGCAGGTCGTGGAGGTGCCCGTGCCCATGACACAGGAGGAGGTCGTTCACGTCCCGGAGATCATGACGCAGACCCGCACAAGACAAGAGCACGTGGAGGAGATGATCGAGGTGCCGATCCCCATGCAGCAGGTGGAGATTGTTCACGTGCCTGAGATTGTCAAGCAGACTCGCATCGTGCACCAGCCAGTCGAGGAGATTGTGGAGGCAAGCTCACCTGTGATACCATGTTCTTCTTCTTCTAGCCTGATAGCATGGTTTGGACACCGCTGTCCATGACAGAACTGGGAAGTCAAAACAAGTAAAGGCTTGCGGCCCTGTCCACTGCCTGCGCAGGTGCCCGTGCCCATGACGCAGGAGGAGCACGTCCATGTGCCCAAGATCATCACCCAGACCCGTGTAAGGCGCCAGCCTGTGGAGCAAGTCGTTGAGGCTGGCTTCGCAATTCGCCAAAACCCATCAACCCCTCCGCCCCTGCCGAACAAATCGAGCCATCGCTCCTGTGTGAAGGTGCCGGTGCCCATGACACAAGAGGAGCAAGTCCATGTGCCCAAGATCATCACACAGACCCGCATCATGCATCAGCATGTCGAGCAGGTCGTCGAGGCGGGCTGATGCTTCTGCGCGTGCATGGGGGCCCACGTTGTAGGCCCTGAAGCGTTCGAGATGGTGTTGACCTCAGGTGCCGATCCCGATGATGCAGGGTGGGCTTGCCAATGTTCCCCAGACTGGCCCCTATGGCTCAGCGGCACCGACACGGGCACTCCCAGCCGCACGTCTTGAAGTTCAGGATGTGTGGTTTTTTAAAGGAGTTCTTTTCAAGGAAAACCACATGGAGCAGAGAGGGTTCTTGGGGGAGAGTTTCCGAGATGTTGAAGCTCAAGTGCGGGCACTGCGCAGGCTCCGATGCAGATGGCCCCAACGCAGCAGCTGGCCCCAGGGCAGCAGATGGCCCCCATGCAGATGGCCCCAGGGCAGCAGATGGCCCCAGGGCAGCAGATGGCCCCTTATGGTGCCGCGCCGATGCAGATGGCCCCCTACGGCATGCCGATGCAGGCGCCCTTTGATGATTCCAAGCCCAAGCCTAGCACCGAAGGGGTTCTCACTGTCAGTAGGAAGATCACGACAAGGAACTGGCAGAAGCCATATGTTTGTCGACCTCAGCAGTGCGTTTGGTGTGTAGGAGAAGGAGTCCACAGGAGTCGAGGAGGAGTGGGAGTGGGAGCAGGAGGAGTTGTAGAATGGGAGGAGGAGGAGGAACAGGAGAAAAGGAAGAGTGGAGACTGAGAGGGGTGAGACGAAGACGTCAGAAGCAAGTGCAGTATCAGCGCGCTGCCATGGTATTTCTGCCACCTTGAATCAGGAGCAGGTGGTCCATGTGCCCAAGATCATCCAGCAGGAGCCCCTCCGTCACGAGGGTTGAGCCCAACAGCCCCTACACTCAGGAGGACATAAATTATGTCGGCCCCCTTTTTAATGTTGAACCTATGATGAAGTACATTAAAGTACCTAGAAGGGGGACTCCGACATTGCGAGCGCACCGGACTCTGGCAGCGAGGTAGCGAGGGCAGCCGATGAAGCAGCGAGAGTTTGGGGTTTGGTGCGTAGTGGTCTGGGGGTTCGCTGCTCAGAGTTTAGGGACATTTTAGGGCTTACTGGGTTTAGGGTTCAGGGTTTAGGGTTTATTAACAGGATGTTGTGTCTTGCAGGTGCTGAGAAGGATTCGAAAGTGCCAGGATGTGTCATCTGTGGCCTTTGAAGGTTTCCGGGACCTCCTGGGGGGGAGGGGGGGGAGTCTGAGAAGGGTTCTGCTGCAGCTCGTGGAATGTAAGGGTCTGTGGTGAACGAGGCAAGGGACTGGTGTCGGGTTGTTCAAGATCCGGTTATTTGGTGCCGGACTCGCCTCTCATAGGTGTCCATCCCCTTCTGGCAGGGGGAGGTCCTTCCTTTTGGGCTCCTTTTATGCGGGATCCTGTTAGGAGGGAGTGCTTAAAGGGAGGACCCGAATTGAAAGCGAACTCTACGCTGCCTCAGACCCCACTGACGCGTTTATCTGCAGAATGTCGGCATGCTGTTGTAGAGGGAGTAGACAGTGTTTGCCCGAATTCCGGTTGGGGATTGGTCTCTGCGAGCAAATCAGCTCGGAAGTACTCTGAGCCCTGAACCCTCAGCGCTGAACCCTGAACCCGAAGCTGCAGTAGGCACATGCGTTTATGGGCTTCAGGAAGTTCGATGTGTTTTGATGCAGAGTTATTGTGATCGTTGGTTCGATGTTGAAGTTTCCGATTTCTTCAGCCCAGGGCCTCAGCCCTGAACTACCAAGTTCGTAAAGCACCTTAAAACAGCAGCAAGTGAGACCCTAAACACCTGAAAGCCCGCCAAACACCCCTCTGCAACCCCCCCGAAACCTCGACCCCCCAAGCAGGAGCGAGTGGTGCACCAGCACGTGGAGCAGGTGACGGAGGTCCCCATCCCAATGACGCAGGCGCGGATCGTTGGTTGTTCAGAACTCAGAATCTATCTAATCACTCTAATTACTAATTACTCAGTTCTCTAAATTTTGGTCCCTTTTTGGGGTGCCCCAAAATCGGGCCGCCTTTCCCCGGGTTAGGGGTTCGGGGTTTGGCAGAGCTTGGGGGCGGTTGGATTGACTTGGGGGCATGGCGAAGTCTCCTGCGTTGTGCCCTTTTTGCTTTTTTTTGCGATACCTGCTTCCTTGCCAGGAGGGTTTGTGGTTTAGGGTTTAGGGTTCAGGGTTTAGGGCTTCCTTGCCAGGAGCAGGTGGTCCACGTTCCCAAGGTGATCACGCAGGAGCGAAACCACCACTTCCACGTCGAGGCACGGGCAGGGACAGGCTGCATGGCACCCTAAACCCTAAGCCCTAAACCCTATATCCTAAACCTAAACCCTCAACCCTCACCCCTCAACCCCAAACCCCCTGGCCCTAAACCTTAAAGAAAGCCCGAGCCAATTTTTCAGGAGATTGTGGAGGTGCCGGTGGAGCAGCGTGTGGAGCAGATTGTGCATGTGCCCAAGGCCCGCGCATTCTTGGGGTTCCCTCAGCGTGCAGCGTCTGGCCCACTCAAACAGGGGTTGAGGGTTTCGGCTTTTTCAGGATTGACACGCTGTGATTCTCCAGTCTCAGGCTTTTCCAAACCCCCGAAGCGCAAAATGGAAGGTCCAGAAAGTGGAGAAGATCGTCCACAACCCTGTGGACTTGGAGGCACCACCTGGCGCTGACCCGCAAGCCTTGAACCCGACGCCTGAGTCATTCATATTTAATATGTTGAAGCACCCAATCCTCTGACCCTCGAAGTCCTCAAATGGGGTTTGCGAAAATCGGGGTACCCATTTTGGGGGTCCCTTTAAAGGGATTCTATTTTAGGCATAGGTATCCCTATTTTTGGAAGTACCCAAATGCTCAAAACAGCTCGAGCGGGCAGGTGGACGTGCCGCGTCCGGTGGTTGTCGAGAAGGTTGTTCAGGCCGAATCCGGCCTTGCGAAGCCCCAAGCCTCTTATCCAGCCCTCAGCTCTAAACCCATTCGAATCTCTAAACTCGAGCTATAAACCCCATGTAAGCTACTCTCTAAGCCTCAACACCCCACCCGTTTGTCAGAAGGTCTATTTAGGGTGTAGGCTTCAGTTGAGGTTAGTGGTCGGGGGGCCCTGGGTGCCGACCCTTAAACCCTGAACTCCACAGACTTTAGAGAAGCGGAGGTGCTACACGAACCCTGAATCTCCCCTGACATTCCACAACCCTTTAACTGTAGACTGTAAGCCGTGCAGGTGCCCAAGGTTCACGTGGAAGAGAAGGTCGTCCGAGTGCCGAAGGCAGGCTTTTCCCGTTGAATCAGCAGGTTATTTGGCGTGGAACAGGAGCTTCTCCCCTGAACGGACCTTGTGTCTGCACCTGAACTCAAAGCCCGAAGCATTGCATTGAGCACAACCAGACATTTTTTCTAGACTAGGTGCTCAGTGCACAGAATTCGTTTTTGCCATGCAGCCGATGACCGCTGTTGCCCTCAAGCAGGTCCTGAACACCGTGGTGCACACCACCGTCCAGAACACCGTGGAGACCGTGGAGGTGGTCAAGCCTGTGGTGGCCACTTGCCCAGGGCCGGATCTGACAAAGAATGTCCAAGGTATCTCTAAGAGGGCCCGAAAGGGGTGTAAGGTCTACAGGCGCGTAGGTTGTGGGGAGAAGGGTTTGAAGTTGGGTTGCAAGATGGTTCGCCGCAAGGGCTTCGTCAGATTTTAAGGCGATGTATAGGGTGTCTGAGTGAGGGGCTTAGATAGCATTGAAGGGCTGACTTACCCATGTGAAGACCCAGGTGCAGCTGAGGGTTCCGTGCTATCCCTTGTTTCGCACCTCTGATGGAAAAGCCACCATACAGGCTCTAGTCACAAGAAGTTGGAAACGCAGCTTTTCTGTTTCTTCTCCCGGCTTGGAAAGGGCATTGCCTCCCAAGGAGTTGTCGTCGTTGGCAGAGCCGCGAACCTGCTAAACCCATGCCGGGCAAAGGTCCACAAGGTGGTGCAGCGCAAGAAGCCCATCATCCAGGAGGACCGCGATTCTACCAAGCTCTAACATGACGCAGCTCCACCCAATTCCACAGTCTCGAAGACTCGAAGCCCTTCTGAGGCTTGGAGAGAACTAGCTGCCCTGGGAAGTTGAGCCGTTTTTTGAGAGGGCTTTGGTGGGGGGAATTGTGGGGGGTTTCCAGTTGAGAGCCTTGAAATGGGCCCCTTCACTCTCTCTCACCGGGCGCAGGACGTGGTTCAAGTGCCCAAGGCGGGGGCGGATGTCCTTGGGCTTCGGGTTTCGCCACCCTTCCGAAACCCTAAACCCTAAAGCCCTAAACCCTAGACCCTGAACCCTGAAATCTAAACCCTAAACCCTGAACCCTGGTTGTTTTCGAAAGCCGTCGGGTCAGAGTCGCCCCTAGAGCCTTCCAGTGAGGTCGTCGTGCAGCACGTGCCGATTGAGAAGGTCGTGGAGAAGGAGGCTTCCCTTGGAAACCCTTTGAAAAATTTCGGGTTCTTAGCAGGGAAGGAATCAGGTACCCTGTCATCCCTTAAAGGCTTAAAAGATCTTAAAAGGTATATATATATATATATGACCATATATATATATATACATATATATATATGGGACCTTCATTCCCTCATCCCCCACTAAGGGGACTTGCTGAGCCCCCTCGAAGTCTTGAAGCCCCTGGCAAGGTGAAGGTGCCGGTGGTGCAGGAGGTGGAGTCGGTCGTGGATGTGCCGGTGGTCAAGCACAGGCGATGGGGTTTAGGGTTTAGGGTTTAGGGTTTAGGGTTTAGCCCTGCAACAAGCCCTTGAAACCCTGAACAGCGCCGAATTTGCTCCAAGCTTTCCAAGGCTTGACGGCCCCTCTTACCCACCTCAGACGCCTGAACCCCTTCCAGCGAGAAGTCCTGGGTCAGGCAGGTGCCCATGGTCCAGAAGGTCGAGAAGCAGATTCAGGTGGCTTTGAGTATTCCCATAACCACCACTCTTTCAGACAAACCCTCCAAGTCTTGAGGCTTTCAGTGGGTCTTAGGGAGTTTGATAGGTGTGGTTTTGTGTTGGGGTTCGTGGGCATTGCAGGGTACGTTTTTGGTGAGGGTCTTATCGTTTTGGGAACCTGGGCCTTGCGGTAGCGCTGCAGTGGCAGGTGCCCCAGATTGAGTACACGGACCACCACGTCGAGGTCCCCATCCAGAAGCAGGCAGCGGGCGTTGAGGGGCGTTGGGATTGTGGTTGAGGGTCCCTGCCAAACACGCCATCTTCGTCCCAGGCGCGGAAGCGATGGATTCTGTACAGCTGGGGCAAGTCCTCATCTCGCCAGGTGCACGTGCCGGTGATCCAGACCGTGCAAAAGCAGGTGGATGTGCCCCAGCTCGAATACGAGGATGAAGTGGTCCAGGTCCCCGTCCAGAAGCAGGCGCGTGACCGCACCCGCACGCTGACTCCAAGCCTTGATGGAAAACAGATTCCGAAGTCAGCATCGAACCCTAGATCCTCAGGACTTTACTCCCCGCGCCGCATTCCAGTAGACTAACTTTTTGCCTACGGTTCCTGTTTTTTCGTTCTTAAGATACATTTTTCTCAAAGAGGGTTGAAGGGTACCTTGTTTTCGACACCGAACCGACTCAGGGGCTTCGGGTTCGGGATTTTATTGGGTGTACGGGCTTCGGGCACCCATCTGCGCCCGATTGATTTTGCCCACGGCGGTGGTTGTTTCGGACATCCCTCCATGGGCAGGTGCACGTGCCCGTGATCCAGAAGGTCCAGAAGACCGTGAAGGTGCCCCAGGTGGAGTTCGAGGACCTCTGACAGGGTTCCCCCTTTTTAACCCTAAACCCTAAACCCTAAACCCTAAACCCTAAACCCTAAACCCTAAACCCTTTTTGGGAATTGGGGGTTCTGAGAGTTCTAGGGCAGCTCTTGGGCTTGGGGATTCGGGTCGGGCCAAGGGGCCGTCTGAACGCCAAGCATCAGATGGGCCTTGAAGCGAGGAGCAGATTGTGCAGGTGCCGGTGCAGACGGAGGCGTCTGCTAGCTTGTAGCCGCTGCATCTGGGGTTCGTGGTCAGGCTTCTGGCTTCGCGAGTTTAGAGCCACGGCGCAAAACGCATCTTATTCTGCAGTTCTGGGGGTTACCTACAAACCATGAGCCCTAAAGCCCTCTCATTCAGGGTAGTCGGGGGCAGGAGGTGTCTAGGGTAGGATGCCGAGCCCGTAAACAGTTCGAGGCTTGGGGTTGTTGTGGGGCCATTCGGAGTCCAATAGCCCTAAACCCTAAACCCATCTCTAAACCCTAAACCCTAAACCCTAAACCCTACACCCCTCAAAGCCACCCAATCCTACTAGAGTGCCGCTTAGGGTGTGTTTTGGGAAGCGGTCCGCCGCTTAGGGTTTTCAGGTCTGTGGGGTTCGGAGTTTAGGGTTTAAGGTTTGGAAGTTTTCCACAGAGCAGGTCCATGTGCCCATCGTGCAGAAGATTCAGAAGACGGTGAAGGTGCCTCAGATTGAGTACGAGGACCGATTCCGAGGGAGACGCAGCTCGTTGAGTTCATGAAGATACACTTTCCGTCCTTTGGTTTGGGCGGAGGTATTGACCCTCCTGCCCAGTTTTGTGACCTGGTAGCCCTCGGCCAACTTTGGGGTTCTCGGTTCGGCTGAACCAATACAAGACCCTAAGCCCTCAGCCTCTGAACCCGAAGAGTGTGGGTTGAGAGTTTCCTGAGCACACCCAGCGCTCGTTGCGCAAAGAAGGCACGTTCTGATTATCTGCCGAGGCTCTCATACCCCTGCCCTTCCGCACTCTGAGCGCCCTATAAACACCCTGTAAAGCCCCGACTTTTCAACCTTTCCATGAGTCACTGAGACCTTCGACCAACGATGGCCGAAAACTCTAGCTCGAAAGCCCTCCTAAACGGTAAGCCCTAAACCCTGAACCCCAAACCCTAAAACAGGACCAGGTGGTGGAGGTCCCCGTGCAGAAGCAGGTGCAGATCCCCATGGTGCAGACCGTGCAGAGGCATGGGGTGGAACCAACAATGGAGGGGGGGGTTTATCGGTCTTTATTCGTAAATGAAACATTAGTATAGATAAGTTATTTAAGAAAACATAAATATAAAACATGAGCATAAACATAGCATGAACATATTCAGATAATATATATATATATATATATATCTATCTAAATGTATCTGGACAAAAAGTTCTTTTTTAGAGTTTTGGGGTTTGGGGTGTTAGGGCCTGTAAGTGTTTTTTTTGGGGGGGGTTTTGGGGTTTAGGACTTTAGGGTTTTGGCGGTCACAGGACACTCCAACTCGTTCTATTCAGGTGGAGGGGCAAGCTTGTTTAGTCTGACACCCTCGACCTTAGGAAGGTCGGACATGGACTTCCCAAGTTCAAGAGGTATCAGCAGAAGCGGCTCTGAACGCCGTGCCCTTTCTGAGGCAATACGAAGTGCCGCAGGTCGAGTGGGAGGATCCGCCCAGCTTTAGGTTTCCAGGTTTGAAGAGTGCATAAGAGTGCAACAAATGAGCTCGGGGCGGTGTTCTTCTTCTCAGAGCCGCGTCTTCCAGTCTTTCTGATGCGTGGAGGAACAGGTGGTGGAGGTCCCCGTGCAGAAGCAGGTGCAGATCCCCATGGTGCAGACCGTGCAGCGGCACCGGCCTCGAACTCCGCAGCCTCCGGTAGATAGAGCCGACGTTCACAAGAGCTCACAGAGCCGCGCGACGCGACGAGAACCCTCCAAGCCCGCCAAGCGAGCCATCGGCCACCATCTGACCGTATCTCGGTCTGTTTCCTGAGGCAGGTGGAAGTGCCGCAGATCCAGTACGAGGACTGATGATATGTGTGAAGGGTCTGCAGATGGGGATTCATGGGAGTCTGTGTGTTTCTCCGTGGGTTCGCTTCGCAGGCCCTCTCCCCCCACACACACCCCACACACACCAGCTCCTTGCAGGACCAGATCGTTGAGATCCCAGTGCAGAAGCACGTGCACGTCCCCGTGGAGATGCCGAGGCATGGGCGGTGCCGGGTGCAGGGGCTTTCTGTGCTTGACCCCAGATTCATCACCCAGGTGCACACCTCTCTTCAAGCCCTGAGCCCCAAGCCCCAAGACCATAAGCTTTAGTGCTCGGGGATACACAAAGGCTCTGTGTGACGAGCCTGAGGCCGGGCGATGCTCTTCCCCAGCTCCAGTACGAGGACTGCCCAGCAGCCATCTGGTGGGCAGCGAGCATCAGACGTGACGTGTGGCATGCAAGCAGGCAACCGATCCCAGCGCCGCCCGTGCCAACCAGGTCGTGAACGGGCAAATGTGCTGTGAAACGTTCTGGAACATGAAACTCCCGAGCACGCGCGTCAGATGTTGCTTGCAAGCAGGCAAGCGATCCCTTGGGCGCACGTGGCAGTGACCCGAACGATCCCAGCGGCGCTGGCAGGGACCAGGTCGTGGACGGGCAAACAAGCTGTGATCTGAACTTTCTGCTGCTTGAAACTTACAGAAATGCACATATGCATCACATATGCGTTGCAAAGCCCCAAAGCCTCAAACCTTTCTCCCCAACCATCTAGCAGCCGACAGCTGTCAGATGTGGCATGTAAGCAGGCGATGGATCCTAGTGGTGCCCGTGGCCCTGGCAGGGACCAGGCCGTGGATGGGCAATCTGAGCGTTCTGCAGCTTGAAACTCACGAGCACATACCAGATGAATTGCAGACCCTCTTGTTTCTAAGCTCGCCCAATCATGTTGCAAGCTCCCACGTTTCAGGGGGCTGCGGATGCGCCCATGCAGCAGCAGGTGCACGTGCCTGCTGCAGATCACAACCACAGCAAACGGACATGTTTTTTTCTGCAAACTCTGTGCCCTCTCTTCTTGTTTGAGAGGGCCCAGGCCAGGGTGTCAGTAAGCGCCTGCTTTGCTTTGCGCGCCCTGTGTCGCTCAAGATGAGTAGCACCTCTTTAGGAGGCTGGTTCCTGTGTAGATACGGAAAAGAGTGCAGCGGATTTTTTTTTCCCAGTAGCTCCTCGCTGGCCGCACTTGGGGGGGCATGGCTGTGACATCACGGCGCTGTGTAGACAGGCGCCGGCTCCGAACCAGAGGATTGTCGAGGTGCCGCAGATCCAGCACCCTGGATGGACATGTTTGGGGATTTTATGGGTTGCCAGGGATTTGGACGTGAGGGTCAAGCAAAGAGCTGCCCAGCGCAGTACCTGAGACGATGCTTTCCCGAGGTACGTCGACAAGGTGGTCGAAATTCCGGTGCAAAAGCAGGTCCATGTGCCGGTGGTATCGACGGCTCCTGGGTGGAAGCATGTAGACCGTCATGTTGCAGGCCTCAAAAAGCCCCCATCCAAGAAGCCCTGCAAGCCAAGCCTAACCCCCAACAGCCCCCTTCAAGCAACCGAATCGCTTTAACTTGGTAGCCCAGTGGTACCCTTTTCCCCTTTCTTGGCTCAAGGTTCCCTTATAAAGCAACCACCCCCTAAAAAGGGTACCCTTGTTGTTAGATGGTTCCTGGGCTACCAAGTTGCGGGGCACCCCCCCTAAGGTGCAGCGAGAGGTGGAGGTGCCCCAGATTGAGTACATCGACCCTTGCCTCCTCGCTCGCTGGGGGGTTTTTGTGCTTCTGGCGCGGCTTTCTTTTTTTCAGGGCATTTCGCAGGGCTTTCTGTTGGCATAAACTTCCTGTATCGAATTTCGTTGCTCTAATAATTTCTACTTTTGCAGGAGTGGTTGTAGAGGCTGTCGCGTGATGGGGTTTTGGGTTGCAGGGATCTTGGTGTCCAGAGTTTGGCGGGATCTGGCGCTGAAGACCGATGTTCACTTAATAGCTGGGAGTTGGGAGGACTTAGTAGGGGGGGTTATAGTACCCCCTCTCAGAATCCTTGTGAAGGACTGTTAGTATGAGGGGGAACATACCAAGCTGGGAGCCGTAAGGTTACCACGAGTCTGAGGACCTTGCAAGAACCCAACGATCCGGAGGCCCGAAAAACTCCTGTTATCGTCCTTATTAAGGACTCTTAGTATACGGGGAACATCCCAAATGGCCTGAGTTCGTAATCAGGACCCGCCAATGTAGTTTTCGGGCTTTTCTTCCTAAGGGTGATGGGCTACCTGGGATACTGATAAGGAGTCTTGTTTTTGTGATTCCTCCCATTTTCGGTTCAGTGTATCGCTGCGCATAGCGTATGGGTCCCGGCGGTCCAGCCCCCAAACCCTCCCACACATTCGCTGAGGACCAGCACGTGCACATCCCCATCCAGAAGCATCGCCAGGTGCTCGTGCAGGTTCCGGTCGAGCGCCCTGTGGAGGCATTCGGGTCGTGTGGTCTTCTCAGCAAAATGTCCTTAAGTTGAAACGGGAGGTCTGGGGTCTTGCAGTGCTGGGGGTTCCTGTCGCTAATCATTCACTCCGCTCTCCAAGATGTCACTAACAATGCAAATAAACTTGGTCTTTGTGTCGAAGTGCATATCCTGGGGCCCCTGCAGGTCAATGTCATCGAGACCACGGAGAAGGTGGTGGACATTCCGGTCGTGAAGCAGCGCGAAATCCCGCAGGCCAAGTTTGACTGTTCACGGGTGTTTACAAGTGGAGTCGAGCTTTGCTCCCGGATATATCTTCAGCTGCCACTTCTTGCCCATGAAGCTGCGAACATGGTTGCGGGTTTAGGATTATGTCTGTCTGTGTTGGCAAAAAACTCCTTGCTGCCTCCTTCATTGAGCCGAGCATGAAGTTTTGCAGGTCCCCTTAGTGTAGGTTGAGCCGATAAACCCCAAACCCCGAACACCCCCCCTAAACCTCTGAACCCCTCAGCCCTAAACCCCCTTAACCCCTTGAGTCTTTGACCCGATGCGCGGGGGCCCTGACACGGAACAGGTGCAGACCATTGAGAGGATCGTTGAGATCCCAATGGCTCTTTCCTCAGACAGCCCTCCCCGACTGCGACTTCTATCGCTACGACAACTCTGAAGCTAAAACCTTGAGATCCCAAGGGTTGCAGGGTTGCCACTGGGATGTCAGGGAAGAGTAGGTTCTGAGACCTCGAACTGCGGAAGCCTATCTCCCCGAGGTGCAGACGGTGCAGAAAGTCGTGGAGATCCCGCAGGCGAATGTGCATGCAACCCTCAACATCCATCCCTTTCTGGAGTCTCCCAGGGTTGCATCGGGATATGGCACCTGAAACAAAACTCTCCCGAAAGCAGCAAGAGCTCAACTCCTGGGCCCTGACCCGAAATCCCATGTATGCCAGGAGGGCCAGACCATTCAGGGCAGCGTTCGGGAAGTGGACGTCCCTGGCGAGCCCCGTCGCGAGGATTCTGGGGAAGTGCATGGGGGGGCTGATCACAATCTTACGAGTCCTATGTGGTATACCATAGTAGAAACCGGAAAGGGCCTCTAGTTTCGATCAGCCCGCATGTCTAAGAAGAGTTTAGGTGAGGCGTTCATGCTATGTTTTGCAGGGTTCTGACACTGCTTGTTTTGAGTATCTCGGAGGGTCAAGGGGCCATCATGGGTACTTTTAAGAAGGGTAATAAATACCTCAAGTAGAGTTATGACCAGCTAACATCACAGCTTCCCTACCTATACCCCACTTCTCACTTCCCGTGAACCTTCAAGTGAGGGGGTGAAGAATCGCAGAGGTCGTGTGACATGTAGCTTTATCCCTGGAGACCCTGAGATGCTTTCAAACTCCTTAAGTTTGGGGGTCCAAGCTCTGTTGGGTTTTAGGATTCAGGGTTTCATAGGGTTTCAAGGGTTCAGAGGGCTGATAGGGTTTAGGATTTCTTTGGTTTGTATGGTTTGCGGGGTTTACAGGTTTTGGGGTTGAAGGGTTAAGTCCCTAACCCTCAATCCTCAACCGCAAGCCCGAAGGGTCTCAGGGTTTTGGATTTCGGGAGGTCGGGTAAAGCACCGCCGGCCACAGGAGCACCCGACCCAGACCGTGCAACAGGCCTGCGCCTGTAGGGCATTTGATCTCCGTTGCTGAAACGCTTAGGGTTCAGGGCTGTGCTTCAGGAGGGGGCGAAAAAAAAAGCACCCCGCAACAGAAAAAATAACACTCTTACCGGGTGTGGAGGAGGGATCCTTAACATGCGACCCTGTATACTTCCCGGTAGGAGTACGCGGGTGCAACCACAATTGTTGGAGAACCGGCGGTCGGAATCCAACCCTCCCAAATCATTGACCAGGCTTGGTATAGTCGGGTTGGTAGGTTGGCAGGAAGGAGGGTGGTCTGCTAGCTTTCACGGCCACGCGATCGCCCTAAATCTGAACCCAAAAGTCTACAAGCCCACAACCCTGAAACCCTCAAAACACAAACCCCAAAGCTCGAGACCCCAAACAAGAATTAGACCCTAAACCCTAAACCCCAAGCCCTAAACCCTAAACTCCAAGCCCCCAAGCCTAAACCCTAAACCCTAAACCCTAAACCCTAAACCCCAAACCCTAAACCCCAAACCCTACTGATTCCTTCGAATCTCAGGTCCTCAAAGGGCCTGACCACCCGCCTGAAGTCGTTGAGGGCGAGGCCAGGACATCCTTCAAAAGGGCGTTTCAAGGGTTTGGGGTTTAGGGTTCAGGGATTAGGGTTCAGGGTTTTAGGGGTTTTAGGCGGTTTCAGGGTTTTAGGGTTCAGGGTGTTAGGTTTTGGGGTTTAGGGTGCATAGGCAGCGAGATATAAAGGGTTTCAGGGCTTCAGAGCTTCAAGGTTGCAGCTCTTGCGTGTTGGGTTTGAAGGCTTGCAGGAGAATCCCAACAGCCTACAGACACCCTGAAGCACCCACAGCTTCTGGAACCACCCGAGAGGCCTCCAACCCAAAAGCCCTTGGAGCGGTGAGGAACACTCAGACCATGCAACCCCCCCCCCCCTGAACGGGGGCCAAGGCTACTTGCCTTGAAGCTCTACCAGGGGCCCCTTTAATCGCTCCCCAACATCGTAGGATTCCCTTAAACACGAGGACCCCAATTAGGTAGTAGCTTGGAGAGGTCACGGAGGCTCCGGCTCCTGCCCAGCCGCAGGCCATGCATGGGTGGCAGGAGTAGTTTAGGGTTTAGGGTTTAGGGTGGCAGCATTATTTTAGGGAGCCAATTTGGGCCCTCGCCGTATAGGGTTCAGGGTTGGGCTGTTCCCCCTGAAGCGAACAGTCCTTAGTGGGGATTTTTATAGGGCTGGTACTATAATCCCTATGAAGGGCTGTTAGGATGAGGGGGAACATCCCAAGTTCAGGGTTTCAATGGCAACATTGAAGGGTTGGATGGGATTTCGGGTTTTCGTGGGCTTGGTGCTCTGGGCCTTGGGTGCGGGGTTAGGCTTTACAAGGTGCCAGGCATTGCTCAACATGTTGGATTTTATGGTGCTTTGGGTTTCTGAGCTGTGCCATTGATCAACATGCTGTAAATTGTAGCATCCAGCTGCTCAGCATGCTATTTCTTGCGGCACCCCACTGCAATTTGCAGTGCTTGCTAGCAGCCCGCCTCGAAGGCAAGTCGCAGAATCAGCAAACAGCCTAAGATACCCAAGCATGGCCTGTATAGTATAGGCATCTATATACATAGATTCTCCTCAATATAACTCTTTTGTTGCTCTGCAAAGGATCTTCTTCCTGAACCCGACACCCCAACAAAGCACACAAAGCCTGGTGATTCCCGGTGCAACCGCAGGGTACACCCTACGGGGCCCCGCAGCCCATGACGGCTGGGCCCTTGAACTTTGAGGTGTGCAGGTCCTGTAAGCCCTCAAATTGAAAACCTTAAATGCAACTCGCAAGCCTGATGGGTTTCAGGTGCCAGCGCAGGGCACACCCTATGGTGCCCCGCAGCCTATGCCGGCCGGACCCTGAAACTTTCGGTTTTGAAGCCACTCAAATGGCTCAGAAGTACTCAAGCCCCGAACACCTGATGTCCAAAAGCCTTCAGGTCGCAGCCGAGGGCACACCCTATTGGAGCCCCTTACACTTCGCCCTTCCTGAAGCCTGAAAGCCATCAGGTCCCAGCGCAGGGCACACCCTATGGTGCCCCGCAGCCTATGCCGGCCGGACCCTGAAACTTTCGGTTTTGAAGCCACTCAAATGGCTCAGAAGTACTCAAGCCCCGAACACCTGATGTCCAAAAGCCTTCAGGTCCCGCAGCCGCAGGGCACAGTCTATGGGGCCCCACAGCCCGTGACAGCAGGGCCCTTACACTCATATCCTCAATCCTCAGCGCAATCCCCCAGCCTGCAGCGTGAAAGCCGTCAGGTCCCAGCGCAGGGAACACCCTATGGTGCCCCGCAGCCTATGACGGCCGGACCCTGAAACTTTGGGTTTTGAAGCCACTCAAATGGCTCAGAAGCACTCAAGCCGCGAACACCTGACGCCCCAAAGCCTTCAGGTCCCGCAGGGCACAGTCTATGGGGCCCCGCAGCCCGTGACAGCAGGGCCCTTATGTTCACCCTCATATCCTGAATCCTTAGCCGCAAAGCGTGAAAGCCATCAGGTCCCGGCGCAGGGCTCACCCTCTGGTGCCCCGCAGCCTATGACGGCCGGACCCTGAAACTTTGGGTTTTGAAGCCACTCAAATGGCTCAGAAGCACTCAAGCCCCGAACACCTGACGCCCCAAAGCCCTTCAGGTCCCGCAGGGCACAGTCTATGGGGCCCCGCAGCCCGTGACAGCAGGGCCCTTATGTTCACCCTCATATCCTGAATCCTTAGCCGCAAAGCGTGAAAGCCATCAGGTCCCGGCGCAGGGCTCACCCTCTGGTGCCCCGCAGCCTATGACGGCCGGACCCTGAAACTTTGGGCTTTGAGCATCCAAACCCACACTCAAAAGCCCACAAGCTCCAAGCCCCTGACGCCCCAAAGCCATCAGGTCCCAGCGCAGCCGCAGGGCGCAGTCTATGGGGCCCCGCAGACCACGGCTGGACCCTTACACTTCGACCTCAAGATCCTAGATCCCAAGCCCCAAACTGTAAGGGCCCTCAACACAAAGCCAAAGCTACATAAAAAGAGAGAAAGACTAGCTTCGACACGATGTGTATATATAAATATATATATGTGTGCAGATGTATGTATGTATGTATGTATGTATGTATGTATGTATGTATGTATGTATGTATGTATGTATGTATGTATGTATGTATGTATGTATACATAAGTATATGTACATGTGTATATACATATATAGATATCCGTATTTGCCCCCCCCCATTGACTCACTGTTTGCGACTTCAATTTTATGAAGCTATGCTTAGTAAATGGCCTCTAAATTTATACAGTTCAACCCGGAATTTGCATTTTGTGTTTGATGGGTAGGTCTTGTGTTTCCGGGGCAATGCAGGCCCCAGTGCAGATGGCCCCCTCGCAAATGGCCCCGGCCACCTACGCTGCCCCGCCGACGCAGATGGCCCCGGCGACCTATGCGGTGCCCTGATGAGGGTTTAGGGTTTAGGGTTTAGGGTTTAGGGTTCAGGGTTTAGGACGCTGGGCTCATGGGTTAGCCGGAAGCCTTGAGCCCCTCCATCAACTCCATCAACTGCCTGAAGCCCTTACCCTTGAACCCCACGTAAAACCCCAGATTTACAAGCCACCCTAAACCCTAAACCCTAAACCTTAAACCCTAAACCCTAAACCCTAGACCCTGGATCCTCTGAGTTCGTCAGCCCTGCCTCGCTGTGATATCTTTGAGCATCGGAGTTGGATTGTTTCAACATGTCAATGTCCGCTGCTTGCCTTGGGAAGTTGGCGCTGATGGGTTGTAAGTCGGGTAACTCTTACTATCACTGGTTATAGCCTTTTTCAGGGGTACTTATATGACCCTACTTATAACAACCCATGAACCTTCAAGCAGCTCATGCTCCTCATTGCAGGGCAATTAGGAGTGAGCTTTGCAATATGGTCTTTCAGAACTAGGGGTACCCCGTTTATACCCCAAATAGAATAGAATCCCCTTGAAGGGACCCCCAGAAAAGGGTACCCCTGCGTAAACCCCATATTCTGAACACAGCTCTCCGCCAGTCGCCAACGACAACCACCATCGGTGATCCCGTGTACCTGCCTCCCATCACTGCACCTGCCGAGGCCGCTAGCTGTACCTGCTGTCGTGTATGAGGGCGAGTTATGGTTTTCGTTGCAAGCCTCTCCACCCACTAAAACCCTCAGCCCTAAACCTTAACCCGAACCCTAAACAGTCCCATTGGCAACTTCCTGAACTCGTCGATCTTTGCCATAGAAACAAGCAAGATTTGGGTTTAGGGTTTAGGGTTTAGGGTTTAGGGTTTAGGGTTTAGGTTCTAGGGTTTAGGGTTTAGGGTTTAGGGTGGAAAGGCTCTGGGCCATGGATCGGCATCTTAAGAACTGACTGAACTCGGCCCCAATCCCAGTTCAATGTTAAAAAAACAAACTCAAGCGCCATCTTTTATGGATAGTACCCAAAGAGCCCAATACCCCGAAATTATAAGGAATATTCCTGAAATCAGAGTATGGATCCCTCTATAATGTGAGGTATATTCCTTAATGAAGGGGTATTGGGCTCTCTGGGTGCTGCACTGCAGACCTTACCCGTTCTCTGTTTGTTTTATCATTACTGCCTTGTGATTGGAGACCCCGAAATTGAAAATTTCACTTGCCCCAATCCTGCAAATCCACAATTGATTTTTAGTCAGCACATTTTGAGCGCAGAAGGCTCATCCCATAAGTATACTGTTTTTCGGGAGAAGGCGATCTTTTGGTTATTCCCATTAGTTTTGAGTCTTTCGTGAAAGATATCTTCGCATGCATAGGTTTCATTAGAGCCTACAAAAAACCTCTTGTGAACCTCTCAACACCGAGATGACAAAAACCTTGCATATTCAAGAATGGTCTTAGGTTCGCATTTTTAGTTGCTTCCAAGCGCGCTTCTTTGCTGCTGTTCTCAAAACCCAGCGCAGGCGCAGGGCGCACCCTATGGGGCCCCGCAGCCCATGACAGCCGCGCCCTTAGACTTCGAGGTTTGAAGCCCCTAAACCCTCAAGCCCCAACACTTGAAGTTCCGAAGCCATCAGGTCCCCGCGCAGCCGCAAGGTGCACCGTACGGGGCCCCGCAGCCCATCTATGGGGCTCCGCAGGCCATGACGGCCGGGTCCTTAAACTTTGAGAGCTTCTTTCTTCAATGGCCTCAGGCCCGGGGGGCCATGGGTGGGCGTAGAGGAGAAGGCTCCGCCGCGACACTTTTGAGCCCTGACGCCCTGAAGCATAACGGAGGGTCCCTGGCTTTTGACTCCGGCCGCAGAGGCGTATCACTCGCCTGTTTTCGGCATGTGCCTGCAAAGGATCGTGAAGGCTTCCCGAGGCCCTTCAAGGCAGGAGGGAGCAATCGACTAGGTTGCCATCCATCTTCCGGCGCCCTGCCGTGCCGTGTGGCGCACGTCTTGCCGCGCAGGTGTTTTTGGTTCGCTTGCTGCCTGCTGTATAGGGGAAACTGACTCGACGAGTGCGCGTGTCCTGCTACCTAGGTGTGTTTGGTGCACTGCTGGAATTCTAACTCGACGAGCTTGTTCTGGGTCCTTTTTCTTCCAATGCCATCCAATTCGCCCAGGGTCGGCGGACCCTAGCCGTCAAACGCTCACACATATCCTAAAGCTCCACGCCACGGGTGCCAGTGCAGCCGCAGGCGGCACCCTACGGGGCCCCCCTTGATTGAAGCGTAGAAACCCTACATCTTCTCACCCTCAAGCACAAAACCTTACCCAAAACCTTAACGGCCCAAAGCCGTCAGGTCCCAATGCAGCCGCAGGGCGCACCCTACGGGGCCCCGCAGGGCGCACCTTACGGGGCCATGCCTGTCACGATGCCATCCGAGGCTTGGGTGTTGAGTGCGAAGCTGGTATGATGCTGTGATAATCAAGGGAGACCGCCAGTAGAAGCAGCAATAGTAACAGTCGTACTAGGAGTAACAATACTGCCAAAGGTAGATACTGATGCCAGCAACACACACATCTGTATATGTAAATATGTGTATGTGTATGTGTATGTGTATGTGTATGTGTATGTGTATGTGTATGTGTATGTGTATGTGTGTGTGTGTGTATGCGTGTATGCGTGTATGCGTGTATGCGTGTATGTGTATGTGTAAATGTATGTGTATGTGTATGTGTATATGTCTATGTCTATGTATATGTATATGTATATGTATATGTATATGTATATGTATATGTGTGTGTCTCTCTCTCTCTCCGTCCCCCTCCTGCATCTGTTTCGAAGTTGGATTCGGGCCCCTACCCACTGCATAGTTCAGTAAGGGGTTTAATAGCTCGACCCCACCCAGCCGCCCCACCTTTTGTTGAAAGCAAGACAGCCTGGCAAATCTTACCAACGCGTCGCAAAAGCCTGGGTGTTCTCACCCTGCTGGGTAGGCGAGCGGCCCCCCAACCTGTTCTCATCTTGTGAGAAAGTGTAACTCCACAAGAATCTGCCGGTCCTCATACTCGTCCAATGGGTGCCAAACCCTGGCCCTAAACCCTGAAGCCCCAAAGCCGTCGGGTCCCAGCGCAGCCGCAGGGCTCCCCCTACGGTGCCCCGCAAACCGTGATGGCCGGGCCCTTAAACTTGGGGTGGTTTGAGGCCTCTGAATTTTCATCACCTCGAAGCCTAAAGAACCCCCAACCCTGAAGCCCCAAAGCCATCAGGTCCCGGCGCAGCCGCGGGGTACACGTTGCGGTTTCGGTTTTTGTTTGCACAGTCGGGAGGATGCTGTCTTGGGCCTGGTAGGGCGTTACTCGGCGGGTTGAAAGGAGTGTCGAGCTGAGCCCTAGGTCCTGTTGAGGGTGCACTCAAGGCAGACTTTGGACCTCGAACCGACAACGATTTTGCTTAGGTCTCCCTTCATGAGGAGGGCTATGCTACCAACTCTCCCACCTAAGCCCCAAGTCCTAAACCCTCGGTTTAGAAACACCTTTCCATGCGAGGACTTATGTCTTAAGGTTCTCGGGTTTTGGGCGCTAGGTTTTGGCCCAAAGCAGCGTGACCAAATTTTCTGTACGGTCATCCACGCACTCCCGCCCCCAGCTGAAGGGCTGCTGACGAGTGGTTTGAGAGAGAGAGAGAGAGAGAGAGAGAGAGAGAGAGAGAGAGCACCTTTTCAAAGATCTACCCCTGGGCCTCGTGTTTCTGGTTCGGCTTTAAAGTCGGTCCGCAGCTGTGGCAATAGCTACCAGCCACCAGTACCCCCGTGCTAACTTCTTTCCTCTTTCCCCTTCCTGCAAACATTAAACTTTAAACCTTCGTCCGACTAAGCCCAAGCCCGCAACCCTAAACCTTAAGCCTTAAACCCTAAATCCCTAAACTCCTAACCCCCCCAGACCCTAAATCCCTAAACCACAAATCCATGCGCTGCAGCCTGGCTACGCTCCGGGCTATGGGGCGCCGGTCACCATGCAGGCTCCCAGTAAAGGATCTGCCTGGAAGAATCTTGTGGCCCCCGACCTGAGCCTGTTCTTCTAAGCCTTGGGGTTTAAGGTTCAGTGTTTGGGGGTTTAGGGGTTTAGGGGTTTAGCGGTTTAAGGGGTTTAGGGGTTTAGGGTTTAGGGTTTCTAGGGTCTAGGGATCTAGGGCTTCGGCAAAAGAACGAAGGTCTTTGCATACTGGGAACCCTGAAGCCCAACTCCTGTTTGCCTCCTGCGTAATATAGGACGTCCGGCGGCGCCTCCACCCTCGTTTTCGGTCTGCAGTGCCCTTGAAACCATTTTAGGGTTTAGGGTTTAGGGTTTAGGGTTTAGGGTTTCGGATTTAGGGTTTAGGGCAAGATGGGGCAAGTCCAAGTAACGGAGACATACCCACCCGCCCATTGAGTCCCACAGCATTAGGAAACTATTTCACGTTACATCTCAAGCCAGTCACACCACGAAGCCGTTTTAAACCTCAAAGCCCATGACTTGGGGAGGCGGGGAGGGGGGGGGGGGTGCCTTGGACAAAAGAAACGTATGTCAAATAGCCCTTAAGTGTCCAACACACGGGGAGGGGGGGAGGGGGGAGGAAGGGGGAGGGGCTGGGGAGGGCGGACAGGGCGGTCACGCCGTTCCTGTGCCCTCGAAGGTTTGTGCCCATCCAGGAAGGTTTGTGCCCATGCCCACGAATCCATTCGGGTTTATATACGTTTCTATATAAGCAAGAGGTTCGGGAAGGGCCACCCAGCCCCATGGCCCACAGCCCCCCAAAACCCAATGCCACCCAAGTAGGGGGTGTACCTCAAATTGTTGATTTGGTCAAGGGGTCTTGGGCTCTCTGGGAAAGATGTGCATCTCCGTGCATGGTTCAGGATCTCGGGGTCTAGGGTTTGGATCCACCTCCAGAACTCGCAAACTTTTTGAGGTAATGTTTTCGACCCTTCATGAGAATCATATGTAACATGGTAACCTACAAAAAGACAGTTTTGGGGTTCGTAAGGTAGGAATTCGGATCTTGGCAGGGCGGTGCGATGCCAGGCCACCTGGGGAAATTATGGTTTTCGAGCGGGTTCGGGGATTCAGGAAGGTATTGCTCTTCCGCACCCCAAGCCCAGAACCCTTCAACCTGGAGGAGCCTTTTTCTTTGCATGGGCCTATGGTTATGGACGTAAGCGCCAAGGTCTTGGGTTGGTTGTGGTTGCGGGTGTGGTTGTGGTTGCTCTTGCTGTTGTGTGTTTTGGTCCTGACCTTCTGTTCTTGATGTTGGTGTCGTTCTTGTTGTTGTCCATCTTCTTCTTGGTGGTCGTGGGGACGTTGTTGGGGTTGTGGTTGTTGTTGCTCTTATACAACCTTATTAAGGTACTTATAACCCTACTTCTAATCGCCCAAAGAGCTTCAAGTAGGCTCCTGTCCCCTGGAGATGTTCGTGGTCGAGTCGAGCTTTGCCTCAAGTGTCAAAGGGGGATGATTCGAGCACGCTTGTCGACAGGAGTAGTATCGAACATGAGCGACGCGATGTACAAGCCCTGACTGCTGGACCCTGAACCCCGAGTCTGAGCCCCTCAACATGAAAGTGGCCCGAAGCCCTCGATTCTAGATGCGAGCATTGCCAGGTACCGTGTACCCCGGCACTGTTATGCAGGGAGCCCCCGGCACGGACTACTTCACCATGATGGACCGTCTGAGGTTTAAGGGTCTAGAGGGCGCACTTAATGGCACGTGGGTCGTACTCCGAAGATTCTCGGTACCTTGAATAGGGGGTTGCAAACACGATTCCTAGTTGCCGTAATCATAGGTGCCAGCGGACCTTTTAGCGGAAGGCACACTGTTCCAGCTTCAACCTACGAGAGCGGTGTAGTTGGAACACGGGCGAAGATTGTCAAGTTTTTTTAGCTTTCAAAGTGATTTGAGGCTTCTCGGAGGTGGGCAGCAGGTGGGTGAGCGCATCACAACCAGAAAATTTGATATTGTGCAGAAGCACCAAACTCACTGACATGTTCAACGCTTTCGAGCTTTTCGTGCATCACGCGGGCGCATGTCTGTCGCGCGTATCTGGAGGGTTCTTGGAGCTAGACGCGTTGCCGTACATGTCCGGTCCAGTCAAAAGCCGAAAACGCGAAAATGATCTCCTGCCAAGCCTCACTCGCTGTGTGCGAGTATGACCGAATCTTTGTTATGTGCCCCACTTCCGGACTGGTCCAGAACTCATTGGCATCTTCCACAAAAGGGCACTTCATGCGCGGCCCAGAAGGATTTGTGTTTCTGGACGAACCCGCCTTTTTTCGATGTGCCTTGGCAGCCACACGCAATCGTGTGGAAAGGGTGCTCCGTGAAGTGCTTTTTTTTGTGTGTATTCTAGCTTCTAAACCGGAGTCTTTCTCTTCTCAACTCCCAGACAAGGTGTGCAAACTAAGGGCCGTCAGGCTTGGGCTAAGGCTAAGAAGAGGCTTCAGGGTGGTGGTGTTGCTGTTGCTGTAAAACCCTAGACTCCAGACTTCTCCAGACCTCTGCGACTGTGATTCCCGTGCGCTCCCCCCCCCCCCCAAAACCCCACCCTTCGGAGGACACCAACCAGGACGGCGTTGTGTCCCGCGACGAGCCATTGGGCCGCAGTGCAGCTTGGGGTTCAGGGTTTAGGGTTTAGGGTTCAGGGTTTAGGGTTTAGGGTTTGTGAGAGTTTTCAGGAGTTTTCTGGGGTTTAGTGTCTGAGCGCCGCTGCTATACCTCGCATGAGTGGTCGTTGAACAACCGACAGGGACATATGTAGTTTCCGGGACATTCCAACAACGAGTCGCGCCGCGCAAACTCCGACCGAAAGCAAAAGAATCGAACCCCGAACTTCGATGACCACACCTGCTGAAACACCTCTGTCTTTGCTTGTCACAACCGACTGAAGAGTTCTGGGTGAGCTTGTCTGGAGCGCTAGGAGTGATCTCGGTCCACTTTTTGCGCGTGCGCTTGGGCTCTGCGCCCGTGGAAGGTTTTCGGAGGTAGCGAGCCAGCCTCGGCTCACCCAACAATCCCCGAATTAAGCTTATTAAGCTTATCTTTCCGTAGGTTTCTGCACTGAAATGGTCATAAAATGGTAGTTTTTTCAGGTATGCCAATGCAATGCATATATATATATATATACATATCTATGTTATATATATATATGTTATATATACATATATATATATACACACACATAATCATATACAACAATCACATACACCACATAGGTCGCCGACATGTAGACCTCTCGTGGCCCTCTTGGCCCCTCAGGTTCGCCGCAGCCATGAGGTCAGGTGGCGTGCAGCCCGTTGGAGCCCGGCCCCTGGAAAGCTTGGGGTTTTGGGGGTTTAGGGTTTAGGGTTTAGGGTTTAGGGTTTAGGGCTATTTGAAGCTTCAGCCTCGGAAAGTTTGGGGTTTGGGGATTTAGGGCTTAGGGTTTTTAGGTGCTCCAAAGTTTTGGGGTTTTGCGGTTTCGCGTTGGGATTTAGGGTTTGGCGTCAGCCCGAAACCGTAAACCCTAACCCCCAAACCCTAACCCCTAGGTTTAACCAGGGTTTTTAAACTAGGGTTGTTTAACCAGGGTTCAGCGGCTTGAGAGGTCTAGGGTTTTGGGTGCTGGGGCGCTGTCGAGAAAGAGAGAGAGAGAGAGAGAGAGAGAGAGAGAGAGAGAGAGAGCGAGAAGGGTTTGGGTCTTCCCTTCGGGGGGGGGCCATGTGCATGGGAAGGAAGGAAGAAGACAGGGGTTTGGGGTTCAGCGTTTAGGGAGTTTGGGGTCTAGAGTTCGCGTACTGTGGTTTTAAACAAAGTTGGAGTTGCCCTAAACCCTAAACCCTAAACCCTAAACCCTAAACCCAAAACCCTAAACCCTAAACCCTAAACCCTAAACCCTAAACCCTAAACCCTAAACCCTAAACCCTAAACCTAAACCCTACACCCTAAACCCTAAACCCTGAACCCAAAACCCTTGCTTCACCAGCCTCCACAGCTCGGTCTGGAGTTGGCCTTGAGGATGTGCCGATGGAGCCGATGCAAGGCTCCTCCCAGGTGCTACCTTGGCGTTTCTGTTGAGGGGTTTAGGGGTTGGGGTTTGGGGTTTAGGGTTTAGGGTTTCGGGTTTGGGGTTTACGGTTTAGGGTTTGGGCTGTTGAGGGGTTTAGGGTGCTTCTTCCTGGAATGCCTCTTCTCAAAGGGTATTTATCAAGTGGCCCCAAGGTGAAGCTGGCAGCTTGGAACTTTGGGGTTGGGAGGGGATCGCCAGGGCCATGGAGACCCGAGGACCAAATCTTTCAGCTCCCTAGAAATCACCCGTCTGAGTTTCGCCACTGGAGTGGTATTTCGGAAAGCAAGCTTTCCTTCTTCGCTGGGGTAAAAGGTTGCGGCCAAACCCCAGCAGCAGGTGGCATTAGAAGTTGCCATCGAAGTTCTTGCCGCCGGGTCTGACCCTATTTGTTGGCCATCTTGCGTCTGGTTTCGTGTGCAGTAGCTGCGAATCTTGAAGGTTTCAGGAAGATAGAACACCCTCAACATCCGAGATCTTCAAACCCAACAGCCCAACAGCCCATCTAGTCTCAGAGCCTGGATCCACAGCCGGAATCACCAAACTCTAAGCCGCCGAGCCCTGGCAGACTTCCACCTGCCCGGCTTGCGGCAACGTGTACGCGGACGACGCAGTCTTCTGCCGGAAGTGCGGCCGCAAGCGTGACGAGGCCTGGGCTGATGTGGCGGCCTGGCATCCATCGGTGACTCACGGTCCCGAGTGCATTGGTGTCACGCTCCCAAGCCCGGAAGCATCGGGTCTGATGCATGCGACTTGCGCTTCAACAGGTTTGGTAATGCTGTGGGGGCTCAACAAGAGTACTCGACAGGAATGTAGTCGCCAAAGTAGAAGTTCGCCGAGTTTCGAATTGCTTCTTTCGAAGCCTTGCTAGGATACGGGAATAGGTGGTCCAAGGTGTCGCCACAAAGCCGTGTGCAGGATTGAAACCTGTTTCGAGGCATGTGCAGCTACGTGCGTAAGCCGAGAATCTGCAGCCCCCAGCTCTGAGCTAAGCCCTCAAGCTCGCAACCCATGAATATCAAACCCTCAGCCCCGACGCCAGAGCCCTAAACCTAAACCCTAGACCCTAAACCCGAAACCTCTCTTTCTATATATATTTAAACCCTATAGTCCTTCGTGGCTAAGGGTCATTTCTTCGTGGCTAAGGGTCATTTCTTCGTGGCTAAGGGTCATTTCTTCGTGGCTAAGGGTCATTTCTTCGTGGCTAAGGGCAATTTTCTCGCTAAGGGCAATTTCTTGGTCGCTGAGGGCCATTTCCTGGGCGTTAAGGGTCATTTAAGGGTCATTTCTTCGTGGCCAAGGGTCATTTCTTCGTGGCTAAGGGTCATTTCCTTCGTGGCTAAGGGTAATTTCCTTCGTGGCGGAGGGTAATTTCTTCGTGGCTAAGGGTAATTTCTTCGTGGCTAAGGGTAATTTCTTCGTGGCTAAGGGTAATTTCTTCGTGGCTAAGGGTAATTTCTTCGTGGCTAAGGGTAATTTCTTCGTGGCTAAGGGTAATTTCTTCGTGGCTAAGGGTAATTTCTTCGTGGCTAAGGGTAATTTCTTCGTGGCTAAGGGTAATTTCCGTTCGTGGCTAAGGGTAATTTCCTTCGTGGCTAAGGCTCATTCCTTCGTGGCTAAGGCCCCCCCCCCCCTCCCCCCCGCCCCTCCCACCCCACCCCCCCCCCACCCCCCCCCCCCCCACCCCCCCCACCCCCCCCCCACCCCCCCCCCACCCCCCCCCACCCCCCACCCCCCCCCCCGCCACCCCCCCCCGCCACCCCCAACCCTTTTTCTTGTAATGCTCATCTTTGTGTGATGCAATGCGGATTTTTAAGAACGAATCTGTTCTGTAGCCGTAGTCTTCGTTGAAAAGAAATATGGTTTCTTAATGTTATGGGATTCTCTGGGTGGGTGGGTGTTATATCCAAGCCGTAAATATAACACCACCATAAAATTGCTCGATCCGGAGCTGCTGAACCCTAAACCCTAAACCCTAAACCCCTCCCAGCCTTGCACTCTCCAGGCCTAAGCCCTCAGGGGGCGTTCGCGGGCCAGGGAGATGGCTCGAATGACTCCCTGAGCTGGCCCGCGCCGCTCTTGGAAGCTGGGGGGTTTAGGGGGGTTGAGGGTTTAGGGTTCAGGGTTCAGGGTTTGGGCTGTCTAGGGGGTTTAGGCTCAAAGTTCTGAATTCGAAGCCTGGTAGACTGGGTGCGTTTGGTTGTGAATGTTCATTCTCGCGATTTTTTACTATCATCATGAAGTTTCGTTACTCGTAGTATTGCTGTCCATTATGGTTGTTCCTCTGGATTTGCCTTGCCGTTACAGGGCACGGTCCTTTGCACCTCAGCAAGTGCCATCTTGCGCTGTCGGACCGCCCTTGAGGCTCAAGGGCGCAGCACTATCATGGGTAGCTTCACCTACCTGTTGCCCCGTCGAAAACACATCCCTAAGCCCTAAACCCTCAACCCTAGACCCTAATCCCTAAATCCCTAAACCCTAAACCCTAAGATGCAGATTTGTAGGTTCCAACTCCCCGATGTCCGGGGGGGCCACGTAAGCGTGATAAGCCTGAAACCCTAAAGCGCCCCAAAACACTCCGGAAGCTGCCGATTGATGTGTAGGTTTAGGGTTTAGGGTGTAGGGTTTAGGGTTTGGCGTTTGGGGTTTGGGGTTTAGGGTTTAGGGTTTCTACACACTCAACCCAAACACTAGACCCCCAAAAACGGGCTCTTGGAGCTGTGGAAAGGAAGATCTCTAAGGCCTCTTGACGTTTATCGTTTCTTTTTCTAAGCTTTAGGGTTTAGGGTTTTAGCGTCTCTTGCATTCCCAGAACTGCCAGGTGTTCCCTGAGAGAGGTGTTCTTGCACAACCGGCACACCTGAATTTCTTAGGTTCGGAGTGGGTTGTAGGTCTCACCTGTAAACCCGTGCGGCGCACGCACGGTGTCCAGTTGCGTACCTCAGAAGTGCGGGATTCTGAGATGCCACGCGGTCCTGCGAATCACCTGATGCCGATGCCAGCCAAAAGCTTATCCTCGTCAGCAAAGGGCCCACCTCAAAACACTCCAATCTTAAACCCTAAACGCAAGAACTGCCTAAAGCGCCTCAATGCTCATCTCGCATGGCTGATTTAGGCGGGAGACGGTAGGGCTTCTCAAACCCACACCCTGTTGGAAACGCAGACCCTAGACCCAACCCATCCCAACCTTAAATTCGTAAATCGGCCGGCATGGGCTTTGATTTTCCATTGACCCGAGGAGGCAGGACTCTCACAATGTGCACCCCTGCTGCTGTTGGCAGCTTGGACAGGGAACCTCACAGGAGGTGCCGGCACCTTCGTATGCCGCATGCCATCCCACACCAAAAACAGCAATGGCACAAAAAAAAGAAGGAAGGAGTCGGTGCCGGTGCCATCCAAACCCCCGAAACCCTACTCCCACTGGCAGAGGAACCCCAAGTTTGCACAAAGCGATACAGATTCACTGTCCGACTTTTGTTTTGCGTTGGAACTGCGCATTGCGTCCCAGACTGGCCAAGCCTAGCAGCTCTTCTTGGAACCAGCGTGTCCTAGCAGTCCGGGGCGTGATCACTTCCTTCCGCAGGTCCTGGGCAGCCCATCTGATCCAGACTCCGCCACGCCGTGTAGCACGTAAACGCGTTGCATTTTGCAAAAGGGCGTTCTTCCAAATTCACCATGGGCTTTTATAGATACTTCCTTTGGTGGGACCCTTTCCGGATCACTCATGGACGAATGCGTCATCCTAGCCGCTATAGAGTCAGTTCTAGTAGTCCGTTCTTTTCATGATGTTACGGGTTACATAGAGCTACTTTGGGGCTAAGGTACATGGGGTATCTAAAGTTTTACTAACTACTACTAACTACCACTAACTACTACTAACTACTACTAGCTACTGCTAACTACTGCTAACTACTACTAACTACTGCTAACTACTACTAACTACTACCTAGTACCAACGAGTACTAACGAGTACTAACGAGTACTAACGGCTACTAACGACTACTATCGACAACTAACGACGACGACGACGACGACGACGACGACTACTACTACTACTACTACTACTGTCTCTGTCTCTGTCTCTGTCTCTGTCTCTGTCTCTGTCTCTGTCTCTGTCTCTGTCTCTGTCTCTCTCTCTCTCTCTCTCTCTTTCCCTGTTTGTTGAACAGGCTGAGAAAATGTGTGAAGTAATGTCGGATGTAAAATGTAAACCTAAGAAGATTCCTGTAACAAATGGTCATAGAACAGTAAGTTCTAACAAAGCAAATGTTCCCAAACTACAAGGATGTGACTGCAAATGAGATTTCATTGGGTTGTTTTTTCTCTGTGAAAGCCATTAGATCCAGCATGCTGTTTTCATTTGTTTCATTCACTCATTCATTCATTCATTCATATTCATAGATAGCGTCAGAATATGCAAGTCAAACCTTGGCCAGTGAACACGGGAAAGGCATGAATAGCAGAACTGCCAGGGCTCCAAAGACCCCCCCCCCTTCATAACACCAATCGCATGTCTGTATTTCCTCTTTACTTGAAGAGCGTTGTTATCCTCAAGCTCAAAGGGGAGCTACGCTGAATTTGTAGAGCCCAACCTCTATCGCGAAAACCGCATATGAAAGCCTCGGGTTCCTCGTTCTTTCATCGGACAGGCTTTCTTTCCTCAAAATGGAAAACGGGAACCCTCTCCATTTCCTCCAAGTGTTCATAGGAATGCCTTCCTCTACAGCTGAATACAGACACAAGAAACTGGACTGTAAAGACCTTTATTTTCCTCTACGTGCTCATCTGTCTGAAGCGCTTTCCCTCAATAGGAAACCTCTACTTTGCCTTCACAGGTGTACTTACTTACTGCTTCTGGCAAGTTGCTGCTTCACCTAGATTCCCTGAAGTTTGGGTCTGCTACCCATCTACACCCCAACCCAGAACCAATTGAAATCCCCGAAGTCCCGGGGATCTGGGTTCAGGGTTTGGGTTTAGGGTTTAGGGTTTAGGGTTTAGGGTTTAGGGTTTAGGGTTTAGGGTTTAGGGAAGAAAGCCACATACTCCGGGTCAGATGGCCGGGACGGATGGCCGACCACGGCTGCTGCGAAACTTGGGGTCGAGGGTTTAGGGTGTAGAGTCAACCATCGCAAGTCCTTCAAACCCCCAAAGCTCCAGACACCAACCAGCACCCTGAACCTTGAACCTTGAACCCTGAACCCTAAACCCTAAACCCTAAACCCTAAACCCAAAACCCTAAACCCTGAACCCTAAACCCGAAAAAAGAGCCCAAACCCGTTCAGGCTTGTGGTGTGAGGGGCTTCGTGAGGGCTTCCGGGCTCAACCAGGAGCCCCAAAGAAGTCGACCGCAAACCTTGAAAAACAAGCCCCAAAACCTGAAAAGCCTGAAACCCTAAGCCCAACAACCCCAGAAGGAATCCTAGCTGAGAGTGGGAAGCTGTACTCCCCCAGCCGGTCCGAAACGCCGATGCTGCGATTCGTCCCAGATGCTAGAAGAGGGTTCGGGTTTTGGGTTCTTAAGATTAAGGTCTCTATGGGTTTTTGGGGTCCCAGTTCTGAACGGACATCTATGCTAGATAAATGTAGAGAAGCGTGCGCATGGTTTCCCGTGTCCATCTTAGGCCCTTCGCAGTCGTTAGGGTTTTCCATTGCAGGGGGTATCGCAGTGTCACCTCGTTTCTAAACCGATGCTGCTTAGACAGCGGTTCTTCACGCACGTTGACTGTCTGGCTCGGGTGACATGCCCCCAGGGGAAGTTTCAGAATGGAAACCCCATCCCCACTAAACAGCCCCACCACGAAAAATTGAAAAGCACTACTTGAAGTTTAGCGGGCAGCATGCAGGGCTCTAGAATCACCTCTACCATTTTGAAGTACAAGTTGCCCTGCTTATCAGCCGTTCAAAAGCCCAAATCCTGACTCTTTGAACCCCTAAACCCTAAACCCTAAACCCCAAACCCTAAACTAAACCCTAGACCCTAAACCCTAAACCCCCACAACTCAAAGCATTAGGGAACTGCGACAGGAAGCCAATGCAGGAGCCTTTCAGCCTCGTGCGTACGGTAAACGACCCTGTTTTGCTATATTATCCAACCAGCCAAGCAAGAAAGTGAAGAAGGCATGATGCCTTTTCTGGTTCGGTCTAGAGTTAGGGTTTAGGGGGTTTAGGGGGTTTAGGGGGTTTAGGGGGTTTAGGGGGGGTTTAGGGGGGTTTAGGGGGGTTTAAGGGGTTTAGGGGGTTTAGGGGGTTTAGGGGGTTAAGGGGGTTTAGGGGGTTTAGGGGGTTTAGGAGGATGCTGAATGAAGGTTTGTAGGGTTTTGGATGTAATGATCTCCGGGTTTCGCAGTTTGGGGTTTTGCTTCGGGGCCGTTCGGAGGGGGGAGATTGGGGCTTGAGGGTGTGACGCTGGGCTTCCACAAGTCCTGAAACTGCAACACCCACCCTCAGCCCTATTCCACCGGGCAAGTAGCGATGTTCAAAGACCTGGAGGACTTCTTTAAAATGAATGCATGGGTTTAGTACGTAGGTTCTTGGGACGGGTATCCCAGTGAGGAGCCATGTCTGATGACGTGTCAAATACCCGGAGCTCTAACGCTCAACCGGCAACCATTTCGAGAATCAAGCTATTTTTTGCGCGCCCGTCGCTCTCAGCCTGCTGCTACCTGAGATGTTGAGATTTCGGCGCTTGCTTGTCTGTTGCAGCCCTTAAGCTTTTAACCCTGTGTCACCCGTGACACGGAGTCTGCTACTCCAAGCTTTTTGCCCTTCAAGGATCCTTCGTCCCAGACATGGCGGCAATGAACACGGCCACGGGCCCCGGCATGTAAGAAGACCACGGGAGAGAGGAGAGGGAGAGAGGAGCGAGGGGGAGATGGGGGAGAGGGAGAGGGGGCGAGGGGGAGAGGGGGAGAGGGGGAGAGGGGGAGAGGGGGAGAGGGGAGAGGGGAGAGGGGGAGAGGGGGACAGGGGGGAGAGGGGGGAGAGGGGGGAGAGGGGCAGAGGGAGAGAGGAGAGAGATCAGGTGACGACTATGCCAGGCGGACAGCAGATGCTAATGGAGCCTGTGACAGGACAGTTCCCCCCGCAGACCGTCGGACCTATGGGTGCTGCACCCACGACTATGCCACCCGTATCGCAGTTGCCGCCTGGCACCACGGCCCCTGGTCCGATGGGTGCGCCCATGTATGCTGCTCCCATGCCTGCGGGAACCGACGGTGCACCCGTGTATGCAGCTCCCACCGGCCCAGACGGTGCCCCCATGGGTGCGCCCATGTATGCAGCTCCCACTGGCCCGGGCGGTGCTCCCATGGCCATCGGCCCCGATGGTCAACCCATGCCAGTCGGCGCCGATGGTCAACCCATGTACGCTGCCCCAATCGGCCCCGACGGTCAACCCATGGCCGTCGGCCCCGACGGTCAACCGATCGGCCCTGATGGCCAACCCATGTATGGCGCCCCGATCGGCCCCGATGGTCAACCCATGCTCATCGGCCCCGACGGTCAACCCATGTATGGCGCCCCGATCGGCCCTGACGGTCAACCCATGTACGGCGCCCCCATCGGCCCCGATGGTCAACCCATGTCTGAGGGTCAGCCTATGTATGGTGCCCCCATCAGCGGCCCACCCATGCCAGATGGCCAGACCATCATGGGCAACACTTACCAGGCAGGTCAGCTGGACATGTTGGTCCTTCAGGTTTCAGACTGTTGAGCTGTAAAGGGTAGAGAGAGGTGCAAGACTTGCACCAGTGCAGTAAATTTCTGAAGATCGCTCCTTTGTGATTTTTCATTTCGAACCGTTTCCCGGCCAGGTAAAGATCCCAACGGAAACCATGAGGGATGACAACAGCGCCACTACCACGCCGCGAGTCTGCGATGTTCCAAGCCCTAAGCCTAAACCCCAAATCCCCAAACCCTAAAGCCGAAACGGTGCTTTGGCCTTCCAAGCTTCCTTGGTTACCTTGGAATCGTGCTGACGTTGTGCCAGACGGCAGGAGAGTGTTTGACCCTTTTTTGAGTCCCTTCGAGATTAGCACTCGTAACACCTCATTGTATGGCCTGATAATGTTTCGGTTAAAGAAGTAGCAGCACTTCACTAGCACTTCTATATGAATGTAGCACGTGGGCAGATCGCCCAGGCAGTGGCCAGCCGCGTACCAGCAGATCCAGGCAGTGACCTATGAACCACCCAGGACCACCTCAACCCCGTTGTAATCACTACCCCCCTTCGAGCCTCATGTTCAAACAGGGGCTGCTAGTGCCGCGCAGGTCGATGGCGAGACGCAATATGTTGCCGGCAAGACTGAGGAAGTTGACGCACCCGCACAGGCACTGCCGAGTTTTTTTTTTTTTTGTTGGGGGGGGGGGGGGTGGTTGGGGGGTTGGGGTGTAAGTTGTTCTCCGCGTCTCGATAATCAAAACTCAGTCCAGATGTGGACTAGGCTGTGGAGGCATCTGGGATCCACTTCGGGGCTCAGGGCAGACTCCGAGTTAGAGTTTCGGGATTTGTGTAAGGTTTAGGTTTAGGGTTCAGGGTTCAGGGTTCAGGGTTCAGGGGTTAAGGTTTAGGGTGTAAGGTTCAGGGTTGATGACCAAACAGGTGTTTTGGCCGCCTTATCGGCCTGGGAGTCGAGAGTAGCCCCAAGACGCAGTGTCGTTGCAGGTTCAGGATGTGCATATGTATATATATATATATATATATAGCTCTAAACCCGAAACCCTCAGCCTGAAAAGAGCGATTTCAGGTAAACAAACAAGAACTCGGGCTTAGCCGACATTTAGTAGTCCGGAATCCCAGATGCAAGATTTCTGGGGGCTCCGGAGTCCAGATCTTGGATCCCAACGGGAGTGCCGAAACACCTACTACTGCAATTTTGCTGGGAGCCAAGATCCAAGATCTAAAAGAGAGCCCCTGTGCTTCTGCTGAGCAATCCTGCATCTTGAACCTTAGCCCTCGGAATTGCAAGATTTCAGTATTTTCATCTTTTTTCTCAGAGATATTCGGTCGGCTGCAAATTTTGGTTTTCAGAGGCCCTTTCTCAGAGCTTGGCTCTTGGACGCAAAAACACTCAATTTTAGGGTAGGGTTCGAAATCTGGATGTTAAAGTCTCCCATGAGTCTTGTGTCGGTCGCTGATGTCGGCATCTCTGTTCTTTCTCAAGTCTAGGATGTTCGTCATTTGCACTATTTTGTAGCATAACTAGAAGCAACACTGCCAACACTGCAACTATAGCTACAGCCACCTGACATTAAAGCAGCAGATTTCGATTCCGGCGCTAGTGGGGAGGAGCATGATAGATGAGGAGCTCTCACACGGACTTTTCTGAAGAGGCAAGCCTCGAAACAAACCACGATGAGATGCCGCCGAATGGCAGGTAGGGGACAAACAACGAAGGACAGGCACTGGGACTGCTGGGACTCATGGGCTCCATCCGTGGAAAAATCACAAAGTGAGATGTCGCCCTGAACCTTAGGTTTTGTTAAGCCCCGCTTTCTCTATGTTCGCAAGACAAGGCAACATGCAAAAATGAAGGTTTTCTTTGCACTTGCGTGCTGGAAGCTCTTGGAAAGCCGTGCAGCCAATTGACCCGCTTTGACATTGAGGAGTTTGCCGCTCACGGACCTAAACTGAATGACCCCCGCAGACTTAAGAGCTTGGGGTCCGTTGCAGCTGTCTACACTCTGAGAAATCTCCAGCTTCCTCTGGAAAGGACAAATTAGAAAGGTCCGCCTAGATGAAGCTGAAACCCGGACATCTCGTTGTTGAACTGGCATTTCGATCGAAATGAGGTAAACAACTCGAGCTTAAGCATGCTAAAGGTTTCACAGACCCCGAATTGGCATTCACCCCGGATGCCTTAATCTGGGGCCTTGTCCACAATTGAACTTCTCGAGTCATTCACGTAACTATACACACCCGAAGAGGCATGACTTCAAATGCAAGGAGTTTACATGTTCGGTTGAAACGGTATTACAGAGCTCACATGCGTTCCAATGCTCTTCGGAGGCCGCAAATTTGGGGCTTTATCCAAACTGTATGCACCACATGTCAATATCCCTCATCTTTGAAACGGAAGTAGCAGCTCACTCTCAACTTGATAGAGCTTACAGACATGTTCAAGAATGTTGGTGTGCGAGTGGCAAGACTTTGCGTACGTCTTGAAGAGAACCAGAACACATTCAGCAAGAGTTTGCTACTCGAGCCTGGGTTTTGTGGTTATCAGTGGTCTTTGTGGGTTCCATGCTCAAAGAATACATGCTTGAGATGCGTTTGGGAGGTAACATACATGTATGTATATATACACTTACAAACGTGTATATATGTATACACATGTATATATATATATATGTACATTTCCATATACATATATATATATATATATACATATACACACATATATCTGGTGTTTGAAGGCTCTAGCCACCCCAAGCACATCTTGAATCCTGAAACTTGAATCCTGAAACCGCACCGCGGACGCAGAGGTCGGCACCCAGCGAGTGGAGCAGACCGTGGCTGGGCAGAGGAAGCAGCAGGCCGACTCTTATTTGTGACAAGAAAAGGGTTTAAACCCTAACCCTTAAATCCTAAATCCTAAACCCTAAGCTCTAAACCCTAAACCCTAAACCCTAGCTCTAAACCCTAAACCCTAGCCCAAAAGTCCAGCCCCTAGGGTTAGTTGGGTTTCGCTTCGGGTTTGGAGCTTCGGGTGACATCCCTGAAAACCTTGAGGTTTAAGCCTTCAATGTCTTGGAGACACGCAGCTTAGGTTAGGGTTTAGGGTTTAGGGTTTAGGGTTCAGGGTTTAGGGTTTAGGGTTTAGGGTTTAGGCTTTAGGCTTTAGGGTTTAGGGTTTCGGGTTGGTGTAAGGGTGCCCGAAAGGGCGCCACCCCACTCACCCAGCATCCTCGGGGCCATCGAAACCGGCGCTGCAGGGGTTAATGGGGTTTTGGGTGTTAATATAGCATGAATTCAAAGGGGACCAGAAGGGAATGTAATTAGTAGGTATTCCGACCCCTATATTCAGGTGATGTTGGGTTCTTTGTGTTTAGAGCTTTCCCAAATGCCCGTTGCCAATCTACACTGGATCTGCACGGGGTTATGCTTTCATGGTTCTCCTCATTGGAGTTGAAATCTGGATCTTAGGACTGAAGAGGTTTTCGCCGTTGAGGTTTAAGCTGTCGTTTGTCGTTGTTTTCGGTGTGTCGGGTGGCGCATTCTGACGTCCCATTAAAAGAAGTTCATTCGCAAAGTTTTGGCCCATTTGTGTTGGATGTTTGGCTTTGCTGGTTCCAGTGATTTTTCTCTTGCACTCGTCACTGCGGCCCATCCGTCCGACACACAAATCATAAGTTGGGATGTTCCCCCTTATACTAACAGTCCTTAGTAGGGATTATACTGCCCCCCATTGTAACCCCTACTAAGGACTGTTAGTATAAGGCCCGACCAAGGAGCCATGACAGAGCGAAGGTTCCAGACCTGCTTAAAAAGTTCATCCCTAAACCATAAAACCCTAAACCCTAAACCTAAACCCTACAGGATGGGAAGTTGCAAGCAAGGTGAAAACTACCCTAAACTAGGTTACAACTGGTCCTGGAGCCCAGTTTCCGGCGCGCTACCGCTCCAGCCACCGTGGTCCCACTTCATCCATCAAGGGACCCCCAAACTGTTCCTTCTTGGGGAATAAGCACCCCTTTTTCCAGAAGCAGTCCAACCCACTGCTTCGAAGCAAGGAAGCCAGGAAGCAAGCCAGGAAGCAAGCCAGGAAGCAAACAAAAAACAAACAAGCGAGGAATTCGAGTTAGTCCCCACTTCGTGTCGAAAAGCCCGTCCCCCTAAACCCTAACTAACACAACCCCCGATCGCCGGATCCCCGAAACACTTGCGTGCACGTGAGAGCTCATGATCCTTGGCCCCGCGGCAGATCGTGGAGATTCCGCAAGTCCAGGAGGTTGTGGAGGAGCAGGAAATCCCGGAGGCGGTATGTGTTTAGGGCTTGTGTAAGGCGTAGGGTGGCTCAATTTGGCTTCAGGGTTTGTCCGTGGGAGTTGTTTCTGAGCATGCCCAACTCACACCTGTGGCTTTTTTTGGCGGTAGATGCCTCGGAGGGTTGCAGAGCCCTAAAGCCAGGAATTTGCCTCCCTGAGTAGCTCAGCTGGTTAGAGCACAGTGTCTCAGTTGACAGCAGTACCAGTTCTCTGTACGCCCTGAAAGACCAAGCCCACAAAACCCTCAACCCATGTGCAGCTTGTAAAGAGCTTCACTACGAGTGCGTGCTGGCAAGTCCCCGACCCAAAACCCCAAACCCTAGACCCTAAATCCTAAGCCCTACACCCGACGACCCTAAAATCCTAAACCACTCCCAGGCCCCCTGAGCTCTTAAAATCTGAAGCCTGAATCTTCAACCCCCAAGCCCACACACATCAGAACCTTCACCCTAAACCCTAAACCCTAAACCCTAAACCCTAAACCCTAAACCCTAAACCCTAAGCCCTAAGCCCTAAGCCCCAAGCGCCGGGACTGTTGAAGGTCCAGGTTGTGCAGAAGGTGGTCGAGGCCACACGGTCTACCTATTAATTACTTCAGAACCCCCCAACCCCCCCCGCCCCCCCCAAAAAAAAGAAGGCAAAATGTTCTTCCTTATTAAGGGCAACAAGGGGATTAGTGTTTTTTTTGGGGGGGGTTCTTAAGCAAATAGTAGTTTAGAGTTGTGGCCTTCAGCTCCTGAACCCCCCCAAACGGCCACCCCAAATCCACTTTGAACCCATAACGCCTACGGACCTTTCGGCAGATTCTGGAGGCAAACTGGTGCTTTTAGGGTCGAGGTCTTTTTGACTTTTTGCTTTTTTGTTGGGGGTTTGGTGTTTGTAGGGGGTTTCCGGATCTTGGGATGCTTGACCAAACCCTAAACCCTAAGGCCTAAACCCTAAACCCTAAGCCCTAAACCCTGGGGGGGGGGTTTTTTGCGCATGTTCCCCATCGGGATCGTGGACATCCCCAGCCCAAAAGCCTCAGACCTTCAGTCTACCGCTGTCAACCCTAAAGCCTATACCCTAAACTCAAAATTCAAAATTCCAAGCCCCTAAGCCCTACAGCTTGAAGCCAACAAAGCCCTCTACTTGGAGGTTCATGGGTAGTTAGAAGTGGGGTGATTTCGGTACTTATAACCCTACTTATGACTACCCATAAGCCTTTAAGTAAAAACTCCCATGATGTGCCTTGTCCCCCCTAAACCCTGAACCCTAAACCCTAAACCCTAAACCCTCGACCCTAAACCCTAAACCCTAAACCCTCAACCCTAAACCCTAAACCCTAAACCTTAAACCCTAAACCCTCAACCCTCTAAACCCCGCTAAACCCTCAACCAAGCCCACAAAACCCTCAACCCATGTGCAGCTTGTAAAGAGCTTCACTACGAGTGCGTGCTGGCAAGTCCCCGACCCAAAACCCCAAACCCTAGACCCTAAATCCTAAGCCCTACACCCGACGACCCTAAAATCCTAAACCACTCCCAGGCCCCCTGAGCTCTTAAAATCTGAAGCCTGAATCTTCAACCCCCAAGCCCACACACATCAGAACCTTCACCCTAAACCCTAAACCCTAAACCCTAAACCCTCAACCCTAAACCCTAAACCCTAAACCCTAAACCCTCAACCCTCTAAACCCTCTAAACCCCCTCAAGTCGGAAGCCGGGAGGTCCCTCAGATTGTTCAGCAGCCCGTGGAACAGATCGTGGAGCAGGTTGTTCAGGCAGCATCCCCAAGTTTGGGTTTGGGGTTTAGGGTTTAGGGTTTAGGGTTTAGGGTTTAGGGTTTAGAGTTTAGGGCCTACGGTTTAGGGTTCAGGGTTCAGGGAGAAGTGTGGGGGGCTTTGGAGGGTTTCAGCACTCCCGTGTTCATTTTTTTTGGGAGGTGTTTTGTGTCGGGCCGAATTGCAAAAACCTGAAAGTCCATGCGCTTCAACGGACTCAACCCTGAACCTCTGAACCCCTGAACCCCTGAACCCCTGAACCCCTGAAACCCTAAACCCTAAACCCTAAAGCCTAAACCCCTAAACCCTAAACCCTAAGAAATGTCTCTGAGTGGACGGGACCAGGTGCCACAGATCATCCACCAGCCGAAGGTCTCCCATCGCCACGTGGAGCAGATGGTGGCCAGGCTGCTGTACGATGGGGGGGCCTTCATCATTCGAAAAGGGGTTTTGGGGGTTATTGTGGTATAAGGGCCTTTATCATTGGAAAAGGGGTTTTGGGGTTATTGTGGTATAAGGGCCTTCATCATTCGAAAAGGGGTTTTGGGGGTTATTGTGGTATAAGGGCCTTCATCATTAGAAGAGGGGTTTTGGGGGTTATTGTGGTATAAAAAGGTAAGGGAATACACTCAGGAATTCCGACTGCAGGATTTTTGGGGTTTAGGGTGAAGCGCGCAGGGGGGGTTTCAGGATGTAGGGTTTAGGTTTATAGGGTCTCGGGCGTTAACATGCGAACCAACAACCGGGCGAAGAGGCTGTTGTGTGCTTCTCGCTTGTGCCTGCCCGGAACACAACCCCTTACTCTGCCGGTGTGCCCCTAAATCTTAAACCCTGGATCTGAGTTCGGCTCCCTTTTTACAAGGTATTGGCAAGAAGGGCCGTGCTCCCAAATCCTTGCTTAACATCTAGGCATCTAGGCCCTAAACACTAGTCAGCGGCAAGGCCGAAGTAGTCTCAAAGCCCTAAGCCCTAAGCCCTAAGCCCTAAGCCCTAAGCCCTAAGCCCTAAGCCCTAAACCCTAAACCCTAAACCTTAAACCCTTAACCTTAAACCCTAAACCCGAACAACCCTTAAATCGCAATTTGGCCCTTGGGGATCCCCGGAGCTGGACAGGGCGTTTAGGGCCTTTGGGCTTTGGGGTTTCAGGATTCAGGGTTTAGGGTGTAGGGTGTAGGATGCGAGGTTCAGGGTTTACTTGGTTCCGGATTTGGGGGGTCTTGGTTTAGGGTTTATAGGGTTTCTTGATTTCAGTCGGAGCCAAGCAGGCGATTTCTAAATCCTAAACCCTCAGAGGGCTCAAGCTCTCGGTCTGATGCACTTGCGATCCCAGGTCGATGTCCCTGTGCCGCAGATTGTGGAGGAGGTTGTCCACGTGCCGGTCACGCAGACGCAAGCTCGCCATCGCCTGAGAGACAGGGTTTCGGGTGGACCCCAACCGTTTGGAGCGCTAAGTCTTTTGTCGCAGCGTCCAACGGAAGCACCAAAGGAAACCAGCTAGACCAAAGCCGCCGACGCGTGCTTCACGAAAACCTATCGGGCTTCAGCCCGAGCACACATGAAGTGCCTGTTGCCAAACTCCCCCCTTCCCCCTCCCCAAACCCCGACTCCTGAGTCCTTGTCATCCCGCCTCCTGAGTCCTTGTCATGAGGCCACTACCAGGTGCCCGTGGAGCAAACAGTGGAAGTTCCAGCACCTAGGCACGGCAGAGGCATCCTTCTGTTCATAAAATTGTTTTTTTTTGGGTGCGGGTTCGGTTCCCTCAAGCCCTTGTGCCCTTAAACCGACCAAAGGAGTAACAAGTGTAGTCTCCCTCTATCTCTTTGCCTTGGGTCGCTGGGGAGCCTAGGTGCCCATGATGCAGGAGCAGCAGGTGCATGTTCCCAAGGCCCGGTTTCTGTTTGTAGGCTTGGGGTCTCGGGATCTTAGGGCTTAGGCTTTGGGCCTCGGGGTTCAGAGTTTGGGATGTTTTGGATGTTTGGGGTTTGGGGCTTGGGCTTAGGATGTGCAGGTTGAGGGGTGTTTGGGGGTTGGGAGGTGCTTCGTAGTCCTCAGAGCCTCATGTGGCCTACTGCAATGCGAATTGTTTCGGGTTTTGTGTGCGACTGCCCTGAACACCCATCTTCTACACCCCAAACCCTCGGCCCTGAAGCGCAAACAACTGGGCAGGTGATGACCCAGAAGCGCCAGATGCACCAGCACGTTGAGCAGGTCGTGGAGGTTCCTGTGCCCATGACCCAGGAGGAGGTCGTGCACGTCCCCAAGATCATGACGCAGACCCGGGTCATGCAGCAGCACGTGGAGCAGGTTGTGGAGGTCCCGATCCCCATGACCCAGGAGGAGGTTATTCACGTGCCTGAAATCATCACACAGACCCGCATCGTGCACCAGCCAGTGGAGCAGATCGTTGAGGCCTTCTGCTGTCAGCGATGACGGAATTTGTTTGGACACTTTCATGCATGACAGGGGTGTAGCAAGTTGACAGAGTTGGTTTATCTCGGGACCCCATTTCCTGTCGAGGTGCCTGTCCCGGTGGCGCAAGAGCAGGTTGTCCCCATGCCCCAGGCCGTCACTCGAACCTGTGGCGTTGCAGTGGTTGCTTGTACCCAACTTCGAAATATGGGGGTTTCCGAAATTTGGGGTAATTACCGGTTTCGTGTTTATCATAAGGGAATCCTAGTAGAATTTCAGCAGAGAGATGACCGACAGGATGGCAGTAAGTGAGGTCACTTCCATTCCAAGAGCACAAGGCTTGCATTGTTGGAACCTACACCTTAAAACCCGATACCCTCATGTTCCGCCTGCTTTAGTTGGGGCCCTCCTCTACAAGGTCAAGTTTGAATGGGCTTTTCAAGTTTTCCGGGGCATCGTAGTAACATTTCGTGTGGCACGCCATTCAGAATTAAATGCCGGGCCGCTCTGCCCGGGGAGCCGGCTGAAGCGAGTCCAACATGGGCTTGACAACAGGTGGTTGTGATTTTGGCTCCCCCTGTACTCTATTGTTCAGTGCTGGGGTTATTCAAAGCAGTAAGCCCTAGTGCAGCCGCAGGGCGCACCCGGGGCACCGCAGGGCATGATGGCCGGGCCCTTAAACTTGTGGGTTTGAAGCTCCCAAATGGGTACTTGCCCTGTGGCAGAGCACAAACAGCCGAGGGCATAGAGGGTGTCAAGGTGGTGGGAATGATATTGGTTCGCACGGTGGTTCGCCTTTGGGGATGTGGTGTCCAGAAGGTCGTTCGCTTGGTGCCTGTGATGTGTCTTTTGTCGCGTGACGTGCGGTTCTCTGTCTAGAGTGTCATTCTGGGACAAGCCTGAAACACATGGAGCCCTAAAGCCCGAAGCCGCCAGGCCCCAGGGCAGCCGCAGGGCGCACCCTATGGGGCACCGCAGGGCATGATGGCCGGGCCCTTGAACTTTGAGGTTTTTCAGGGGTTTAGGGTTTAGGGTTTAGGGTTTAGGGTTGACCTTGAAGCCACAAACCCCGAAACCGTGAAGCCCCGAATTCAAGCCGCCAGGCCCCAGGGCAGCCACAGGGCGCACCCTATGGGGCGCCGCAGGGCATGATGGCCGGGCGCTTAAACTTCGGCTTGGAAGTTGTTAAATCCTGAAGCCATCCTGCCATAGACAGCCAAGCACAAAACCCTAATGTCCCAAAAGCAGCCAGGCCCCAGGGCCGCAGGGAGCACCCGCTGGGGCGCCGCAGAGCATGATGGCCGGATCCTCAGATGTGGGGGTCTGAGCACTGAACCCGCAGACCCCAAAATGAAGCCCCAAAGCCGCCAGGCCCCAGGGCAGCCGCAGGGCGCACCTTGTGGGGCGCCGCAGAGCATGATGGCCGGGCCCTCAAACTTAGGGGTTTGAAGCTGCTCAGCACTCAACCCTCAGAGCCCAAAACCATGAAGCCAAAGCTGCCAGGCCCCCGGGCAGCCGCAGGGCGCACCCTACGGGGCACCGCAGGGCATGATGGCCGGATCCTCAAACTCTGCGGGTTCGAAGCTGCCAAGCTCCAAACCCAAAGCCTTCGGGCCAAAGCCGGCCAGGCCCCAGGGCAGCCCCAGGGCGCACCCTACGGTGCGCAGCCCATGCCCGCCGGGAGCTTAAGCTTTGGGGTTTGAAGCTCCCAAGCCCTCAAACCCGAGCTGGACTTCGTGTATCTGGCAAGATTTTCTGGCTTGCTTCGTGTGCAGGTACTGCAGAGCCTTGCGTGAGCACCAAGCCCCAAGATCAGCCTTGACCCTGGCAGGGTCAGGAGCAAGTCGTCCAAGTGCCCAAGATCATGACGCAGACGCGCGTGATACAGCAGCACGTGGAGCAGGTTTGGCGCAGTGAGTGTTCAGTTTGTTGAGTTGGGTTCTCGGGGACACATCTACCTAAACGACCACCTGGATTTTTCACTATCGGCTCGGACGTCTAGGAATGGATCTTGCGTCGAGGCGCCTGCTGCAACTAAGTCGGGCCACGAACCTCTGGTCATAGTCCCTAAGAGGTCAAGGCCTCAACGCCTTCAAGGCCTATTGTCTTACAACCCAAACCCGCAGAAGCCCTGCTTCTGCTTAAATTCCCCAAGCCCTAAACCCTAAACCCTATAAACCATGGGAAGACAACCTAAACCCAACCCAAATTCCCCCAAGTCTTGTGGGCTGGAGGGGTGCGGGCGCTTCTTGGGGGCAGGTGGTCGAGATCCCAATCCCGCAGACCCAGGCCTGGACCTGTCATGTTTTGGGCTGGAAGGCTGCAAGGGTTTTAGGGTTTTGGGATGTTTTATAGTTTTACGACTTCAAGATTTTAGGGGTCTAGTGTTGAAGACGTTTAAGGGCTTAGGCTTGAGGGTCGAGGGGGCCCCTTCGATTATTTTACTGAATTTTGTTTTTTCTTTATGGGGTTCAGGGGCTTTTCTTAATCCGGCTTTGAGGGAGGTCTCTTAAATCTTAGGGCTTGAACCCAGGAACGCTTCACGTCCCACTCGCTGTTGCCACCCAGCCATCACCTGTATGGGCAGGCCTACAGAAATCCCAGGGTCTGAGCCGCAAGCTTTACAGTGCTCTGGGAAGCCTCAATTTGTCTATGCCGCCTGGGGCGGGGGTGGCCCATGCTGGCCTTGCCGGGCAGGAGCAGGTGGTCCATGTGCCCAAGATCATTCCGCAGGAGAGGGCTAAATTCTTTGAAGCCCCCAGATTCGCCCAAGCAGCCGTTCAGGTGTGGGGCTCTGTACATCCCGCATCCGCTAAAAAGTCGGGCCTCGAGTTGGGGGCATGTGCTTGTGAAGGGTGCACCGGGCATCAACCCCCCCAGGAGCGCATCGTCCACCAGCATGTGGAGCAGGTTGTGGAGGTCCACGTGCCCATGACCCAGGACCTTTTCGGTGGCTTGCTTGGGGTTTAGGGTGTTTTGGGCTCTCAGCAGGGTGTGCAGCTGTTCGGGTTGTAGGGCACTGGGGTCCAGAATTTTCTGCTCTGGCATCAGGTATCGGGAGGGCTTCAGGCCCTTAGCCGACACAGTTTCCATCCAGAGACGTGTGCCGATGTGTGCGCTTTCGCCCCGTGGGGTTTTGGGTTTTTAGCAAAGACCTCCTTGCCAGGAGCAGGTGGTGCACGTGCCGAAGGTGATGCAGCAGGAGCGTGCCCATCACTTCCACGTGGAGGCGCGCACGGGGCGGAGCCCCTAGTGAGGCCAGAGCTCCCCTCAAGGTAACGGGCCATCAAGGTTCAAGCCGTGCAGTGGACCCAGAGCATCACCTCGGCCTTGGATGTCAATATCACGTTGTGGGGCAGATATTCATGTAACTTAACTGTTATGTTTACCTGTTGGGGGGGGGTTTTGGGTCCGGGGGTCGAGTATTTCCCTGTTCAGTGGGGATTCCACTCTACGGCTTTAAGCTCGAAGTGCCCGATGGTGTTTAGGGTTCGGGGCATGCAAAAGCTTTAAAAGTTTCATAGGGCTCGCCATGCAGGCGAGAGGGATTAGAGTGAAGTTGTCCGGCAGGAAATTGTGGATGTGCCGGTGGAGCAGCACATCGAGCAGGTTGTGCACGTGCCGAAGGTGTCTCAGCTGGTAGCGGCGTGTTTTGGGTGAGCCCTTTACCCAGTCTAAACCCTAAACCCTAAACCTAAGCCCTAAGCCCTAAGCCCTAAACCCTAAACCCTAAACCTAAACAGACGCTAAGCCCCCAGCCATGACTGCAGAAGCAGCAGGAGCGAGGGCTGTTCGGGCGACGCCCCCAAACTCCAACAACCCGAGGTTTAGGTTTGGGGGTTTAGGGTTGAGGGTTTAGAAGCCCTGAAGCCTCCAAAGCCCCGAAGCCAAAGCCCTGGAATTCGGGCTATTGTTGAAGCAAAAGTCCTCTGATAGATATCCTTTCTCGTCCCCCTAAGACAAATTCCATGCAGGCCCTAATTTAGCTGTTGCTTCGTCAACCGAAGATCACTGTCATTTTGACGACCGTGCTGCGTGAACACATGATTGTGCAGGATGCGATAGCAACCACTTTGCGATCTCGCAGGAACATATCCAGCGTGGTTCCAATTCGGTTCATGCTTTGAATAGGCCGGCACGTTCATCGTGGGTTGTCCTAGAAGCACGGTCCTCACACAGAAACCCTATTTCACATACAGAACAGTCCGCAACTGCCTGTTTTTCCACTTGTCGCCAACTTGTCCTGGGATGAGAAGCCCCGAAATGCCCAGAGGAGTGAGAAGACTCACCAAGCACGTCCGAAGGAGGGAGCCGGGCACAGAATCTTCCCTAAACTCTAAACCCTAGACCCCAAATCCTAAACTCTAAAAACATGTCCAGAAGCAAATAGTAGTCCCAAACCCTAAACCCTAAACCCTAAACCCTAAACCCTAACCCCCAATCCCTAACCCTAAACCCTAAGAACAGGTCCAGAAGGTGGAGAAGATTGTCCACAACCCCGTTGACCTTGAGGCGAGTTCGGAGTTCAGGATCTCTCGTGAAGGGAAGGGCTGTTGGAATTTCAGGGTTTCGACGTTGAGGTGGTTTTGTGCTTTGAGGGTTTAGGGCTTTTAGGGCTTAGGGAGTTTTTAAAGGGTTTGTAGGGTTTAGGGTTTAGGGTTTTTAGGGTTTAGGGTTGTTAGGGTTTTTGGGGTTTTCAGGGTCTTTTTAGGGGTTTTTAGGTTATTAATATGTTTATTATTCTTCTATAATTTTTTTGCGGTGATGGTTTTCGAGTTTGGGCAGCAGCGTTTGATTAGTTTCACGTTCCGGGTTGAAGGCTTTTCTTGGGGGACGCCGCTGCCGAGGTCGAGGTGCCTCGCCCGGTGGTGATTGAGAAGGTCGTCCAGGCGGGCCCCAAACCCTAAATCCTAAGCCCTAGACCTTAGACACTAAACCCTAGACCCTAGGGCCCTAGGCCCTAGCCCTAAACCCTAAACCCTAAACCTCTTCTCGAGACCCACATCCTCAACCAGGGCTTCCTTGGGGGCTCCCCTCCCTGGTCATGGCGGGGTGTCCAGCAACCGTCAACTCCCAAGCCCTCAAAACTTCTAAAGCCTCGGTCTCCACCATATAGCTTGGGATACTCTCCCCTTATATATACCAGAATGGGGATTACAATAGGGGGACCAGAATCCCCGTTAAGGACTGTTAGTATAAGGGGGAATATCCCACCTATAACCCTAAACTTTAAACCCGGACAGCCGCGAACAAAGTAGGTAGGAAGGAGCAGGATTTGAGGAGCCCTTCACCTCAGGCAACTTGCTAAGAGCGCCGACAGGTACGAAGATTGCTACCAATGAATGTTGCTGCTTTTGCTACACGTCCGCCACCAGCATCACCGTTCCCGTCATTCTTCCTGGTGTGGTTCATGCCTCTTACTCTTGCATTGGTGAAAATTTTCTGTCTTGTCTGATAGTCTTGGTCCGTTGTGTAGTATGGTTAATTGTTCATATTCTGATTGTCCTCTTCTTATTGTTGTACGATGTTGTTCTGAATCTGGCTTTCGTTTTTGTTGTTATGATTGTTGTTGTGATTGTTGGAATTCAGAAACGTGCGCGCTGCCATTTTTCTCCTTCCCACCGTCTGCTGCTACGACCATTCTGCAGCTGCTGCTGCTGCTACTACTACTGCTACTATGGCTACTATTGCTACTTCTGCTACCACTGCCACGACGACGTGGACGAGGACGACACCACCGCCACTACCACTACCAGTACTACAACTACCACCACAACAACAACAACTGCTGCTGCTACTGCGACTACTACTACTACTACTACTACTACTACTACTACTACTACTACTACTACTACTACTACTACTACTACTACTACTACTACTACTACTACTATACTACTACTACTACCTACTCTACTACTACTACTCCTACTCCTACTCTTACTCCTACTCCTACTCCTACTCCCTGCTACTACTGCTGCTACTACTACTACTACTACTACTACTACTACTACTACTACTACTACTACTACTACTACTACTTTAGTATTTGGCGGGGCCCTGGAACTCATAACTCTAGTTTTCGGGATCCTGGTCAAAACCGAAAAAATCTGGGGCAGCCCCAGCCCCAGCCCCAGCCCCAGCCCCAGCCAGCCCCAGCCCCAGCCCCAGCCCCAGCCCCAGCCCCAGCCCCAGCCCCAGCCCCAGCCCCAGCCCCAGCCCCAGCCCCAGCCCCAGCCCCAGCCCCAGCCCCGTCGCCGACGGGCTCCGACGGGTTCCGACGGGTTTGACGGGTTCCGACGCGGGCCCACAACCGGTGTGCAACGTGTGCGCAATGGACGCCTCCCCATCCTCCACTGAAAACCCGTTGTTGGAACCCATAACCCGTCGGAACCCGTCGGAACCCGTCGGAACCCGTCGGAACCCGTCGGAACCCGTCGGAACGCGTCGGAACTCGTCGGAACCCGTCGGAACCGTCGGTTCGCGCACCAGCTCCCGCACCAGCTTGCGCACCAGCACTGCGCACCTGAACGTGGGTAGAGTTATGAGTTCCAGGGCCCCGCCATTTTAGTATTAGTACTAATACTACTACTAGTACTACTAGTACTAGTACTAGTACTAGCACTAGTACTAGTACTCGCACTCGCACTAGCACTGGCACTGGCACTAGCATTAGCACTAGTACTAGTACTAGTACTGGTACTAGCACACTAGTACTCCTACTCGTGGCCATACTCCGACTCCTACTCTTGCTGCTCCTACTCCGATTCCCACTCTCACTCCCACTCCCACCAGCATCTGTTCACCTTCTTTCCAAACATTCTCGCTGTGCCCGCCTAGACCCCGAACTCTGAAAGCTTCAACAGAAGTCCTATGCCTTGAAGCCCAAAGCCTTACAACCCCAACACCTGGAGCGCGATTTCCGACTTTCCGGGTCTCACACAGGTGCCCACCGTCCATGTGGAGGAGAAGATCGTCCGCGTGCCGAAGGCTGCTCAGGGTTTAGGCTGTGCAATTTGGGAGTTCGTCTGCACCCTTGTATAGTAAGTGTTGCCGCGATAGGTAGTTGTAATGACAGCGCCACTTCATTCTCCCTCTTGAAGATGGCTTCTGTATCGTAACTGAGGTGCTGAACACCGTGGTGGACACCGTGGTCCAGAACACTGTTGAGACCGTGGAGGTGGTGAAGCCGGTAGTGGCCCCCTGGCCTGGATTTGCTTTGAATCCCGGGACGTGCTTGCCATCGACTCGGTTCCAGACCCTGAAGTTGTAGGTGCGCTGATCCGCTTTTGCAGCAACATTGACCGACTCGCTCCCAATGGGTGTCTCCAAACGCCCGCAAGTGCCTATAGGTCCTGAAGCCCCAAGCTCTACGTCCCCAAAAATCCTACGTTTCTCGAAGCCAAAAACCCACACCCTCAATCCCTCCTCCGTTTCACCGGGCCGGAGCCTCCAAACATCTCCAAGCCCTTCGGGGCGGGTCAACACCCAGACCCTTCAAGGGGGCGGGCCCTTCCCATGGTTGTAAGGTTTGCGTCCTTTCAGGGTATTTTCTCTGAGACATGCTACAGCAAAAGCCCTACCTTGTACCCATGCCATCCGGATGAAGCTCATGTGCCAGGTTTTCAAGATAAACGATGGGAGTACCCGTAGTCTCCGTCCAGTATGCTTGAATTTAACAACCCTGTGCAAGCCGTACGCAAACGTTGCAAAAGACAGCCTGAAACTCCAAGCCCCAAACTCTTGAAATCCTGAACCATGACCCCTTCAGCCACGTGCCTGAGGTCCACAAGGTGGTCCAACGAAAGAGGCCCATCGTGCAGGAGGACCACTCCCCTACTTTCACACTTCACGGCTCTCGGGTGCTAGCTGGTAGAAAGAGTAGCAGTGGTCGTCGTGGCCGTCGTGGTCGTCGTCGACGTCTTGGCAGATTCATACGCGGTGTTGTTCATCACTTCTGATAACCTGGGTTTCGGCTGGCATAAGTTGACTGAACGTCCGCTTGCAAGTTCATGCTTTGTTCCACTTGGTCGAAATACATGTCTGTTAGTCAAAAATGCCTGCCATCAGATGATAAATGCTGTACGTGCCAGTGTTTTCTGTGCCCCCTCTTTCTTGCTCTACGGTTCTTTGTGCCCTCCGTGTTTGTTGCCGTTGTTTCTTGGTCTTTGGGCTGAGCGTGGGTGGGAAATTTATTGCAATTAACACTGCGGTTTCGCCAGCGTTTGGGGCTCTTTGTTGAGGCCTGCTGGAGCACTTGCAAAGTTTGGTTCGCTAGTCGCTGTCCCTCTCAACCCAGAAGCCGTCCAAGTGTAGCCCTCAGACCTAAACCCCAAAGCCCTAAAACCGTCCAAGTGCAAAGTAGGAACCACCAGGAAGCCTAAAAGCCTAAAAGCCTAAAGCCTACGAGGCTCTACAAGCTTTCAGGGGGAGCCAAGCATCTGCCCAAGCCCTCTAAAGCCATCCAAGTGCAGCGTAGGAGAGCCTTTGGTTTTGAGGGTTCCTGTTCAGACTTGGGGTTTGAGAGCCTTTGTTGTTGGGTTCCCACTCCTCTTGGGCCCAACTTGCTCCAGCAGCTCTCTTGGCACGCAGGATACCGTGCAGGTGCCCAAGGCGACTCCTCAAGCGTTCATTTGGGGGGGGAGGGGGGGAAGGGCGTTTGAGGGTGGAGGGCGCAGGGCGGGGATGAGATTCGTAGTGGGGCTGCGACCGAAGCTGAGGCCGAAAGCTGAGAACCCTCAGCCCTGAACTCCGAAACCCCGAGCACCCGAGCACCTGAGCACCTGGGGGTTGCAGGTCGTCGTGCAGCACGTCCCGGTGCAGAAGGTCGTGGAGAAGCAGGCCGGTGGTGTGTTTTTGGGGGTTTGGACTCTGGGGGTTTAGGGTTTAGGGTTTAGGGCTGAGGGTTTAGGGTTTAGGGTTGAGGGGGTTCAGGGTTTAGGGTTTAGGGTTGAGGGTTTGGGGTTCAGGGTTGAGGGTTGGGGGTTTGGGGGTTCAGTGTTTCGGTCGGCACAGGCTTCCGCACGGTTTGGAGGCTTAGTGGGCCTCAGGGGATTTGGCGTCGTTCACTTTTTTGAACTTATTTATTTATTCATATTTTATTATATATATATATATATATATATATTTTTTTTTTTGTTTTTTTTTGGGGGGGGGGGGGGGGTGGTTTTCAGGGTGCAGGGTTCGTGGCGTCTAATGGGTGTTTTCGAGGTACGGGTGGTTGTAGGTTGTTTAGAGATGACGCGGATCTGGTCTAGAGGCTTGGTGTGTGGAGAAGCCTAGCTTTCTGTGGTCAGCTGCCAAGGTGTAAGGACCCTTCTTGGAGGTACCCCTTTAGAGTAAGTGTCCATGCTTTGGAGTGACAGGGCTTTGTCCTGATGTTCTTCGAGCCAGGTGTCCGTCCCTGTCGTGCAGGAGGTCGAGCAAATTGTTGATGTGCCGGTCGTCAAGCAGAGGCAGCCGCGCCTTCACCCACAACAAGAAAGTTTCGGGAGCACCTTGCTTAGGGTGGGTACTCGTAACCTTTCTTAGGGTACTTATGGCCTTACTTAGGGACCTTACTTTGAAGGAACGTCATTCTTGACGGCGGCTCTTCGGTTGATCCGGCGAGCACTTGGAAGCACACGTCTGCACAACATTTCGACCAGCCAGGCGTGCCATCACGTGGCACATAAGTACATAGGACTAGTATACCAATATGCCGGGGCAAAGAAGAAAAATACTAACAACCCTTAATGGGGATTCTAGTACCCCCTCCTACAATCCCTATGAAGGGACCGTTAGCATATGTCAGGCACCTGCCCATGGTCCAGAAGGTCGAGAAGCAGATTCAGGCCCTGGCTCCCACTTGGCACCTGGAGGTTCGTAGGTACGGTTGTCAAAATCATAGTTCCTTGTGGGGTCCCTGATAGAATATGGCACCTAGTATTTTTAGTTCTAAGTAGGGTTATAAGTTCCCTAAGCCTACTATTGGGGTATCAGGGCACCCCTACAGGGGTGGTTGTCAAAATGACGGTCCCTTTTGGGGTCCCGAATATAATGCGGCATGTAATATTTAGGGTGCCCAAAAAGGGACCCTAGTTCTGACGACTACCCATAGGTAGTTATAAGTAGGGTTAGAACTTCCCTAAGTAAGGTCCCTAAGAAAGGTTACAAGTACCCTGCATAAGGTTACAAGTACCCTAAGTAGGGTTATAGTCATAAGTGCCCTAAGCAAGGTTATAGGTATGATGAACCTGCTTTGAACCCTACTTATAGTTACCCATGAATCTCCAAGCAGACCGTAAGCCTCAACCCCCAAGCTCTGAACCTGAGCCGTCCAGGGTTTAGGGTTTAGGGTTTTGGGTTTAGGGTTTAGGGTTTAGGGTTGAGGGCCCTAAATCACAGAAGTCCTCCCAAAAAAACACCTCCTTCGGGGTCAGAATGCAGAAGAATGCAGGGTTTAGAGTTTCGGGGCTGAGGTTCTAGGCGTGGTCCTAATCCCTGAAAACCGTAAGGCCCGATACAGTAACCTCCCTTCTTTGAAGCCAATCATGAACATGATCTGCAAGCGGTCTTGAAGCACAATTCAGAAACCCGAAAACCTAACCCCAGATTAGTTGCCAAATCAGCTCCAGCAGGTGCCCCAAATCCAGTACATGGACCATCACGTGGAAGTGCCCATCCAGAAGCAGGCGGATGGGGGCCGAGAGGTGGAGGTTCATGGGTAGTTCTAGGAGGGTGTATAAAGATAGGGCAACTCCAGTTATAGCTAGGTACAACCTTAGTAGTTCTAGGAGGGGTTATAAGGTAGGGTAACTCTAGTTATAGCTAGGTACAACCTTCTTGCTAGAGTGGCTTCGGGTTTGGGGGGGTCTCGGGTTTGGGGTTCGGGGGGATGCAGGGTCTTCGAGTTGGCGATGCCTGCCCTAAAATCTGGAGCCCAAATCCTCTGCCAACAAGGAAGAATCCTTAGTCTAAGGCCTGTGGGTCGGTTTAGGGTTTAGGGTTTAGGGTTTAGGGTTTAGGGTTTAGGGTTTAGGGTTTAGGGTTAAGGGATAGGGTTTAGGGTTTAGGGTTTAGGGTTTAGGGTTTAGGGTTTAGGGTTGGTTGACAGGTGCACGTTCCCATGGTCCAGACGGTGCAGAAGCACATCGAGGCACCGCTCCGCCGAGAGGGGTGTTTTAAGGTTTGGGGTTTAGGGTTTAGGGTTTAGGGTTTAGGGTTGAGGGGTCACAACGTGGGGGGTGTCGGGAGTTCAGCGTCCCGGAGTTCCAAAGTGCTGAGCCTTGGAACCCTCAACCCTGGGAACCCTCAATCCTAAACCCTCAACCCTCAACCCTAAACCCTAAATCCTAAACCTTAAACCCTAAACCAACCACCCAACTACTTTGTTCAAAGAGGGGTCCTCGAGGTGTGGGGTTGAGCAGTCGGTGCTCTTCGTGCCCGCGAAGTCCGCTGTGTGTCTTCAGGGGTTTAAGGAGTTTCGCAACTAGACGTTGAGCATGGGTTCAGGGATCTGGGGGTTTTGGACTTGATGTGCTTTGGGGTTTAAGCGCCTGTCTGATGGGTCTGCATGTAGTGAGACTGAGGTGCCGCAAGTCGTTTTCGAGGATGAGGTCGTCCATGTCCCCATCCAGAAGCAGGCGCTCTGCGGCTGGAGGTTTCTTCGGTTGGGACTTTGCGCTACGGGCTCTTTGCTATGCTAGCGTAGACCCCGGACAGCGTGAGACCGCTACACGCAGATCGCCGGCGTCACGAACCGTGGTTGACGCGAAGTACCTGCACGGGAGGGCATAACCCGGTTCTTTCTTGAGGATCTGTTTCACAAGGAACCCTTTTTGAATGCGAGCAGGTCCACGTGCCCATGGTCCAGAAGGTGCAGAAGACGGTGGAGGTGCCGCAGGTGCAGTACGAGGACGGCCGCGTCGAACTCCCCAAGCCCCCCCAGACTCCTAGACCCCGAGCTTCAAGCCCCGACGCCCGAAGCTCTACGTCCCAAAGCGTAGGGTTAAAGGTTCAATCAGATTCCGGACTTTGAAAGCCTGTACTATAAATCCTTAGAAAGTCGCAATGCCCGAGTTGTCCTGAGGACCAGGTCGTCCAGGTCCCCGTCCAGAAGCAGGCGCGGTCATCTGCAGAGCCCTCGGGCCCTAGGACATCCCACAAGGGCAAAGCCCCAAACCCAAAACCCTTCAAAAGCCTGTAGAGCCCTCAAGCCCCCAAAGCCTCATAGGGTTTGGGGCTTTTGGAGGCTTCGCTACTTGGAGGTTCACGGGTAGTTATGAGTAGGGTGAAATGTATGGAAACTAGAGTTACAACCTTATTTAGGGTGCTTGTAACCCTACACCCTAAACCCTAAACCCTAAACCCTAAACCCTAAACCCTAAACCCTAAACCCTAAACCCTAAACCCTAAACCCTAAACCCTAAACCCGAAACCCTAAACCCTAAAACCCTACTTCTAACTACCCATGTACCTCCAAGTACGGCTGCTTGAAACCCAACCGGCGCGAGGAGTGCTGGCGCGCTTGCATCAACACGTCCTGGGCATCCTCTCAGAACCACCTGTGCCCTTAGGGTTGATGGTCTGGGGTTTAGGGTTTAGGGTTTAGGGTTTAGGGCCCGGCTCCCCTCAACCACGCAGCCCCAAAAATCCCCTTACACTCGACCACAATAAGCCCCCCGGGGCCAGGTCCAGGTCCCCGTCGTCCAGAAGGTGCAGAAGACGGTGAAGGTGCCCCAGATCCAGTACGAGGACTGGGCTTAGGGGTTAGGGTTTAGGGGAGTTTAGAGGGGGGGTTTAGGGGGGTTTAGGGGGTTTAGGGGGTTTTAGGGGGGTTTCAGGGGGTTTAGGGGGTTTAGGGGGTTTAGGGGGTTTAGGGGGGTTTAGGGGGTTTAGGGGGTTTAGGGGGTTTAGGGGGTTTAGGGGGTTTAGGGGGTTTAGGGGGTTTAGGGGGTTTAGGCGGGGGTTTAGGGCTTAGGGTCTGATTTCTCGAGTTCCGAGCCCCAAACCCTAAGACTACAAAAACCTCCCAGGACCAGATCGTGGAGGTGCCCGTGCAGAAGGTGGTGCACGTCCCCGTCGTCCAGCCGGTGCAGAGTTCTCAGGCAAGCGCCTTTTGCTTGTCAACAAAATTTCATAAGGCGCTTTTTAGTGTCTCCAAGCGCCTTTGCAACACGATCTTTACACGCCTCGACGTGCCGCTCCAGCGGCAAGCGGCGGCGGCCTTCGAGGGTCTTGAAGTGTCTTCAACCGGCTATGAGCGCTTTTTTCAAACCCGTTCAGCTACGTATTCACGATCACTCATCTTTAAGCGCCAGAATCCTCAATTCCATGCAAGAATCGCGCTTGAGCAATCACCTTAAGGCTTCCTTAAGCAGATGTCCTTATATGAGCTCCTGTCAATGTTTAAAGAGACTCAGAGGCGTAAAGGTTCCCCGGCTTGGAGGCCGAACGCAACTCTGCAACCGACTTCCTTCCGAACCTCTCACAAGCACCCCCCCCCCCTCCCGCCCGTTTACCCCGGAAGAAGCAGGGCGGCGCATTGCCTTGATCAATGCAGCAGCCCTTTTCTTTCGATGCGTCTTAAGGGTCACGCGTACTTTTAAGAGGGTTTAGGGGGTCTAAGTTGGGCCGATGAGGGGCCCGGTCGTTCTGGCTTCTCAACTGCGGTTCGAGATTCTGGGGTGATTGAACACGCAGTGGAGGGTTCAGTTTTCTGGGTTGTGGTTTCAGGTTCGGAGAGTTTCGGGGTTCATGGTCTACGTCTTTCAGGCCAATCCCTTAGGTTTTTTTGGCGGTGATCGTCACAAGACATTGGCAACTGCCTGTCCTGAAACTCACGAGAAAGGGAGAGCAGCCCCCGTAGCCAACCATGTGTCGCTGCTCCACGACCTTAAGCTGAGCTCTTAAAACTTAAAACTCAATCTGGCCATGCAGGCTCCCATGCAGATGGCCCCAGGGCAGATGGGAGGCCCAGGGCAGATGGCCGGCCCAGGGCAGATGGGTGGCCCAGGGCAGATGATGGGCCCAGGCCAGATGATGGGTCCAGGCCAGATGGCTGCCCCTGGACAATTGGCTGGTCCAGGGCAGCTTGCCGGCCCAGGGCAGCCGGTCGGACCAGGCCAGATGGGCGGCCCAATCCAAACGATGGGTCCTGGCCAGATGGCACCGACCCCCTATGGGGCGTCATCGACGCAGATGGCCCCGCCCGGCACCTACGGTGCGCCGATGCAGGTGCCCTGGTTTCGTTCGGTTTTTGTTCATTTTTTGATAACGTCAGGAAGGTGCCAAGCTGGCACCAGGCAACCCTTTGACTCCTCAGCAGACCCAAGTGAAAGCTTGGCAATCTTAAACGCTCTTGGAGCGCCCCAAAACCCTAACTTGTCCCAAAAAGGGGCCCCAATCTCAGGGACCTGGTGGACCCGCCGGTCCAGGGCAGAGCTCCGTGATGCAGGGAGCGCCGAGGCAAGGGCAGCTGTTGGGGAAGGGGGGCTGCAGCTTAAGGGGGTTCAGGGTTGGCCCAAGGACTTCTTGGATTCGTGCTGCGCGTGCGTTCTTCTTACGACCCGCTGAGGTGGCATCGTGATTCACAGTCCTTGCTTTTGCTTGCGGCGTTGTGGTAATTGCAAACGTACGCTCTTAGCTTACGAGCATGGTGCTGGAACCCGGCTCGAATGCCTGCTACACGAAAGCACACGTATGCATCAGACTTGTCCTGAGCCTATAAGCCCTAAACCCCAAACTCTGACATCAACCTTCTTCCTAAACCTCCAAAGCAAAGACCGGGGGCCGAGTCATCCCAGGACGGTGGAGGTGCCTCAGATCCAATACGAGGACCAGGTGGTGCAGGTCCCCATCCAGAAGCAGGCTTCCCGCGCTGCTTGTAAATCCATACTACCACGTGCTCAAGATTTTCCTCAAAGACTTGCCCCCGCCGCCTCCGCGTGAGAGCAGGAAGAGGACCCTAATAAACCTCAGACCCCAAACCCTAAACACCCCCAGGTCCCAAACTCTCTTTGTGGTGCTGACACAGGTTCACGTGCCCATGATCCAGACAGTCCAGAAGACTGTGGAGGTGCCGCAGATCCAGCCCCTTGACTGAGCAGGGTTTGGGGGCGTTTAGTGTTGTTTTGGTTTTCTTTTCAATCTTCAGGATAGTGCAGTTTTCTGTGTTTGCAGGTTTCCAGCCTCTATGATTTCTATATTTTGCTATTCTGTTAAATCTTACAGTTCGTGTACTTGTGGTCTTTTACTTGTTCCTTATATTACTTCATGTTGCTCCATGCTGCTTCATAGACATAATTTACGTCTCTTTTTGCTTAGACATATTCATTTCTGACTTAGATGTTTGATCTCCCGTCTATGGGGGTTTCCGAAAATAGGGGTCCCTTTTGGGGTCCTTTAAGGGGATTCTATTTGGGGTATAAACGGGCACCCCTTTCCCTGTAAAATCTTTATCTTTTGGAGCCCGAAGCTTCGAGCTTTGCGACCTCAAAACACAAAAGCCTACCTAGTGAGGTACATGGACAAGGTGGTTGAGGTGCCAGTGCAGAAGCAGGTGCATGTGCCCCTGGTCCAGACGGCTCTTCGGCGGCAGACCCGATGTCAGGAACCATTTCTAGCCCCAAACCCTAAAAACCTTAAAGCTGCGGGAAGGATTTGGGACGTTAATCCAAGCTTCAAAGTCTGCTGCCGCATCCTAGGCTTGAAGCCCTGGGAACTTTCAGTTCTCGATGCCCCAGGCCCCTACCTAGACCCCAAGCCCCCAAACCCCAAACCCCAAGCCCCAAGCCCCAAACCCTACACCCTAAACCCTAAACCCTAAATCCTCAGGTGCATCGTCCGGTGGAGGTGCCGCAGATCGAGTACATCGATTCTTGGCAAAGCAGCGACGACGTCTTCCATTTTGGGATGAGTGGTGTGGGGGTACTCGAGGGTTTCCAGAGCTTCCATCTGGATGGCACCAAGCTCCCAGTAGTTCAGGTAGGTCTTGCATTCTGGACACGTGCGCACGCACAGTCGCCCACAACCAAGCCGAAACAGCAATCGAACCCAAAAACCCCAAAGCCCTCTTCGCCAATATGAAGAAGATACTTCTGGGGTCGTTTGTGTAGCTTTCGGTGTGGGTGTGGGTTTGTCAGATGTGCGATCTGAGGGGTTGAGGTTCGATGGCGCTCCGAGGCAGACCTGCATCCCTACACGGCCGTCGCGGTCCTTAAAACTTTCGACCCCGAAGTCCTCAAACCCTCGACCCAACCCCGCGATTCAGGACCACCATGTGCACATCCCCATCCAGAAGCACCGCCATGTGCCAGTGCAGATCCCGGTCCAGCGCCCCGTGGAGGCCCGGTCGCTGCACGCGAGCTACAATTCAGCCGTTGTAAGCTTCGGGTTCCGGAAGAACGACAAGAACCGGCACCAGCAAGAAGACAAGCTGTAGAAGCACCAGTGCAAGCACCACCAGAACCAGCAGCGGCAGCAGCGCCACCAGCAGCACCGCCGCCCGCCACCACCACTACCATATCGATGATGGCTCCAAAGCCGGGACAACGATGCCGATAACGACCACGACGACGACCGAAGCCCCGCCTTCATCTGCTGTACCTGAGGCAGTGTGTGTTCTAGCCGACCCTGCGAAACAAGTCCTCCCTGAGACTGTGGGGCAAGAGTGGTCGTCTGTACCAACCCACCCCATCAAGCCTTGGCCTGACCTTGTGCAGCTTACCCAAGGACCCGGACCTGACCGTGTATAGGCTCTTGGCGGGCGTGCCTTCACGAGTCTTCGAGTTGCTCTCTGGCCACGGGCGGGGGGGGGGGGGACGCGTCCCCATCGCTAAGATCTCTATAGAAGGCAAAGACACACGCCTTGTCCTGGACAGCACCGTGTGCCATGTGAACCCTTCCTGCACGAGCACCCACACCAAGAGCATCACCGTTACCCCGCCGCCGCGGCGACCGTCACAGCCACGATCGGGGATGACGATGGCGACAACGACAGTGTCACCAGCAACACCAGCTTCAACCGCCACCAGACTAGGAACGGTTAACAGCACGAAAACTTGAGCACACTTCGACCAGTAGGGCTGTTGTCAGTATCGTGCGGCCGAAATTTGGTGCAATGCACAAGACCGCAAGATCCGAGACCTGAAGTGTGAGCGACACGTGAAGCTTGCATCCGAGCCCAGGAAAACTTCCATAAACGCGCAAACCCTCCATCGTCGTAGGTCAACGTGATCGAGACCACGGAGAAGGTTGTGGACATCCCAATCGTCAAGCAGCGGGAGGTGCCGCAGGCCGGGTCTCTGTTTGGGATACCTTGTCGTAGTTGTATTCTCAGAGGGTTTCCAGTTTCCAGCCAATTCATGCTTTTGTGGAGGTCCAGACCGTTGAGCGAGTCGTCGAAGTGCCGATGGTGCGGCCCTCGGGATTTGGGTTTAGGGGGTTCTGGGGTTTGGCGTTTCGCGACGTAGGGAGAGCCCAAAGCCGAAAGCCCAACTGCACCCCGCTTTGCTTAGATTTTCCGATTTACGGGGCTCCTGTGCCATGATTTCGTTTCGAGATTGCGATAGGAAGCGTGCCTTTACGTAATTCAAGTCTTTCAGACAGCATCCAGTTGTCGTGCAGCGCAGCTCGCTGCTTCGTGCTTGAAAGACCCACCCAGGTGCAGGTGGTCCAGAAGGTCGTGGAGATCCCTACGGCGATACGGGGGGGGGGGGGGGGGGGGGGCGGGTGTTGCGGCTTGCGCAAAAGAAGGTTGAAGCTTGTTGAAGGTTTGGGGTTCTGCAGGCTTCAGAAGGGCTTCGCATTTCGAGTTCGACATCGCGCCGATGCGGGCCCAAGCCACCCAATTCTTGGAGCTTGAAATTCTGAGTCCTAAGCCCCTGAGCATCCCTGAGCCCAACGCCTCAACCAAAATCCACAACCTCAAAGATCCCTGGTGCCAGGAGGGCCAGACGGTGCAGGGCACCGTAAGGGAAGTTGACATCCCCGCCGAGCCCCGCCGCGAGGATGGAAGCGTTGGGGGTGTAGGGAGTCCCCTAAAATCCCTAAAATCCCTAGAATCCCTAGAATCCCTAAGATCCCTAGAATCCCTAAGATCCCTAAAAATCCCTGAAATCCCTAAAATCCCTGAAATATGCTAATTCTAAACCCTAAGCCCTGAAGCCCTAGCAGCTCTCAATCCCGAAGTGTTCTGTGAACCTCTGAAGCCCTCAAACTCGTTCCATGGTCTCTAAACCGCCAAGCTTGGTTGTTCAGGGCGGCGTAGGGCTTAGGGTGTTTTGGGTATAGGGTTTAGGGTTTAGGGTTTAGGGTTTAGGGTTTAGGGTAGTTCGAAACCCTGAAAACCCTAGCACGAACAACTCAAAGCCCCCCAAACCTTTGCGTCCAGCAAGCATGCGCGTCTGTCTGCGTGGGCACGCTTACTTCAAAGTACTGAAGGATGGTACGGTTCCTGCAACGGACTGTAGCTCCCAGGCATGCTAAAACAAGCAAGGCTAAGAATCAGGTTCAGGTTCAGGATTGCAGGGTTCAGTTTGATTTTTTGGTTTGTAGGGCCCTATGCAACGCACTCCCGGCATCGTGCAGTCTTCTGGTCAAGACCATGCGTGCAGCGCCAGATCCCAAACCCAACAAGAGCCCTTGCTGGCCGCACTAGGGTGCCGGCGGCATCCCAACCCAAAGCCATCCTAGTCTCAGTCGAGTGTTGATGTAGAGTTCAGGGTTTCCGGCGTTTCCGGGCTGTTTATCAGCCCCGATGTCTTGGGGATCGAGGTCTTCGGCTCCGATTTAAGACTTGGGAGACCAGCATATGCTAGGATCATGGTCGAGGGTTTGGGAACACTGGTTTCGGGTAGGAGCACCCGACGCAGACTGTCCAGCAGGCCAGTTGCAGAAAGCTCTTTGTCTTTGCTTTTTGCACCACTCCGGGTTTACTAGGCAGGATCAGTCATGCCACAAACAGCCCCAAACGTTGTAACATACAGAGCCTTGCACGGCAATCCCATTCCCCTATGATTACATGCATCACAAACCCCCGCCCCCAAACTGTAGCCCCTAACATGCTACAATTCTGCAGAGCGCCCAATACTTTTTCAGCAAGGAAGATACCTGAATCCGAATCAAGACCTCCACATAATTTAAGGCAAAATGACCCTGAAATCAGGGGTATGGGGCCTTTGGACAAGCCCTTCAACCCTCCAGGGATAAGGCTCTGGGATGGTTTCGATTTCCGGCTTTTGCCCTGGGGCTCAAGCAGCCCGAAGCACGAACCTCAAGCCCAAAGGCCTCAACGCCCCCCCCATCCCTCAACCCGTCAGCCCCCCCCAAGCCCTGAAAGCCCCTACTCACCCGGCAACAGGTCCTGGCTGGGCCCGATCATCCTATGGAGGTCGTCCAGGGACAGGTGCGGGCCTTACAGCTCTACATTGGGGTTTAGGGTTTAGGGTTTAGGTTTAGGGTTTAGGGTTTAGGGTTTAGGGTTTCGAGTTTAGGGTTGAGGGTTAGGGTTGTGGTGGTGGGTAGAACCCCTAGCCGATGAGGTGTCCATCCAGGGTCCTTCGAGTTGGGTTTCGGAGTGCGCTCGAAGCCTGGTGTATGCCCAAACTCCAAAGCCTCAACCCCAAACCCTAAACCCTAAACCCTAAACCCTAAACCCTAAACCCTAAACCCTACACCCTAAACCCTACACCCTAAACCCCCCGAAGCCAAAACTCTGCATCCCGAGCCCCCAACCCAAAAATCCCAAACCCCAACATCCGATCCTTCAAGACTGAGGTCACGGAAGCTCCCCAGGCTCCCCAGCCACAGGCCATGCGATTCTTTTGTAGCGTTGCTGGGTGGGGTGGTTTAGGGTTTAGGGTTTAGGGTCTTGAGTTCGGGCTGAGGTATTGATATTCGGCGGTAAGATCGAAACCTTCCCAGCTATTCAAGGTGCGATTTTCTCGCATGCGGATGCTCAGTGCTTGCTTCCAGCCCACCTACAAAGCCAATGGTAACCCTAGTAATTATAATCCTTATGGGGCCCCACAGCCCATGCCAGCCGGTTACTTATCATTTGGGGTGTGACGCGCCCAAACCCTCAAAACTGAAATCCTCAAGCCCGAAACCTTAAAACCGTGAGCCCCAAACCCTTCAAACCCTGAAGCCCCAAAGCCGCCAGGCCATGCCGGCCCCGCAGCCCATGCCGGCGCCGCAGCCCATGCCGGCCGGGCCCTTCAGTGTTGGGATATGGCGCTCCGAAATCCTCGAACAGAAGCCATCAAGCCCGAAGCCCTGAAACCCTTTAAGCCCCAAACCCTTCAAACCCTGAAGCCTCAAAGCCGCCAGGCCCCCATGCAGCCGCAGGGTGCACCCTACGGGGCCCCGCAGCCCATGCCGGCCGGCCCCTTAAATGTCGGCATATGTCCTCCAACTGAAGCCCTCAACCGCGAAACCCTGAAACCTTTCAAACCCTGCCTCAAAGCCACCAGGCCCCAATGCAGCCGCAGGGTGCACCCTACGGGGCCCCGCAGCCCATGCCGGCGCCGCAGCCCATGCCGGCCGGGCCCTTCAGTGTTGGGATATGGCGCTCCGAAACAGAAGCCATCAAGCGCGAAGCCCTGACACCCTTTAAGCCCAAACCCTTCAAACCCTGAAGCCTCAAAGCCGCCAGGCCCCAACGCAGCCGCAGGGCGCACCCTATGGGGCCCCACAGCCCATGACGGCCGGGCCCTTAAACTTTGGGGCGTGATGCTCTCCGAGTAAACCCTGAGGCCCGAAGCCTAAAGCGTAAAGCCCAAACCCTGAAGCCTCACCACCGTCAGGTCCCTGAAGCTTTGGGGAAGCCTTTAACCCACATCCTTAAAGCCCCAAGCTGCCCTAAACCCTGATGTCGAATTCTGTAGAAGAATCGAAACAAGAAACTGAAACCACCCCCCCCCCCCCCCCCCAAGTGTTAAGCTCTACATCCGAACCCCCTGAGCCATACTACTTCTTTTTAGTCATCCCTGCCTTACTTGGGTCTTCTTCTGAGCATTCGAGGATCCCGGATCCGTGGGTCCCTTCCGCATCCTGGGCAGGTGCCGGCCACGACCACCATCGGTGAGCCCGTCTACCTGCCACCCACGACCGCCCCGACCGAGGATCGTGGGGACTTGCAGCCCCAAACTTAAATCCTAATTCCGAGACAAGCCAAAATGCGGCCGCCTGAAGCCTGAAAGCCCCAAAGATCGAAGTCAGTGAATATGGGCTGAGGCCGTGATTGCCAACCTCACAGGCCCAGCAACCCCAGCAACCCGATTGCCTGAAAGCCCTTTTCACTTAGGGGTACTTGGGGAGATAATTTCTAATTTTTGGGCACTCTAATTCCTAAGAAACAGCAAAAAATAGTTTTTGCTGGGGATAGTATTAATAAACCCCGAGCCACAGGCTCCGGCGCAGATGGAGCCTGCGGCCTATGCTCCGGCGACGCAGGCACGGAACCCTTGTGAAGGGTTTAGGGTTTAGGGTTTAGGGTTTAGGGTTTAGGGTTTAGGGTTTAGGGTTTAGGGTTAAGGTTTTGGGTTTTTGGCACCAATAAGTTCATATAGGTTTTTACAAGGTATACATGGTCGACTTTTTCTGGGTGGCGTTGGGAATCAGGCATCGCTGGGCTAGAGAGATGCAGGGAAGCACGCTGCAGTCGCTTTATTTCTGGGGCGGTTCCATTGCAGCCTAAGTTGGGAGGTACGCGTGCTTAGAAAATCCTGAGTCTTCGAGCTTGTGGCGGAGCTCTTGAAGCCCGACAAAGCGTAGACAACTCCCCAAGCCCAGACGTTCAGGACTTTCTGTCTCTGCCAGGTCTTTAAGGATACTGAGGCGTTCAAATCTTTCAAGCTGAGAAGTGAAGGCTGAGAGCATACAATCTAGGGTTTTGAGGGTTTTGTGATACTTATTTGTAGGGTTGCCTGTGCCTTGATTACGTCTCAACCTGCTTTTAAGTGCCACAAACCTTCGCGTACAGGTTTCTTACATGCGTTCTGCCGAGAAGAACCGTAGTTTTTTACTTTTCTCCCCGGTCTGGGGTGGTTAGATTGCTCGTGCCCATCCCGGCCAGTGCTCCCAGAGAATCCTGCAAAGAGTCCAGCGAATTCTCTGTGGAGCGCCCATCAGATCCCCCCCTCCCTTCCCCCCCCTTCCCCCCCACCCCAAGAGCATCCCGCGGAGAGTCCTGCGTAGGGTTTAGGGTTTAGGGTTTAGGGTTTCGGGTTTGGGGTTTAGGGTTTAGGGTTTAGGGTTTAAGGTTTAGGGTTTAGGGTTTAGGGTTTAGGGCGTCCCTGCCCTACAGCATCCCTGTGCACCCCGACCGCGGAGCATCCCGAAGTGCCGTCTCGGGGTCGTGTTTTTAAGCGACCGGTTGAAGACCATCCGCAGCCTTTCAAAGTAAGGGGACCCTTTTTTAAGACACCTTTTTTCTTCATACGGCGTCATACGGTTCTTTGTAAGACAGGCCCCGCCCCAACCAGACCCTGGTCCAAAACAACCCCTACCAAGCCTCCTAGACTCTACGCGCGAGTTCTGTGAGTCCAACCTAATTTGGGTTTATGGTTTAGGGTTTAGGGTTTAGGGTCTTATTCTGAGCATTGGTGGATCCCAGAATCGTAGGTCGCGAGCCTTCTGCGTCCTCAGCAGGTGCCGACCACGACCACCATCGGTGAGCCCGTGTACCTGCCGCCCACGACCGCCCCGGCCGAGGTTCGTGGGGACTTGCTTTACCGACACTGGCAAGCCTGCAGCCCTAAACTCAAATCCTAATTCCGAGACAAGCCGACATGTAGCCTGAAGCCTGACAAGCAACCCCCTGAAAGCCCTTTTCGTGAGCCACATGCTCCGGTGCAGATGGAGCCTGCAGCTTATGCCTGAGCTTTAGCACCCTAGCGGATTTCTGCTTGGGACTTTGAGTCTTCAGGTATTCGGTTTTCCCTGCAAGCCCTGCATTGTTCGAAACACTGTGAAGCACTGAAAGCCCTGACGAATCAGGGTGCCCCTCAGACGGCTCCGGCCTATGGCGCTCCGGGCCCAGCCTACGGCGCTCCGGCCCCAGCCTACGGCGCTCCGCAGATGGCGCCTGCCACCTACGCTCCGGCAACGCAGGCACGGAACCCCCTGACCAAAATGCAAGCCCCAAGCCTCGAACACCTCTGCAGCCCAAAGCCCTCCCTCCTTGCATCAACCCTAGCTCGGTGTGATATCTTTGAGCAACCGAGTTGGGTTTATCTAGCAGGATGTCAAGTGTCAGTGTGAGCTGTATGCAAACCCTTGAAAGACGGCACAGACCTCGTAGCTGTGGCATAGGGTCATGGTCCTTGTCGTTGTTTTTCGGTGCAGGGCTTTGATATTTCAGGTGCTTTTCCATGCATGCTTATTGGTGCACATCATTTTTTGGGACATGGTTGTTCGCCAGGCGCCAACGACAACCACCATCGGTGAGCCGGTGTACCTGCCTCCCATCACTGCGCCTGCTGAGGCCCCATAGTGACCATAGAGGAGCTGTAGCCACATAACTTCTGTCGTGTAAGTATAAATGCTAATGCACTGGCCAAGAGGCAAGCAGCTAGCATATATCGACCTCTCATAGTATGCATGCTGGAACATGGGGGTCTGAATACGTTGAAAGTATCCCGTGAGCTGCATGTGCAAGCAGAGTTGTTCGAAACACTGTGAAGCACTGAAAGCCCTGACGAATCAGGGTGCCCCTCAGACGGCTCCGGCCTATGGCGCTCCGGGCCCAGCCTACGGCGCTCCGGCCCCAGCCTACGGCGCTCCGCAGATGGCGCCTGCCACCTACGCTCCGGCAACGCAGGCACGGAACCCCCTGACCAAAATGCAAGCCCCAAGCCTCGAACACCTCTGCAGCCCAAAGCCCTCCCTCCTTGCATCAACCCTAGCTCGGTGTGATATCTTTGAGCAACCGAGTTGGGTTTATCTAGCAGGATGTCAAGTGTCAGTGTGAGCTGTATGCAAACCCTTGAAAGACGGCACAGACCTCGTAGCTGTGGCATAGGGTCATGGTCCTTGTCGTTGTTTTTCGGTGCAGGGCTTTGATATTTCAGGTGCTTTTCCATGCATGCTTATTGGTGCACATCATTTTTTGGGACATGGTTGTTCGCCAGGCGCCAACGACAACCACCATCGGTGAGCCGGTGTACCTGCCTCCCATCACTGCGCCTGCTGAGGCCCCATAGTGACCATAGAGGAGCTGTAGCCACATAACTTCTGTCGTGTAAGTATAAATGCTAATGCACTGGCCAAGAGGCAAGCAGCTAGCATATATCGACCTCTCATAGTATGCATGCTGGAACATGGGGGTCTGAATACGTTGAAAGTATCCCGTGAGCTGCATGTGCAAGCAGAGTTGTTCGAAACACTGTGAAGCACTGAAAGCCCTGACGAATCAGGGTGCCCCTCAGACGGCTCCGGCCTATGGCGCTCCGGGCCCAGCCTACGGCGCTCCGGCCCCAGCCTACGGCGCTCCGCAGATGGCGCCTGCCACCTACGCTCCGGCAACGCAGGCACGGAACCCCCTGACCAAAATGCAAGCCCCAAGCCTCGAACACCTCTGCAGCCCAAAGCCCTCCCTCCTTGCATCAACCCTAGCTCGGTGTGATATCTTTGAGCAACCGAGTTGGGTTTATCTAGCAGGATGTCAAGTGTCAGTGTGAGCTGTATGCAAACCCTTGAAAGACGGCGCAGACGCTGTTTGAGTCTTGCCGTCGTTGGGGGTTATTTCTGCAACTGGACACCCTGCAACTTCATGGCATTTGCGCCTCCAGGCAGACGCTAAACCCTAAACCCTAAACCCTAAACCCTAAACCCTTAAAGTGTTACCGCTTTGCTCACGGCAGCAGGTGCCTGGCTCCGTGCCTGGCACTACCACCGTCGGCGAGCCTGTCTACCTGCCACCCATCACTGCCCCAGCGGAGGCGCCCTCCCATGTTTCGGGGCGTCGGCTGTGGGGTTTGAGGGCTGAGGGCTTAGGGTTCGGTTTAAGGTCTTACTCCTGAAAGGGAAAGAGTGCCGTTCAAAGCAGTAGCTGGGGTGTGAGCCAGTGAAAGTCTCGACGCATCAGGGCGCCCCTCAGATGGCTCCGGCCTATGGCGCTCCGGGCCCAGCCTACGGCGCTCCGGCTCCAGCCTACGGTGCTCCAGCCCCAGCCTATGGCGCTCCGACCTATGGTGCCCCGGCCCCAGCCTACGGCGCTCCGGCATACGGCGCGCCCGCCACGATCCAGGCCGAGAATCTTTCTCGGGTGTTTGCTGGAGCCGAGCCTAAGCATCTATGTTCGGCCTGCAGAGGGTTGCAAGTCACAAGTGTCCGAAGTTCTGGTAGCTAATGGCTACCCTAAGTTACCCAGTAGTACCTGCATTCGAAATCCCTCAACCCTAAACCCTAAACCCCAAACCCCAAACCCTAAACCCTGAACCCTGAACCGCAGCCTGGTTACGCTCCGGGCTACGGTGCGCCGACCACCATGCAGGCGCCCAGCGAAAGAGCCAAGCACGCGTTGTGGTTCTCGGGGTCTTAAGGTTTGAGGTTCAGGAGTTTGGGGGGCTGGGGGGTGTAGGGTTCGTGATTCAGGCTTCAGGCTGAAGGAATCTTAAACCCGAATAGAAGTGTGTAAGGTTGGGGAGCTCCAAGCAAGGCAGCCGGGTCCATTTTGCCTGAAGTGGTGTGCTGCATCTTGTCGGGCTCAGGGTTTAGAGTCTCAGGTTTATGGTGCGCCTTAAGCCCTGAACCCTCCTGAGCCCGAGAGACCCTAAGAAATCCAAGCCCCAAGCATGTCAGAGATGTTGCTGCTGCTCCGACTCTGCACCTCGCCACTCTTTGTGTATAATTGACTGGGTTTCAGTATGAGCAGAAGGCCCAAAGCCTCGGCCAATGCCCAGTGCTGCCCTTTTCGCAAGTTTGGGTCTTGGGTTTCCTTTCTGCAGTTTGCCAACAAGAGAAGGCACCCTCATCATCATTGTATCAAGCCCCAAACTTTGCCCTAAACCACAGGCCCCAAAGCCCAAATCCGACAAGATCCACAGTTCGATAGCTCGCAGAAAACCCGACCCAATATCTCTTAAGTAGGGAGTCCATCCTTAGAGGGGACAGTTCAGCCCAACTCCCTTCCCGTTTGCTGGGGAGCTATTTGCGAAAAGCTGTTGGCGGTGCCCTGCTAAACCCTAACCCCCAAACCCCAAACCCCAAACCCAAAGCCCTTAAAACCTTTCTTGGGCTCTAGATCAGGAAGGGCCACAAAACCCCATGGCCCACAGAAGGAAGCCCAGCTGCCGCCCAAGTAGGGGCTGTACCTCAAAGTCTTTCTGGGGTTTAGGGTTTAGGGTTTAGGGGGAGTAATGGTGAATTCAGGTAAGGCTCAGGTTTCGGGGGGGGGGGGGGGGGGGGGGGGGGGTTGGGGTTTAGCTTCAACTCAAGAACCCCGCAAGCTCTTGAAGCTAATTTCTATAGACCCCCTGATGAGAATCATCGGAAGCCTGCTAACCTACAAAGAGACCGTTTTTGGGGTTCGTAAAGTAGGGATTCGGATCTTGGCAGGGCGGTGCGATGCCAGGCCCACCCGCCGAAGTCATGGTTTGAGAGCGGGTTCGGAGATAGAGGATGATATTTCTGAAAAGCTCTACGCCCTCAACCTCATAGAGCCTTTCTGTTCGTGGGCTTGTGGTCTTGGGTGTAAGTGACTGTTTATTGGGTTGGTTGTGGTTGTGGTCGTGGTCGTGGTTGTGGCTGTGGTTGTCCTGTTTTGTTAGTCTCGTTTTTTGTGTTCTTGACATTGTTATTATGGGTGCTGGTCTCGATCTTGTTGCAGTTTTCGTAGTCTTCTTCTTGGTGGTGCGCCCATCACAAGCACGCCATGCCACAAGATCGAGGTCCCAAACTCCTACGCCTCAGAATCCCAAGTCTAGGTTCCCCGTAGACTTTCGCCCAGACATCGGTTGCGATGTCGTTCGGCAGGGTTTAGGGTTTAGGGTTTAGGGTTTAGAGTTTAGGGTTTAGGGTTTAGGGTTTAGGGTTTAGGGTTTAGGGTTTAGGGTTTAGGGTTTAGGGTTTAGGCTTTAGTGTTCAGAGCTTCAGCGCGACAAAGGCAAGGGCAGTGATGATTCTAGTACGCCTTCGGCGGGAGTAGTAACCAACATGAGTGACACGATGCACATCCCCAAGCTCTGAACGCTAGACCCTAGTGTTTGGGATTGTTTACTACTATTATTATTATTATCATTGTTATGATTAAACTATACTTATATTTATATCTATATCTATATTTATATCTATATCTATATCTATATCTATGTCTATGTCTATATCTATATAGTCATATTTGTATTTATAGTTTATATATATTTATATCTAGCCCCCTGAACATGAAAGAGGCCCGAAGCGCGAGATGCTCCACATGCCAGGTACCGTGTACCCCGGCACTGTCATGCAGGGCGCCCCCGGCACGGACATCTTCACCATGATGGACCATCTTAGGGTTTAGGGTTTAGGGCCTAGGGTTTAGGGTTTAGGGGTTTAAGGTAAAACTTGTATCATCTATATACATCTATACTGTAATGGCATCTTTCACTTTCCTGCTTTTCATGCCCCGTCCTAAGGAAATTGCTAATTTGGGTTTCTGGTAGCAGCTACGAACAATCTTTCCAAAGTGCCTTTTTGCGCATGCTACTGGCAGCTTCTAAGCCGTAACTCTTCACATAAGCCAGCCAAATGCAAGCTGCAATGCTTGATGCCCACTGCGGTTGCTGAACCACCCAAACTGCACCCACCAAAGTCCCAAATAAGGTGTGCAAATTAAGGACCGTGGGTCTGGGCCTGAGACCCCCCAAGCCTTTGAACCCTACACACTAGACCCTACACACTAGACCCTAAACCCTAAACCCTAAACCCTAAACCCTAGACCCTAAACCCTAAACCCTAAACCCTAAACCCTAGACCCAGCCCTGTGACTGTGATGCCCCGTCCCCCACCGCAGGACACCAACAACGACGGCGTTGTGTCCCGCGACGAGCCACTGGGCCGCAGTGCAGCTTGGGGTTTTGGGGGTCAGGGTTTGGGGTTTAGGGTTTAGGGTTTAGGGTTTAGGGTTTAGGGTTTAGGCTTTAGGGTTTAGGCTTTTCAGGGGCTTGCGGGCTCAGTGCTTCATCAGCTCGGGTTCGAGAGGCCTGTTGTTGTTCTTTCCTGCTTCTCATGTCCCGCCCCTTTCCGGGGCGCGTTAGCGTTTTTTTAGCGCGCCTGGGCTTCGGTTGCTGGATAAGGGTCCTTGCTGCTTTTTATCTTGGCACAGCGGCTGAAGTCGCTGTGCACATCGGCTTTTCGAAAGCTCTTCTTTCGCATACCTGTCGAGGGCTGAGCGCGGCCTTTACTTTGCACAGTCGTTGAAAAATCGGCAGAGGATGTAGATTGGGCGCATTCCAACGATGTGCACAGCCAAAACTTTCTGAACCCCCAATGAACACACTCAACTGAAGCACTCACCACAACACGTCAAAAACTTGACCCTTACCACAAACATGCAAAACAACACTGCCAGGAGCCTCGAACACAAATGTTGTTGCAGTCCGTGAACCCTTGAAAGTTTTAACTTTAAGTCGAAGCTTAGGGCTTCAGGACTCAAGGATTCAGGATGTTGGTCATTCATACGAGCTCTGTTAGGTTGTTGTGTGTCGGGCGATCTTGAGGCAGCGAGGCAGCCATAGCTCATCCAGCCATCCCCCTAAGGCGCCCGGAAGAAAGAAACCTCTCTCTCTCTCTCTCTCTCTCTCTCTTTCTCCCCGTACATAGTGGTTATAGTAGTACGTTGAATACGTCATCCTGTGTATACACCATGTGTGTCTGACATTACAAAACCCGAAGCCATTAGAATGCTACACCGCCTCGGCCCCTCCTGTCCCTGAGCTTAGGGGTACTTGGAAATAGTTTTTATTTTTTTGGGCACTAGAATTCCTAAGAAACAGCAGAAAAGTCATTGTTGCTAGGCTTCCAAGTTCAGTATAGCCTCTTGGCCCCTAGGTTCGCCGCGGCCATGAAGTCGGGTGGCGTGGTGCCGGTTGGAGCCCGGATCTCGGGGCAGGGCTGAGGCTTCGGGGTTTCGGGGTTTCGGGGTTTAGGGGTTTAGGGGTTTAGGGGTTTAGGGGTTTAGGGGTTTAGGGGTTTAGGGGTTTAGGGTTTAGGGTGTGATCCCTATATTCCCTACCCGTTCTAGGGGGAAGGAGTGTCGGGCTGACGGTTGAAGGCTTTCTTTGGTCTGTCGCGACATCAGGGTTCCGGAAGGGAGATGGAGGGTTCAAAGTTGAGGAGTTGCCCTAAACCCTAAAACCCTACACCCTAAACCCCTAAACCCCTAAACCCTTAAACCCCTAAACCCCTAAACGAGATTCGTGCTGAGGCTGACGATTGTTGAGAAAGTTGTTGCAGTTCGGGATTTTCCGCCCAGAGTTCCTCTCGGGGGTGGTCGGGAGTACGAAAAATAGGGGCCTTATGGGGGTCCTTATTATCAGGGAATCCTACTAATTTTGGATCGATATCAGGGGTCCCTTGTTTTCGTAAACCCCCATATTCAAGGGCGCCACGCTCACCCTCAACCTGGCTTGGGACGTGTCATGATTTCAGGGTCCCTGCGCGCTTTTCAGGGTTTTGGAGGTGCTCTTACAGTGCTCTTGATTTCCGAGGCAGTCAGTGTCGTTCAGCATCCGAAGTTGTGCGGCCTTCACAAAGCCCACTTCACTTGCAGTTGCATCGTGAAGCTCCCCAACAAACCCAAAAACCCATCTAGTTTCACAGCCCGGATCCCAGAAGCCCTTGACAAACTCGAAACCCCAAGCTGTCAACCTGCAGACCACCAACTGCCCGGCTTGCGGCAACGTGTACGCGGACGACGCGGTCTTCTGCCGGAAGTGCGGCCGCAAGCGCGACGAGGCGCGAACTGATGCAGAGTTGGAAAAAGCAGAGAGAGAGAGAGAGAGAGAGAGAGGGAGATCCAACGAAAGCGACAGTGTAGTTGAACCCGACGGGTGTGCGTGTGCCGGTCAAGGCCGCATGAAGCCAAGAGAGTGGAGGCGTCTGGGGGTTTCTGAATTGAGGGCTTGGGCCTGGAGGTTTCCTTGCCTGTGACGCTTTCGTGGGGATCTCTTCTAGGGCTCTGCGACTCAGAATCGCAGGACATCTCCCGGAATAGGGCTGATCCTACCCCCAATCGTACCCGTACACCATCCTGAGCCCGAAGCCCGAAACCTCGACTGTTTGCCAGAGGCTGCCAGAGGGTCTCCACCCCCCCAGTGTATCATGGATCTGGTCGGTTGGCTGAAGTATGGTTCCATTGTGCTCTAGCGGGGAATATACGGGAATTGCGACCCCCCCCCCGCCCCCACATCAGAACATCATTTGGAAGCACATGTGGCAGAAGGCTTACTTGGTTCCGGCCAACTACCATTTCGGGGGATAGGGTCTAGGGTGTAGGGTGCTGTGCGCGACCGCTGCCTCAGCCGCTAGGTGCAGAAATCCTGAGAATGGCGTTTTTGCACAACTGCACGCGGTCTCAGGCATAGGCAAGTCCCGTGCGTGTGCGCACGCGAGACGCAGCCACTTAGGACATCTCAGAGGTGAGGGTCTCTGAGAGTTCGCGGTCTCGATGCCAGCCAAAGCCATGGAGGGGTGGAAGCAACTGTGAGATGCAAGCTGAAAGCGGCGTTAGCCAAGCTCCCGAACCCCGAACTTAAGTGCCCTCTATTTCGTACCTAAACCCTAAACCCGAAACCCTAAACTTTTAAACCCCAAGCCCTATGGGACTGTGATGGCCTAAATTCCTTGCACTGTCTTGTGCACAGGAACCTCAAGCACATGTCTAAACCCCCGAAGAACCTCAGGCGCCACAACCCTGAACGTTGCGGGGTCAGACGTATCCGGGCAAGAAGTTCACGACAAGCAACGCCCAGAAAGTCTCTCAGATCACCCTGGAAGCAGAAGTCTTTGGAAGGTTGCCAGCAGTAAGCTCATGAAGTAACCCTAAACCCTAAACCCTAAACCCTAAACCCTAAACCCTAAACCCTAAACCCTAAACCCTAAACCCTAAACCCTAAACCCTAAACCCTAAACCCTACACCCATGAAGTAAAGGTCCAGGCGGCGCAATCCGAAATCCTTGATGTCGGCTGGCAAGCGCGATCGATATCCATTGTTTCCTGAACTGGCAGAGGGCCGTGAGAACATTGCCCCATGCTGCGTATGGCGATCCCTGCAGTATAAATGTAAAAAATATATACATATATATGTATATATATATATACACATATAATATAATATATGTATATATATATATATATAGGTGTAGCAAAGTTCCCACAGTAATTGGTAGCCGATCGCAAGGTTTTCGGCTCTGGTTGGGGTTGAGTTTTTCTTTCCTGTTCTTTGATCTGATGTCTCGAGCAAACATCTCAGCACCCTGTTCGTGCGTTTCGTGTTCGCGTTCGGAGTGTGTATGTGTATGTCGTGCTCTTGCTGGGAGACTCCGTGCCGTGTCTGAGAAGGCTCCGAATCCGGTTATTCTTCGGAAAAGTGTTTGCCGAGTCTTTTCTACTTGTGCCTGGTTTGAGCAAGCCTTCCTCGGGATCTGTCCAGGATTGTCAGTGTTTCAAGAAGCTATGTGTATATGGGTGAAACCAAGACAGTCTTCTTGTGCAGACTCGGTGCTGGCTTCAGGGAGGCTCTAAGTCCACGTCTCTTTTCACAAGAAGTGGATGTCCAGAAAGAGCTTAAACCCTAAAACCCTAAAACCCTAAAACCCTAAACCCTAAATCCTAAACCCCTGCGATTTTGTCCGGCCCCTGCTGTCCAAGGTTTTGCATTCCGCCTCTTACGGGCGCGTTTGATTGATTTCAGAGCAGCGCCGGGGCAACTCGAGCACTTCTTGGTATGCAAGGTAGGAATACGGGGTCTTTCCCAAACTAGGGGTATCCCTTTTGTCGACCCCCCCCCAAAATAGAATCCCCTTGGAGCCTTGGAGGGACCCCCGAAAAGGGGTACCCTTATGTTCGGAACCCCCCCCCCAGCAAATACTCAACCACCTGCATGCTGGATCATGGGCCTCAAGCCTCAGAGTTTAAAAAGTGGGGCCGTAGGGTTTAGGGTTTAGGGTTTAGGGTTTAGGGCGGAGGCTCCTCAACCCCAAGACCCCTCATCCTGTGTGGCAGATAAATTAGCGCCGGCCCTCTTTGTTGCCAACGAAGTCCATAAACCCTAAACCCTAAACCCTAAACCCTAAACCCTAAACCCTAAACCCTAAACCCTAAACCCTAAACCCTAAACCCTAAACCCTACACCCTAAACCCTAAACCCTAAACCCCAAACCCCAAACCCTAAACCCTGTACGCTCTATAGAAGCCCTATAGGCCCCATACGCCCTGTACGCCCCACATGCCCTAGGAGCCCTTTCCGCTCTAGCAGTATGAGCCCTAAGCCCTTGGACACATCGGGCTCCAAGCCACGAACATGACTTTCTTGCACTCCCTTGTGCGAATTGGGGTTTAGGGCTTAGGGTTTAGAGACCTCCTAAACCTAAGCCCTAAACCCTAAACCTTTTACTCCCCACGTCAAACCCAGAAGGCAAGGTTCAGGGTTCTAGGCCCTAGGCTCCAAGGAAAATGGTCACCATGTTATGACAGTGAGAACCTTGCAACGAGGGCACCCCCCCCTGGTCAAGAACAGAAGTAACAAATAAACCCTAAACCCTAAACCCTAAACCCTAAACCCTAAACCCTAAGACCCTAAACCCTAGACCCTAAAAAGCCGTAAAAAGCCGTGGTTTCAAGCTCGCTGTTGCCTGGAGCCTGTGGATTTTCCACGCGAATCCTGGAGGGCAAAGTGCCTTCGGGTCCTCAACAGGGCTTAGGCTCTAAACCCTAAACCCTAAACCCTAAACCCTAAACCCGAAACCCTAAACCCTGGGTTCGGAGGTTTAGGGTTGAGGGCTGAGGGGTAAGGGTTCGGGGTTGAGTCGTTAGGGCTTAGCGCCAATTCTCAAAATGATGATCACCTGCTTTTTGGCCTTCAGAAGTAGCAGGGGCCGTGTTGCAACGTTCTATATTTTCCCTTTTTTTGGGTTCAAGAGGATCATATTTAGGACCTAATTTCAGAGGGGTTTAAGGGCCATCCTAGCAAGAAGGGATCATAGTTCATGGACCTGACCAAAACATCCTCTAGGGCTGTTTCTGAGGTTTGCAGATCGGTCTGGAGTGCTGCTAAGGATCTGTTAAACGATGTTGCCCGGAAGCCGCATTGCTTACCATCATCGGAACTTAGCTAAAGCTCCCTCCGGAACAGCAAGCCCCTAACCTTCAACCCTAAACCCTAAACCCTAAACCCTACACCCTACATCCCTAAAACCAGGGCTTAGGCTTCCGCCTTTAGAGGGTGCAAGGCTTGTGGCCTTAGGGTTTATCGTGCTTGTGACTTTAGGGTGTCGAGTTTGGGGTTGCAGCTGTGGGTCTGAGGGTTTATGATGCAGATCTCGAGGTTGAGGAGCTTTTTTTTTTTTGTGGGTTTGCTGTTTGGGTTCAGCTCCGCCAGTCACTATAGGTCTTCGAAAGCCGACGCCACACATTCCCTAAATATACACTTCAACTGCGAGGAATCCCTTCAGTCAGTTCGCGCTGTAAATGATCCCCTTTTGCACATTTTGCGATTCCGACAGACATGGCGATAAAACTGAGTCCAAGCATGGGGTTTAGGGTTTAGGGTTTAGGGTTTAGGGTTTAGGGTTTAGGGTTGGAGGGAGCCTCCGACTCTGCTTCTGCATCCTCGGCCCTCGTCTCCCGGTCTCAACCTTAGACCCGTTCTTCCCTCCTGGGTCGTAGTAGGGACTGCGGGAATTAGGGGTCCCATTTTTACCCTTTAAGGGATTCTACAGGGTACCTCATTCCCTCATTTCCTGCTAAGAACCAGCCAGTCTGTGAAGCCGCTCCACGGCGCTTCTTTGGGGGAGGGTTTTGTTGAGGCATGCCAGGGGTTTTGAATCGCAGCACGCGAGAAGTGGAGGCTCCACAGTCTGAAGGATCAGTGATGAGTAGGGTCAAAAAGGTAGGGGTGAAACCCTTATAACCGGATACTTAGAACCCTACATATAGCAACCCATGCACCGGTTTCGCAAGTTTGACGTGTTGGTTCTTGGCTTGGGCTGAGGCGTGAAGGATTGATCTTCCTCCTCAGTCCTAAACCTGCAGGCCCTCCCCCAGACCCTAAACCACGCTAGGGGTCCTAAGGTCGAAGCCCCAGCTCCTCTCTTCGTTAATGCTGCCCTACTAGACACCGCTCCTCAGCCTTGCAAAGCCGACGCCCCCCGCTCCGCGAAGCCGTATTGACTTGCAGAGGTGAGATTTTGATTCGAGCTACCCGTGACCCGTGATCCCATGCACCCGTCACCTTCATGGCTCATGGGTAGCTCTCGAAAACAGGGTCCATTCGGGGGTCCTTTTTAAGTACTTGCTGTACCATATAGGGACCCAAAAAGGGAACTTATTTTAGACCATTTCTCATATTGCTGTCAGCCAAACTGCACCTTTGCAGCAGCCTCAGGGAATGGAGGGCTTTTGGGGTTTAGGGTTCAGAGGTTTCACATATTTCAGGGATTAAGACACGCACCCCTAAGGCTGTACCCCTAAAGGCTCCCCTCAATATACTCCAGGATATGGCACTGAGAAACACAAGGTTACAACCTTGACCTTGATGCCTCATCTTGCTGGTTTCCAGTAGGGAGCTTGAAGGAGCCCTGGGTTCTCTCCTTTTGCTTACTGACTACTGGAAGCCTTGAAGTCCCGTCTTTCTGATCTGAGCCTCCTGACCGAGGTTCTACTTGTAGACATGGCAGCTGCAGCCCCTGCCGGAGCCTCTGATGCGTCACCTGGGGCTGAGTGCTTTGTGACTTGGCGCCTGGGCTGAGGTGACTCCTGGGGTGCCCGGCCCGCAGATGCTGATGGAGCCTGTTACTGGGCAGTTCCCTGGGCAGCAGCCTATGGGTCAGCCAGGCCCCCTCACCTATCCCATGCCCGACAACATCCCAGCCACCGGGCCACCAGGCCCGGGCTACGTGTACGGTGCGCCTCCGGGAACCGATGGCGCGCCCACGGATGCGCCGGCCACCACCTTGCCGCCGGCCATGCAAGCCCCAGGCCAAAACTTCATGTACGCCGTCCCTGCAGGAACCGACCCCAGTGCTGGCCCCACCTACGCCGCGCCGGCCATGGGTGAGGGTGCCCCAACAACACCGGGGGTGCCGGGCATGGGTGATCCTCTTTACGGTGCCCCGGGCATGCCCGGTGCCCCAACCAATGCCCCGGCACCGCTTCCTGGTCAGACGATCATGGGCAACACGTACCAGGTGGGCAGAAAAAGCATCCCTCGTCCCTACTATGTGGCGAAGCAGTAGTCCTTTGTAACCTATTTCTATTTTGGAGGTTGCTCGAACTTGTGTTGCAGGTCTTTACATACTTCGACATACCTAAGCCCTAAACCCTTAACCCTAAATCTTAAACCCTAAGCCCTAAGCCCAAAGCCCTAAACCCTAAACCCTCAACTCGGCTCCGTTGCATTTGCAGGGCGGTTCTTGCGGGGGGCTTGTCAGGTCAAGGTCCCCACCGAGAGCGTCAGGGACCCGACGGGTGCCATCGCGATGCCGCTGGTTCTGACCAGGATCCTATACTTGAAGGTTCATGGGTAGGTATAAGTATGGTTAGAAGTATGTTCAAACAAGGTCATAAGCCGCTATAAATATAGCTACCCTACTGAAAGCCCCACTTCTAACTACCCATGAACCCCCAAGTACCCTATTCAGATGGAGGGCCTGCTGTTGTGAGCAGTCTAGATTCTAAGGAGGACATGATTTGGGAACTGTTTGGGCCCTTGAGTATATGGTAGCCTTGTATAGTCGCCCAATGTGTGAGCTTTGCATCTCACATTCGCATGTGCATTCAACAGCAAGTGCCGTCGCAACTGGGCGTCCGCCAACTTGCATCCCTAAGACATCACCATATTCAGAACAGCCTTGACTTTGAGGCGTTAAACCGCCTATGAACTCTCGCAGGCTCTAAAATGCCTGCAAGCCAAGGCAGTACCCGGCATCCTTCAAGCAAATTCAGGCCGGCTGATTCGGGCACTTCTTGCATCAGCCCTTCGCGTGCTGCCCCTTCCCCACCCATCACCACCCACAGGGTGGAGGGGTTGAATATAGGGGTCGGAATGGTTACCAATAGTATTCCCTTGGTTTCCCTTTATAAATGTACGATGAGAATCCCCCCCAAACCCCACTCCAACTATTAAGGCCGCTATGTTAGTGTAAGACCCGTTCTTTGAGATGTGGGTTGTTCTTCATTTGGGTTTGTGGTTTGGGGCTTAAGGTTGAGGCGTAGTCTTCCGGGACTGGGTTTGTCTTGAAATCAGGCCTGTTGTTTTTGGGTTTAGGGTTAGGGTTCAGGGTTTAGGGTTTAGGGTTTGGGGTTTAGGGGGTGGGGGGGGGGGGGGGTTTTGTGAGAACAACAGGGTTTAGGGTCTAGCGCCACATTTCACAAACCACAGCATGGTAATGTTGTTATGTCCATGCTCTTCCATTCGGCATGTATACAGCAAATACCACCCACGTCCCAGGCTCATGGTCGAATGCACGATCCTACATACAATTACCAACATCATCCCGATATACTCCATACCCAACTTGCCCAGGCTAACTCTGCATTGCCCCTATATGATGCGGTGAGGGATGTTGAGGCTTCAGGGCCCCCCCCCCCCAAGCTTTAAAATCCTAGATCCCACACCTCAGACCTTGAAGCCTGAATCCTCTCTAATTTGAACCAAGCCGTAAGCCGGACCCTGACAACCCCGAACCCCCGAAAACCCCCAGGCCTGAAGACACAGCGAGTTTAGAGTTTAGAGCTTCGGGACTGCCTAAGGCCTAAACCCTGGACCCCACGTCTATGGTTTACTTTGAAGTCCCCGGTGACAGGTGGACGGCGAGCCCCAGTATGTGGCAGGCAAGTCTGAGGCCGTGGACGGCGCGCCGCAGGTGCCGCGTTGAGGATTTACAGGAGCAGGTTTGAACATCATTTTTTTGAGAATCTCTTTTTTACCCTTCATCCCTGTGTAATCCTTAAAGAGCTACCAAAGCTGCCCCAGTTAGGGCTTAGGGCTTGGCGAAGTTCAGGGGAAGAACTCAAGGTTTGAGGGCTTCAGGGTTACGGCGTAGGGCTTTACAGCTTAGGAGAACTCATCTTTGGTTCGAAACTCGGGCCTTCTCGAAAAGTCCTAGCGTTTAGGGTTTGTGTGTGTGTTGTTTTTAACCCAGAACCCTAAACTCGGAACCCTAAACCTTAAGCCCCCAAAACATAACCCCAAGCCCCCAACCCCCTTCAAGCCCCACAAAGCTCCACCCTTAAACCTACGGATGATTATAGGATCCATAAGGGAGCGGCGTTCAGGGGTGTGTAACCCAAGGTTGCCGAATACTCCCCACTACTTTTCTAAGGCTCCCGAAGCTTCCCTAAGGTTCCCTGGGTACCTGGCCCCCATGAAGCCCACCTTTTTTCAGGACCGTTAAGGGCGTCTTTCCTTGGGGCGAAGCCCTAAACTCTAAACCCCAGCAAGACTGGTTCGGGCTTAGGGGTTAAGGGTCTTACGGCTTCAAGGCCGCAGAGGGTTCAGCATCAAAGGGGCACTGAAATTGCGGGGACGAAAGCAGGGACCCTTATAAGGGATCTTAGGGGTTATTTAACCCTAAACCCTAAACCCTAAACCCTAAGCCCTAAACCCTACCCTAAACCCTAAACCTAAACCCTGGGACTATATAAGGTATATATGGTTCAGCGTCGAGCGTCCTGGGCCCCCCCCCCCCATGGTATCCCCCCCCCCCCAAGTCTACTCTACGGTCCCTAAACCCTAAACCCTAAACCCTAAACCCCTAAACCCTAAACCCTAAACCCTAAACCCTAAAACCTAAACCCTAACCCTAAACCCTAAACCTTAAGTCTTAAACCTTAAACCCTAAACCCTAAAACCCTGAACCCTAAACCCTAACCCTAAAACCAACCCCCAACCACACCACAGGGGGGGGGGATCATCTTAGTACCCCATCCGCGGGGAAAACCCTAAACCCTAAACCCTAAACCCTAAACCCTAAAACCCTAAACCGTAAACCCTAAACCCTAAACCCTAAAACCCTAAAACCCTAAAACCCTAAACCCTAAACCCTAAACCCTAAAACCCTAAAACCCTAAAACCAACCCCCAACCACACCACAGGGGGGGGGGGGGGTACCATTGGGGGGGGGGGGGGGGGGGGGGGGGGGGGGGGGGTAGGGGGGAGGGGGGGGGGGCCCGCCGGGGCTGAATCATATATGGGGGTTCAGGGGCCGTTCAAGCTCAGGGTTTGAAGGATCGGGGGGCTTCTTTACACCCAACCCCTGGGCCTTGCTAACCCCCTCGCGCAAAACCCTAAACCCAAGCCCGAAATCCTAAACCCTCAGCCGTAAACCCCAAACCCCAAACCCCAAACCCTAAACCGTAAACCCTAAACCCTAAACCCTGAACCCGAAACCCGAAACCCGAAACCCTAAGTTCCCAAACCCCGACCACCTCGCGGCGCAGATTGGCACGCAGCGTGTGGAGCAGACGGTGGCTGGACAGGTGAAGCAACAGGCGCACGCCCTTAGGGTTCCGGGTTTAGGGTTTCGGGTTTCGGGTGTAGGGTTTAGGGTGTGCGGTTTAGTGTTTCGGGTTTAGGGTTTAGGGTTCAGGGGCTTAGAGTAGTAGGGTTTAGGTTTGTCTAGGGGGCTTAACGGTTTGGGACGTGTGCTTTCAGTCATGTCAGGTGTAGGGTTTTACACCCGGTTCTCCAATCTAGGATTTTGGGGGTTCAAGGCTGGGAGTTGACCTCACTTCGCCTTTGTTGGCTTCGGAAGAGATGTTTGGGATTAACAAAGGGGATACCTGCCTGAGCCTTAGCAGCCGAACCCCAAGCCCTAAACTCTAAACCCTAAACCCTACAAAGCCGTCGCCTGGCGCAGATTGTGGAGATTCCGCAAGTCCAGGAGGTTGTGGAGGAGCAGGAGGTCCCTGAGGTGCTTTCCCAACACATGTCAGGGGATGCGTAAGGGCAAAGCGCTCGGATCCGAAACCTCGCGTACCCAACCCCTAGCACACGAACTCCTAACACTATCAAAGCCCCTGCCCCCTCCCGCCCCGAAAAGAAGCTCAAAACCCCCCCCGAACCATCCCAAACCCAGAAGCCCCACGCGCTCCACGCTCCACGCCCTCAAGCCCTCAACCCCAAACCTACATGCTAGTTGAGGGTTTAGGATTTAGGGTTTAGGATTTAGGGTTTCGGGTTCAGGGTTTCGGCCCGACGATCTCTTGGCAGGTGCAGGTCGTGCAGAAGGTGGTCGAGGCAGCTGGCAGAATGACTGGGATCAAAGGCGGTATTCCCTGATTACCACAGGGGCCTTGATAACTAGAATGGGGTTTTGGGGGCTATCATGCTACATTTATCGAGGGACCATAAGGGAATACCACTTGTAATTTTTCCGACCCCTAATGATATTCTAGGCTTCATCTGATGAGGGTTGAGGAACACGGAAGCAGGAATTGCAAGAATCGGACTCCTTGATCCATTGCACGTGTGTCATGAAACCAGACAAAAGGCTCCCAAGTCCACTTGTTCCAGAGGCTTACCCCCCCTCCCCCCCAAACCCTAAACCCTAAACCCTACTAAAGCCTAACCCCTAACCCCTAACCCCTAACCCCTAACCCCTAACCCCTAACCCCTAACCCCTAACCCCTAAACCCTAAACCCTAAACCCTAAACCCGAAACCCGAAACCCGAAACCCGAAACCCTAAACCCTACCAAAACCCAACCCCTAAACCCTAAAGAGCAACGTTGCTCAGCGCTTTCCATGTTCGCCGGACACGTCTCGCCTCTCTGGGCCCGCAGGTCCCTCAGATCATGCAGCAGCCAGTGGAGCAAATCGTGGAGCAGATTGTGCAGGCACTTGCAAGAACCCCTAAACCCTAAACCCTAAACCCTAAACCCTAAACCCTAAACCCTAAACCCTAAACCCTAAACCCTAAACCCTAAACCCTAAACCCTAAAGCCTCGTCCCCCGGGCTGGTTTGCAGAGTAGCCTCAGACATGGATTCGAGCCCCCAAGTCTCCGCCCCCCAGCCCATGGCCCTAAACCAGACCATTGGGAGTCAGAGCTGAGGTCCGGTCGAGCTGGGGTGTGGGTTTAGGGTTTAGGGTTTAGGGTTTTGCATCTCTGCCACTACCCTTGCCCCACCCCAAAACCACACAACGCCCGGAGAAAGGAGCCGCGTGTACTTCCAGACATATTGCGGGCTTACGAATATAGGGGGACCCCGACAATAGACCCCCAAAGAGCAGGGTTCCCTTACAGCAAGGACATCCAATACGACACCCCGAGTTCCGGAAAAGAAAAGGACCCCACACGCAATCCCTCAAGAACCCATGCCTTGGAGCCTGGCACCATGCCCCAGAGTTCGCGGACCATTGGGTCCAGCGAGCCAAGACTCAAAGCTACAACTCTCAGAAAGACTCAATGCCCTGTGGGCATACCCTTAAAAGAAATTCAGGGGTATGGTAGTATCCTCCCTTCGACTCCCTTATAACTATCCTTTTCTAGGTGAAGGGGTATGGGTTGGGGTGTGGTGAATCATTAGAACAACGGGATCTGCCAGGTGCCTCAGGTCATCCACCAGCCAAAGGTGTCCCATCGTCAGGTTGAGCAGGTTGCTGCTTGGCGGAGTGGGAAAGACCCACACCCACCGCTAGGGTTTAGGGCTTGGGGCTTAGGGCTTAGGGCTTAGGGCTTAGGGCTTAGGGCTTAGGGTTTAGGGTTTGGGTTTGGGGTTCCCCCCCTACAAACCCACCGCACCATCCCCCCCGCCCTGCTCCGCGTTGAGGGCTCAGGGTTTAAGGCTTCAGAATCTTTCCCGAAGGCCCTAAGGGCTACTCTTTTAAGGAGCTTGTGGGCCCAAACGACCATCTGTTGTGTCGAAGGGCTTTAGGAGCTGAGCGCGTTAGCATGCACTTTAGTGCTTCAGGGTTGCAGGGCTTGGGGCTTCGGGCTTGAGGTTGATGAGCCCAAGTGGCCACAGAGCAGTGCCTAATTCAGAGATCTCAGGTCGATGTCCCAATTCCTCAGACGGTCGAGGAGGTCGTCCACGTGCCTGTGATGCAGACCCAAGCCCGCTCGGAGCCTCAGAGCCTCATAGAGCGGCCTGAATCATCAGAACAGGGCTTTTGGGGGGTTATTGCAGTGCAATTCTGCGGAACCATGAGGGAACACTATGCGTAATTGTTCAAAAGAGCCTACGCTTGGAGCATCTCCTCGTTGTGGAGATCAGATGCGTGCTGGGATGGCAGCTGATGACATGTGCGTTGGGGCTCATGCCGAAAGCTTTCTGCTGTACCTCAATAAATTTACCACTTATTCATCAGGGGCTACCGGGGATACCCCTCACCTATCCGGCCCGAGCATAATACATATGGGGTGGCTGTCAAAATTATGGTCCCTTCTTGGATCTCTGTTATAATACGGCACCTCATATTTAGGGTACCCCAAAAGGGATCATAATTTTGACAGCAACCTATACGAACCCTGTACGACCCAGACGAACCTCCATAGATCAGCACATCGGAGATTCCGCGATGCTGTCGCTTGCCTGACAGCCCGATACCCCTTGCTCAATGCAGGAATACGCTTGAATAGACCTTACCAACACCCCCCTTTCCCCCAACAAAGTAGCCACGAATATAGCTGAGAAATCCACCAAAAGCCAAGAATCCCTGATACTGATGCCTTCTTTCATAATCAGGGCTCCTACATGGTTTAAGGTTCAGGGGGAGTGGGCCGGTGACAGGGTCCTGAATCAAGTGGCCGCAAAAGATTGTGGGTGTGGGGCTTTAGTTCGGGGGTTGAGTGCGGGGGTGAAGGAGTTCACTTGTGGCTTCTACATTGGGGTCTCTTTCGCAAAGGATCCCCCAAAAGGGACTTGCTACACGGTTTGGGGGATTTAGAGGGACGCCTTGCTACACCCGACGGCACGTCGGTAGCGTGAGTATCCTATCCAGCCCCAAATCCTTCAACCCCTAAACCCTAAACCCTAAACCCTAAACCCTAAACCTAACCCCTATACCTTAATACCTCCGAACCCATGTTTGACTGCAGGTCATCACCAGGTGCACGTCGAGCAAACTGTGGAGGTCCCCGTGCCCATGATGTCACTCGGTCTCTGTTTGGGGTTTTAGGGTTTTTCGGGTTTAGGGTTTAGGTTTAAGGGGCCGGGTTTAGGTTTAAGGGGCCTCTGTTTAAGCTTTTAGGGTTTTCGGGGTTTTTCGGGTTTTAGGGTTTGTGGCCGTGCCTGGACCATGAAACTGGTTTCCTCCAGAACGGAGTCCTGATTGACAGCCTTCAACCGCGAACTCCCAAAATTTGAACCTTTGACCCAAAACCCTTGGAACCCAAAACCCTAAACCCTGAAACCTAAACCCTAAACCCTGAACCCTAAACCCTAAACCCTAAGCCCTATGGTTGTTGGCCCAGGCAGGAGCAGCAGGTGCACGTCCCCAAGGCAGGGCTGAGTCGGTTCGGTTGGTCTAGGGTTTAGGGCATCAAAGGGTTTAGGGTTGGGTTTAGGGTTGAGGTTTAGGGTTTAGGGCGTCAGAGGGTTTGGGGGTTGAGGGGTTCTGGGTGTCTAAGGTTTCGAGTTTAAGAGGTCAGGGCTGGGGGCAGCCTGAAGGAAATGGCATAAACAAAATTTGTCAAGTCTCTGAGGCTCCCAGATGCGTATCCGAAACCCCCAAGCCCGAAACAATGGGAAGAGCTGTCCTAGACCCTAAACCCTAAACCCTGAACCCTAAACCCTAACCCTGAACCCTAAACCCTAAACCCTAAGCCCTAAACCCCCAAGTAACAGATGAATTAGGGCTCGTTGTCCTGAGCTCCTGAAGCCAGCTTCCTCAGCCCTGAAGTCTTGGGGGGGCTCCAGGGTTTCAGGATCTGGTTTCTTGGGTATAGGGTTCAGGGTTTAGGGTTTAGGGTTTAGGGTTTAGGGTTTAGGGCATCTCCCTGCAGAACTGCCGCGCAAAGAGAGCTGGCCGCAGGTCTTCGCCCAGAAGCGCCAGATGCACCAGCACGTGGAGCAGATCGTGGAGGTGCCCGTACCCATGAGCCAGGAGGAGGCGCGGGCCGCCGGAAGCCGGCGGTTTGGGGTGGTTTGGGCTGTAGGGTTTAGGGTTTGGGTTTGGGGTTTAGGGTTTAGGGTTTAGGGTTCAAACGATTTGCTTCTGTTGTTCGTGTTCTGTTGTTGCTGGGTGTGTTGATCTTCATCGTGCAGGTGCTCAGGTTCTGCGGCCCCTCCATAGAATCCGGAACCTCGAACTGCCCCGTTCGTATTTCCTTTTAAGGAAGAGGGACAGCTTGGGATGTTCCCCCCTTATACTAGCAGTCCTTAAGAGGGATTATGGCAGGGGGTACTATCATCCCTCTTAAGCACAGTTAGTATAAGGGGGAACATCCCAAGGAGGCTCCCAAAAGGGACACCCCGCCCCTTTTCGCAAAAAGCTGGAACCCCCCTTCCCCCTAAACCCTAAACCCTAAACCCTAAACCCTAAACCCTAAACCCTAAACCCTAAACCCTAAACGCTAAACCCTAAACCCTAAACCCTAAACCCCAGACCCCAAACCCTAAACCCTGAACCCTAAACCCTAAACCGTCCAGGTCGTGCACGTTCCCAAGATCATCACCCAGACGCGCGTCGTGCACCAGCAGGTGGAGCAAATTGTCGAGGTGCCGGTCCCCATCACTCAGGAGGAGGTGGGGCTTGGGTCCTGAGATTACACCCCACTTAGGGGATCATGGGTAGTTGTAAGTGGGGCTATAAGTGGGGTAAGTGTAATTTATTACTGGTTACAACCTTATTCAGGGTACTTATAACCCTACTTACAACTACCCATGCACCTTCAAGTAAACCTACAAGTCTTTGGGCATCTAAACCCTATATAAACCCTAAACCCTAAACCCTAAACCCTCTATCCTGATAGCTGCCTTTCTTGCAGGTGCTTATAGCCCTACTTCTAGCTACCCATGCCCTACCCCCTAAGCCCAAACCCTAAGTACCCTGAACCCTAAACCCTAAACCCTACACCCTAAACCCTAAACCCTAAACCTACAAGTCTCGGGGCATCCCCCGATGCCTTTCTTGCAGGTGGTGCATGTGCCCAAAATCATCAAGCAGACGCGCGTGGTGCACCAGCCGGTCGAGCAGATCGTCGAGGCAGGAGACCCTACCGTACTTCGGACAACGGGCTGTGGTTTAGGGTTTAGGGTTTAGGGTTTAGGGTTTAGGGTTTAGGGTTTAGGGTTTAGGGTTTAGGGTTTAGGGTTTAGGGTTTAGGGTTTAGCTCTTTCGTGTTGTAGGGGTCATTTGCTTGAACCCCGCTGTGGATTCATGGCTGGTGCTGGCATGAGACTGAGTTCAGGGTTCATATTTTTGTTACTGGGTGAGTCTACTGTCTGCCTTTCTACTTTAACATATATATATATAATATGTATAAATATAATATATGTAGATATATGTATATATATATATACATGTATATATACACATATATATATATTTATACATATATGGGGATGCCAGAAATAGAAGTTCTACTTAAATGAGGGTTCAATCTAAGTATTATCTGCGGTCGTGCGCTGTTCCCTTCGGCTTGCCGGCGGAGGTGCCCGTGCCGATGACGCAGGAGGAGCACGTCCACGTCCCCCAGGTTGTCACCCAGACTCGCACCTCGGCAAAGCCTTAGGGTTTAGGGTTTAGGGTTTAGGGCAGTTGAGGGTTTGCGGTAGGCTCTGCCTACAAGGCACATGACAGCTGCCCTGTTTTGCATCACGCTACTGGCAATGGCGCTTGCAATGTCAAAGGACGCCCATCGTGAAGCTCCTAAACCCTAAACCACTAAACCATGTTTCCCCTCGAAGCGGCGAAGGTCAGATACACACGCCTGTGGAGCAGATTGTGGAGGTACCCGTCCCCATGGCAGAGGCGTGCCTGATGCGGTTGTTCTGCTGCACTGTTTGGCTTTGGGGAGGTGTTCTAGCTGGCCTGCTTTGTGTAAAGTGAGGGCCTGGACCTTCAGATATCCACATGAATCCTCAAACAGCTCGCGTCCCCAGCCACGTGAGGGAGCATGTGCCAATCTAATCTAAACTCCATGGGCATATGTAACCACGACTACGAACTTGCCGCGGATACATCCCGCCCTCTTTGCTCGTTCGACTTGGCTCCAGAATCCACCTTTGCCAGGAGGTGGTGGTGCACGTGCCGGCAACCGTGCAGCAGCAGCGCGTGATGCATCAGCCTGTCGAGCAGGCGGTTTAATCTTTACTGGGGTCCTTGAAGGGGGGGGAGGGTTCAAGGGAGGTATGTAACCCAAGATTCCCACCACTCCCTAAGGCTCCTTAAGCTTCCCTAAGGTTCCCTAGGTACATATCCCCCATGAAGCCCCAGACCAATATTTTTTTTACGGACACCTCCAAACCCGCCTTCAAGGCCTGAAGCCGTGCGCCCAACACCTCTCTCGCAGCGTGCTGCTTCTGCCTTTTCCCGCTGCTCGCGCGAGGTTGTTGAATCCAGGCTTTCAGGCTTGTGCCCCACGGTCCTGGGGTTGAGGATTTGAGGCCGATGGCCTCCCAACACCCCAACCCTAAACCCGAAACCCTAAACCCACCCCCCCCCTGCCCCCCTTCCCTCCCCTTCCCCCTCCATACTTCCGCTGGGCGAGGTGGTGGAGGTGCCCGTGCCGATGAATCAGGAGGGGGCTTTGGGGCTTCCGGGACGCGATATTTATTTCTTAGTAGCTGTTTAGGGTTTAGGGTTTGGGGTTTAGGGTTTAGGGTTTAGGGGGTTGAGCGAGTACAAGTTGCACTTCTTGGGATACTATAATCCCCTCTAGAACTGAAAGTGTACACTTTTTTGGGGCTTATGAACTCAGCAACTAAGACTTGCAAGAGGGTTGTAGAACTGTTAGGGCTTTAAGTCTTTAAGGGTCTAGGATTCTAGGGCTTACTCACGCCTTTCATCATCTTATGGTCGCTCACTTGCAATTTTTTTATTCAAGTGCGAACGAGATGATGTAGCGAGCGCATTTACTGCTATTCTGTTTGTTAGGACTTGTTCTATCTTCTTCTAATGGTCTTTACAAGGTGACCAGAATGAAGATGTGAATGGAGAACGAGAACTCACTTGTAACATTAAGGCTTTTCACCGGATTTTTTGGTGGGATAAAAGATGCCCTAGAAACCCTCATGAACAGAATATTGGCTTTCAAGGGTCTTTTTGGGCTCATTCGCGGTCGTAAGTAGAAAATAAGTACCCTTATAAGGTTGTAGCCATGTAGCTATACTAATTCTAACCCTACTTATGACTACACACATGAACTTCCAAGTAGCCCCGAAACCCGAAACCCGAAACCCTAAACCCTAAACCCTAAACCCTAAACCCTAAACCCTAAGCCCTAAACCCTAAACCCTAAACCCTAAACCCTGTCTACTACACCCAAGGATGCAGCACCTGTGCCACTGCGGCCCCAAATTTCGGATGTGGGGTTCTATGGTTTTGGGTTCGAGGGGTTAGGGTTTCAGGGTTGGAGGGTTTGAGGGTTTCGGGTTTTAGGGTGTTAGGGTGTTCGGGTGTTAGGGTGTTAGGGTGTTAGGGGTTTTAGGTGTTAGGGTGTTGGGGGTTTAGGGGTTTTAGTATAGGGGTCTAGGGTGTCAGGGGTATAAGGCCGCAAGTCTCCATCGTCGCTGTTTGCTTGAAGACGTGCTGCCTTCGAACGAGACGGCCTTCACCCCGCAGCTCCAGAGCCCCTAGCCTGCGACGCCCGTAAGGGCCCCCTGCAAGCCGGCAGACACACAACCACTGCCCTAAACCCTAAACCCTAAACCCTAAACTCTAAACCCTAAAGCCTAAACCCTAAACCCTAAACCCTAAACCCTAAACCCTAAACCCTAAACCCTAAACCCTAAACCCTAAGACCGGAGACCCCTAAACCGGAGCAGCACCCAAGCTCGAAAAGCCTGGCCCAAGCTGCAGCGTCTGAAGGAGGAGGTCGTTCACGTGCCCAAGGTGATTCAGCAGGAGTTGCGGCGTGGGGTATTGGGGGGAGGCCCTAAAGCCTAAGCCCTAAGCCCTAAGCCCTAAGCCCTAAGCCCTAAACCCTAAACCGTAAACCCTAAACCCTAAACCCTAAGCCCTAAACCCAAGGACCTGAGCTTCAAAAGGCCTAATCCACCGCTGGCCCGTTGAAGATGCCGTGGCCCCCCCCCCCCCCCCCCCCCCCGAACCCTTCCCACACCTTCAGTCGTACTGTCAAACCCTAAACCCTGAGCCCTAGACCCTAAACTCTAAACCCTAAACCCTTAGCCCTAAACCCTGAACCCTTAACATCCTCAACCCCAAAATCCTCCAGTCGCTCCGGCACCCCAAACGGCGTCGCATGCTCCTTCTTTCACGTCACAGTTGAAGGTCTTGAGGTGTACCGCAACCGCAGAGGAACTCCAAACCCAAATTTCAAGAGTCTTAAATCCCCACCCCCCCCGGCTCCAGGTTCTTAGTAGGGAATGATGGATTAGGATCGGTACCCTAACCCTAAACCCTAAACCCTAAACCCTAAACGCTAAACCCTAAACCCTAAACCCAAAGCCCTAAACCCTAAACCCTAAACCCTAAACCCTAACAAGGAGCGCGTGATGCACCAGCCTGTGGAGCAAGTGGTTGAGGTCCCCGTGCCCATGACTCAGGACCCCTAGCGGGGGAGGTCGGTTGTTTGGGATTTAGGGTTTAGGGTTTGGGGTTTGGGGTTTGGGGTTTTGGGTTTTAAAGTTTGGGATTTAGGGTTTGGGGTTTAGGTCTTAGGGTTTGGGATTTAGGGTTTAAGGTTCGGGGTGCTTATGGCTAGGCTTCTACGGAGCAACCCCAACTGGGTGACTACGTACGACATGAGGCCCGAAGTATTGCCAGGCATGAACCTTGAGGAGATGGGAAGTCAGTCACTTGAGAGTTTGGCTTCGAGGGTTTCAGCGAAATTGTTTCAGGGTTCCTTGGAATGCGGAGGGTTTAGGGTTCACAGGGACATATATATATATATATTTATCTTTTTTTGTTTATTTATTATGTATATATGAATATATGGGTCTTTGGGGGGAACAAGACATTCGGCCTGATGGAGATCGACTCGAGGGTTGCGTAACTCTACGTCTGAGGGTTTAGGGTTTCCTCTGATAAAAGTAGTCTTCAATATGATTCCTCTTAGGCCCACTACTCTGAGGTTCATTAGGGGTACTTCTCCGTGTGCAACTTATATGAGGCACCCTAAACCCTAAACCCTAAACCCTAAACCCTAAACCCTAAACCCTAAACCCTAAACCCTAAACCCTAAACCCTAAACCCTAAACCCTAAACCCTTAACCGTAAACCCTAAACCCATGCCACTTCAAGCACGGTCTGGGGGTGTTGCATCGTTCGGGCTCAGGCTTCTGGTCCTCCCCCCCGCGCGCTTGTGTGGTGCGTCTCTGTTTCATGGACTTGCACCTGGTTGAGTTGCAAGGGTTTAGGTGTTAGGACTCAGGGTTGAGGGTTTAGAGGTAGGAGTGAAAGTTCGAGTAGACTCATGCAGCAACCCTTTAATCCCTAAACCCTAAACCCTAAACCCTAAACCCTAAACCCTAAACCCTAAACCCTAAACCCTAAACCCTAAACCGCAAACCCTAAACCCTAAACCCTAAACCCTAAACCCTAAACCCTAAACCCTGAACTCTGCAGCTGCCGCGGCTCTTGCCAGGAGCAAGTGGTGCACGTCCCAAGGGTGATGCAGCAAGAGCGCGCCCACCACATCCACGTGGAGGCGCAGCGTGGCGCTTTTGAGGGGTGTTCACAGTTCCCTAAACCCTGAACCTAAACCTTAAACCCTAAACCCTAAACCCTAAACCCTAAACCCTAAACCCGAAACCCGAAACCCGAAACCCGACACCCTAAACTCCCTCCCCATGTTCCCCCGATTTTCAGGAGATCGTGGATGTTCCCGTCGAGCAGCACATTGAGCAGATCGTGCACGTGCCGAAGGCGCATATGCCCTCCTGAGTCATTCTTGTGGAAAGGGTTTAGGGTTTAGGGTTTAGGGTTTAGGGTTTAGGGTTTAGGGTTTAGGGTTTAGGGCCAAGAGATCTGCCACCCACTGTTGACATGGGCATGCCCGTCCTGCCTGAAGCAGGTTTCATGGGAAGACTCTCGACCTCTACAGAATCCTCAAGCTCCCTAAACCCTAAACCCTAGACCCTAAACCCTAAACCCTAAACCCTCAATACCACATACGGTTCTCTACATGTTGGTCACTGCTGCACCCCAAGCAGGAACGAGCCCAACCCTGAAATCCGGCGGCAGGTCCAGAAGGTCGAGAAGCTTGTCCACAACCCGGTAGAGTTGCAGGTGCATCATGTTTTAGGAGTTTAGGGTTTCGGGTTTAGGGTTTCGGGTTTAGGAGTTTAGGGTTGGATTCGCAAGGCACCTTTATCATTGCCAATGTTGTCTTCCTGTGGTAGGGTTTAGGGCTTGGGTTTAGAGAGCCAAATAAAGTAGTTGCCCATATCGTTCCTTGCAAACGCAAAAAAGCCATTGAGTGAACTGCAATACGCCAAACAGCCATCCTACCCAAATAGACCCTTACAAACCTGGGCTTAGGCAGGTATAGGATAAAAAGGGCTTTGTGGGCTTTGCAGCGTATGGGGATGGTATAGGGTTCAGGGCTCAGGGTTTGTTGGGGTTCCGGACCCAACCTGGAACCATGTTTGGTTTCGGGGATTAGGCTATTGATTTGTAGGCTTGTTTGGCTGCCGAACCTTCAACCCTTACCCTCGCACCCCAACCCCGGCCCCATTTCACCTTCAACCCTGACCCTGAGGCCCTAAACCAAAACCCTAAACTCTAAACCCTAAACCACCAGCCCCTCAACGCAACGCTAACCCCCCCCCCGAAACCCGAAACCCGAAACCCGAAACCCGAAACCCGAAACCCGAAACCCGAAACCCGAAACCCGAAACCCGAAACCCGAAACCCGAAACCCTAAACCCGAAACCCTAAAATCCTAAACCCTAAACCCGAAACCCGAGACCCGAAACCCTAAACCCTAAACCCGAAACCCGAAACCCTAAACTCTAAACCCTAAACCCTGAACCCTAAACCCTAAACCCTAAACCGCCCCCCTGCATAAATGCTGGACCCCTGAGCTTGTGCAGGTGGAGGTGCCCCGCCCGGTGGTGGTGGAGAAGACGGTGCAGGCCCGGACAACAAGTAACTTGTTGCGGTTTAGGGTCTAGGGTTTAGGGTTTAGGGTTCAGGGTTCAGGGTTCAGGGTTTAGGGTTTAGGGTTTGGGGTAGCTCAGTGGTACCCTTTACCCTTCTTTTTTTGGTTGTGGGTTCCCTTGTAAAGTCACCTAGCCAAAAAAGGGTGCCCTGATCATAATGTGGTGACTGGGCTTGTTGGGGACTCCTCTCTTGCTAAACGTAAGCCGCCAAACCCTACAACCCTACAGCTTCATATATATATATATATGTGTATACATACAATGTATACATATATGTATATACACATCTGTGTACACATGTGTGTGTATGCATATATAGAAATGGAAACCTCCCAAACCCTGTAGCAAGCAAAGTTCCAGATGTCGCGAGGTGCCGCGCGTCTCCGTGGAGGAGAGGGTGATCCGCGTGCCCAAGGCACGGCCGTGGGAAGAAGAGCTCCATCCCAGAGACTCCAAAACCCCTTAATTAGGGAATATACCTATAATTTAAGGGATATTCCTTAGTTAAGGGGTGTGGGAGTCTCTGGGATTATGCCCAATAAAAAAAGGCTCACAGTCTCCGTTCGACCTGGTTTCAGGGTTCAAGGTCTGGGGTTTAGGGCTTAGGGTTAAGGGTCCCCTAGGTTAGGTTCCAGCATGGCCTTCTCTGTAGCGTAACCACCACCATCAGCAGCAGCAGCAGCAGCAGCAGCAGCAGCAGCAGCACCACCACCACCACCACCACCCACCACCCCCGAAGCTCCCACCCGGCGTCTCCAGCATTTGAAGCCCTCTGGGCGTTTCGGGGTTCTTTCCTTCGGCAGTACGGGCCTGCAAGATTTCCTCGAGGGGGGCTGAGAGGGAGAGAGAGAGAGAGAGAAAACACAAAGAGAGGCTAAACCCTAAGCCCCTAAACCCTAAACCCTAAACCCTAAACCCTAAACCCTAAACCCTAAACCCTAAACCCTAAACCCTAAACCCTAAACCCTAAACCCTAAACCCTAACCCCTAAACCCTAAACCCTAAACCCTAAACCCTAAACCCTAAACCCTAAACCCTAAACCCTAAACCCTAAACCCTAAACCCTAAACCCTAAACCCTAAACCCTAAACCCGAAAAAAAAAAAACCCGAAAAGTTTTCCCTCCCCTATAAACCCCTGGACCCTCAACCCTGAACCCAAGCCCCGGAAGCCCATGCCTGTCAAGCTGCGCAGCCCCCAAGCTTCTGCTCTAGGGGCCTTGAGAATTAGAATACTGTTTTGGGGGTGATTATAGTATGACTACGAAGGGTAAGGGAATACCATTAGTAATTTATTCCGACCCCGATATTAAACCCCGAGCTTCGGAACCCCTACAAGGGTTAAGGTCTGAGGGCTTGAAGGGCGAGGGCTTCTCCCCTAAGGGTTTGTCGGCTTTGGCAGGGTTTTGTCCTAAGCCCTAAACCCTGTAAACGCTAAACCCTAAGCCCTAAGCCCCAAACCCCAAACCCCAAACCCTAAACCCTAAACCCTAAACCCTAAACCCTAAACCCTAAACCCTAAACCCTAAATCCTAAACCCTAAACCCTAAACCCTAAACCCTAAACAACCCACTAAGCCCGTGGGTCTAGCTTTCCGGCCCCGAGGTGGTGAACACCGTCGTCGACACGGTGGTGCAGAACACCGTTGAGACGGTGGAGGTCGTGAAGCCGGTAGTGGCTCCTTGGCCTGGATTCATGGGGGCTTTTGGGGGGTTTTAGGGTTTAGGGTGCAGGGTTTAGGGTTTAGGGTTTGGGGTTTAGGGTTTAGGGATAGACCGTCGTCTTCCGGCGCCGAGCAGGGCTTTCACGCCGAAGCCCCAACCAAAAAACCCTATTTCCTGGACCCTAAACCCTAAACCCTGAACCCCAAACCCCGAACCCTAAACCCTAAACCCCTCAGTCAGGTTCCTAAGTCTCGGAGTTTACCTGGAGGTTCGTGGGTAGCTCTAAGTAGAGTTCTACGTACCCTACAGGGTAGAGCTACCCAGGAACCTCCAAGTAACCCATGTTTGGAGTTTAGGGAGAAGGGCTGAACCCTAAACCCGAAACCCTCAAACCTCAAACCATAAACCATAAACCGATCTGCACAAGGTAAACCCTAAACCCTAAACCCTAAACCCTAAACCCTAAACCCTAAACCCTAAACCCGAAACCCGAAACCCTAAACCCTAAACCCTAAACCCTAAGCCCTAAGCCCTGAACCCTGAACCCTGAACCCTGAACCCTGAACCCTGAACCCTGAACCCTGAACCCTAACCCCCTTAACCCTTAACCCTTAACCCGAAACCCTCAAGCCTAAGCCGAGGTGCACAAGGTTGTCCAGAGGAAGAAGCCGGTCATCCAGGAGGAGCCCTTTGTTCTTTCTTGGCCTTGTGTGCGAAGGTTTTACCCAAATTCTGGGTTTGGGGTTTAGGGTTTAGGGTTTAGGGTTTAGGCTTTACTTGTAACATTCTGAGAGCTTAATGTTTAGGGCTTGGGGTTCAGCGGTGGAAGATTTTCCGAACAAGTTAGAACCGGGACCGCCTACTCAGAGTCTGCGGAGAAAAGTCCCAACACAAGTGGAAGGCTTGGAGGTTTGACGGCTTTGGGGCTTCAGGGGATTCGGTATCGGGTTCCACCTAGAGGGGCGCCTATTCAACTGAATGTGGTATGTTTTGTGGTAGTTTGTGCAACTTTTCAAAGAGAAGATAGCGACCATCTTTGTGGGGCTAAGCCCACAACCTGTTGGTTCAGCGTGGTTCATATGCCGCAACATCCCAAAGTCCCAAGCGTGGCCGAAGAATCCGCGCATTGTTACGAGTACGAGTAGGGGTTTAGGGTTTTGGGGGGCGAGAATCCCGTACATCATATTAGAACCTCTAGTGCAATCTAAGGACTCTTCCCTGATTCAGGGATATTAAGTACACACGAGCCTTCAAGTACCCCGCCGCAGGACGTGGTGCAGGTGCCCAAGGCCGCAGCGTGGCGTGTTGTACCCTATACAGATCCTGTGCCCAAATTACTCCTTAGCCAAGAGAATAAGCCTTAAACTCTATGCCCTCTAGGTAAGTCTCTAGACCCATGCCGCATCGTGGCCCTGAGCGGCAAGGTCGGGTTTCGGATGCAAGTTTAGGGTGTGGGACGCCGAACGAAAGGTTCAGGCTTTAGGGCCATGAGCCTGGGTGAGCTGTCGTGATGCAGGTCGTCGTGCAGAATGTCCCCGTGCAGAAGGTGGTTGAGAAGCAGGCAGCGTGGAGCTGTGATGCTAGAATCCGCTAGATCTGCGAGGCAGCTTTTGCGCTGCTACACGCGTGCGTTCAATGTCTAAACCCCACACCTCCGCCCCAGCCCCACGCATTTCGGCATTGATCTATCAGCTCGAAGCTGAAATGCCTTCCCCATAAGCCTCAAAACCTGACATGTTCACCCGGCCACAAGTTTCTCTAAGTTATCCGGGTATCCTAAATAGCCGCCTCGTATTCGTAACCCAAAAGGGGCCCTAATTTAGAGAGATCCCCCCCGATCACGCACTGGCCTTGCTGGCCTTTCAGGAACAGCTGCGCAGCGGAGTTGGCATGTTGTGACGTTTGGCTTATGGTTTATGGGTTCCCTCTGGGGTCTTTAGGGTTTAGGATTTAGGATTTAGGGTTTAGGTTTTAGGGTTTAGGTTTTAGGGTTTAGGGTTTAGGGTAGTGATCTGAGTTGCCAAGGCCAAGGCGCCCAAACCAAACCCTGCACCCTCACACCCGAATCTGAGCTTGGGCAGGTGGCCGTACCAATGGTGCAGGAAGTCGAGCAGGTCGTGGACATACCGGTGGTGAAGCACAGGCGGGGGATATGAGTATGAGGTTCACGGGTTTTGGGGGGCCGATTGAAGGCCTGAAAAAAAACCCTGGCAGCCAATAGACCCAAAACCCGAAAATCCCTTAACCCGAAATCCCAAATCCTAAAGCCCCCCCAAAGCCCTGAAAAGCCCTAAGCCGCCCCCAAAACGCCCTGAAAAGGTTCAGAGGGGCTCACCCGAAATCCTAAACCTTACACCCTAACCCTAAACCCTAAAACTATGTGGGGTACTATTTGGGGGGGGATGGGGGGGGCCTCTGCTTCTTTGTCTCCTCCCAGGGGTCACGGTGTCTTAACCCTGTTCAGAGCTGACTTGGGGATGCTGGGGTGAGGGTTTAGGGTCTAGGGTTTAGGGTCTCGGGTTTGGGGTTTAGGGTTTAGGGTTTGGGGTTTAGGGTTTAGGGTTTAGGGTTTCGGGTGGAGGGTGTTAAGCAGAACCCTACTTGTATGGGACCTTGTAAGTAGGGTTCTACCATCTGCCTCTTGAGGCCATCTACATGAAGCTGGTGAGAGTTGGACTGCTTGGAGGTTCATGGGTACTTGTAAGAAGTAGGGTAACGGTGATTATAACTTTAAACCCTACTTAGGCATGTCGAACCCTACTTACAAGTACGTGAACCTTCAAGAAAACCCTAAACTCAGGCAGGTGCCCATGGTCCAGAAGGTGACCAAGCAGGTCGAGGCGCATTTTGTGAGGTTTAGGATTTAGGGTTTAGGGTTTTGGGGTTTAGGGCCCTCTGCTGAGGGTTCCTTGTGTCAGCCCTTGTCGAGCTTTACGGGTCTGGGGTTTCTAGGGCTTGAGGTTTGAGATTTCTACGTTTGAGGGGTTTTCCGGTTCAGGCCGGTTCAGGGTATGGGCTTCAGTAGTCCCAAACAGCATGTACTGTTGGTTCGCAGTGTCTACAGACAAGGGGGCCCGCTCAAAGCCTGCCCAAGCCCCTGGAAGAGTTTCCCGAAAGCCGCTTCCCGGCAGGTGCCGCAGGTGCAATTCACCGACCACCACGTGGAGATTCCCATCCAGAAGCAGGCTTGGGAGGGGAGTTTGGGGTTTGGGGTTTGGGGTTTGGGGTTTAGGGTTTAGGGTTTAGGGTTTAGGGTTTAGGGTTTAGGGTTTAGGGTTTAGGGTTTAGGGTTTAGGGTTTAGGGTTTAGGGCGGGTGTTGGGGCTCAGGGGGCTTGAGGGCCGAGTTCTTAAGTCCTAAACCCCCAGTGCAGTTGGAGGGAAGTTAGAACCTCAACTTTGAACCTGGAACCCTGAATCATGAAAGATATCCGAAATCCCAAGACCCCCTGCACCCAGGAGTAGTAATAATAACAATGATTAATGTTGTTAAACATTTTCATTATGGACAAGCAAGAATTAACAAGAAACCAAAGTAACTAGTAATAGTAATTGTAGCTTATAATCATATGGGGGTTTACGAAAATAGGGGACCCCTAAAATAGACCTGCAAATAGTAGGATTCCCTTATAACAAGGACCCCAATAAGGTACCACTAATTTCGGAAACCCCATATGGAGGGGTCTGGCTTGGGCAATGGTTTGTCCTCAGTAGGGAAGCCCTGGGCAATTTGTTTGAGATAACCCCAGGTGAGCCAGTCTGCCCCGCATGGGAATTCACGTTGCTTGCCGAGGATCGGTTTAGGGTTTAGGGTTTAGGGTTTCGGGTTCGAGTGGACATGTTGGCAAGAAGCCTCGGCGCGCTTGCTTATCTCCCTCTCCTCCCTTCGTTTCCTCTGCTGCTTTCTTGAAAGCACGGGCCGAGAACCGGCTCGTCCTCAGACGACCCGGCACAACGATTCCAATCGAATGATGTTGTTTTCAAGATTCGGGTATGTTGCAGCCGAGAACGTCGCGGACTTTACTTGCAGCTCCGTGTGCAGCTGGAAAACAGTGCGAGTGTGTCATCGTGTTCGTTACCTGTGAAGGCGCTCCACCCGAAATGCGACTCGCGGAAAATTTAGAGGACCGTTTCGGCCCCCCCCCCCCCCTTGACGAATATGCCGCAGAACGATGTTGAATCCTATGTCTTTAAGTGGGGGCCCCTGCTACACTTAAGTGTCGGACCCGTTGCCAAGGACAGAGACAAGACACCGAAGGGAAGAGACCATGTCGATTGGGATGGTTTTGTAGGCAAAGGCAAAGAGCATAGGCTCACACACTACTACAATTTGCTTAAGAGGCGCCCCACAAACCACAAATATTCTTCCTTATAAGGGCCATAAAGGCGTTATTATTCTGTTTTTTTTTTGGGCGGGGGGGGTTCTCAAGAGACTCCCTGGGCAGGTGCATGTGCCCATGCTCCAGACCGTCATGAAGGAGATTGAGGTGCCCCAGGTCCAGTACGAAGACGAGGTCGTCCACATCCCCATCCAGAAGCAGGCGCTGAAGATGCAGCTCAAAGTCTTCCCAAGGTTTAGGGTTTAGGGTTTAGGGTTTCGGGTTTAGGGTTTAGGGTTTAGGGTTTAGCCAAGCACACACAGCTCGTTCCTTCTTGGAACCACCGCTCCTGGAACCTTCAGGTAGAGTTGAAGGTTCCAGCCTGCAGGTAAGTCCTAAAAACCCCTGAACCTTCAAGACTTAAAAATCTTGGGATGTCCCCCTCTTTTACTACCCGTCCTTAGTAAGGGCTATAATAGGGGGTGCTAGAACCCCTACTAAGAACTGTCCCCCACCATCTCTCTACAGGTCCAGGTGCCCATGGTGCAGAAGATTCAGAAGACGGTGGAGGTGCCGCAGATCCAGTACGAAGATCAGGCGCGGGTTGAGGGTTGAGGGTTTAGGGTTGAGGGTTTAGGTTTTAGGGTTTAGGGTTGAGGGTTTAGGGTTTAGGCTGGGGAGGTCTTCTTTGGTTGAGGCCACCGGGCTTCGACGCCAAGAAGCCGAATTCGGGTGCGTAAGCCCTTGCGATGACAAAAGATTTAGGGGACTAGGGTTTAGGGTTTAGGGTTTAGGGTTTAGGATAAGCGTCGAGGTGAAGGTTAAGGGTTAGAGTGGTGGGGGCTTCTGTAGGGATTTGAGCCATTTTTGCGGGCGCTCCGGGAGTTTTTTGCCACACGATGTGAGGGCGTGGGGGGGAGTGAGGGTGGGATGTGTCGACGACCGGAAACCCTAACCCTAAACCCTAACCCTAAACCCTAAACCCTAAACCCTAAACCCCAAACCCTAAAACCTAAACCCTAAACCCTAAACCCTGAACCCTAAACCCGAAACCCTAAACCCTAAATCCTAAACCCTAAGCCCTAAACCCTAAACCGCAGGTAAGGTTTAGGGAGGCTTAGGGCTTTTAGAGTGCACACAGACCCTAAAAAGCTCGGAAACCCAGAAGAGGGTTTTGGACTGAGGTCCCAAACCAAAAGCCCTGAACTCGAAGGAGTGGGGGCTGGCCAAACCCGAAAAAAACTACCGCTGCTATCAAACAGGGTTTAGGGTTTAGGGTTTGGGGTTTTTGGTTTAGGGTTTGGGGTTTGGGGTTTAGGGTTTAGGGAAGACCCAGCCAAGAGACCCTGTGTTTTTGTTTTGACGGTTTTTGCTGCCAGGTTGTCCAGGTCCCCGTGCAGAAGCAGGTGCCTAGGCATTAGCAGTACCCCAAACCCCAAACCCCCCAAACCCTAAACCCTAGACCCTAGACCCTAAGCCCCAAACCCCCAGAAAACGTTCGCGGCAAAGCTTCCCGTGGCTCTGCCTTCGGTAGCCACAACTGGGGATATGAGGAGGGTATAGCTGCAACTGAAAAAGAACCGTATTTCCGGCAAGTAGAATTTAACCGTAAGGGCCCATGACCTGCAATTGGGCAACTGTTTCTTTGTTGAGAACTCACAGCTTTCCGTGGTTGTGTCCAAGAGGCTGGGAAACTGTCGACCCTACCAAGCCCCCTTTGACCCCTCGCTTGTGGCAGCTCTGGCTGAGAAGGCTCCCTAAACCCTAACCCCTAACCCCTAACCCCTAACCCCTAACCCCTAAACCCTAAACCCTAAACCCTAAACCCTAAACCCTGAACCCTAAACCCTAAACCCTAAACCCTAAACTTGTACCTTCTGGATCCCACAAGCCTCCAGCTTCCGAAGGTTCAAGGGCGCTACCCGTGTAAGAAGGGTTCGATCAGGGTAGCCGTACTTGCCAACCCTAAACCCTAAACCCTAAACCCTAAACCCTAAACCTAAAACCCTAAACCCTAAACCCTAAACCCTAAACCCTAAACCCTAAACCCTAAACCCTAAACCCTAAACCCTAAACCCTAAACCCTAAACCCTAAACCCTGAAATGCTTGAGGGCATCGCCCAACCCTTGCCTAACCGTGAAGCTTCACTTGAAACCCTGCATCTTCTTCTGTTGCGACCCCTCTTAGGGTCCAACCCCCCGTTCAGAAAGGCAAACGTTGGGTTGAGGTCCAGGGTCCAGGGTCCAGGGTCTAGGGTCTAGGGTCTAGGGTTTAGGGTTTAGGGTTTAGGGTTTGGGGTTTGGGGTTTGGGGTTTAGGGTTCACCCTAAAGCGCCCACAGCCCAGGTCCAGGTGCCCATGATTCAGAAGGTGCAGAAGATCGTGGAGGTCCCGCAGATCGAGTACGAGGACTTGGGCGTGACGTCGAGATGTCTAGTGTTTCATGGCAGTTTAGGGTTCAGGGTTTAGGGTTTAGGGTTTCGGGTTAGGGTTTAGGGTTTAGGGTTTAGGGTTTAGGGTTTAGGGTTTAGGGTTTAGGGTTTAGGGTTTAGGGTTTAGGGTTTAGGGTTTAGGGTTTAGGGTTTAGGGTTTAGGGTTTAGGGTTTAGGGCTACTTCGAGGTTCAAGGGTAGCTATAAGTAGGCTTATAGGTGGGGTAGCTATACTTCCAACCTTGCTTAGGGTGCTTCTAACCCTGTGATCCTCCAAGTTGTTTCGGGGCTCAGGGTCGTGGAGGTCCAAGGGTTTTTGGGTCTTCAGGGTTTAGGGTTTAGGGTTTAGGGTTTGGGGCTTAGGGTTTAGGGTTTAGAGATCTCACCTGAAATCCTAGCAGTGAGTAGCTCAGTGTCCCTACTCGAAACAGACCCGGGACCCTGCGAATCCATTCCCACAGATTCTTTAACCTTCCACATTTACATAGTTCTCACACCCATCAGAACCCTTTCCAAAAACGGATTGACAATCTGGAGAGTTGGGTTCGAAGGTGTCGGGACAAGCCCTAAACCCTAACTAAACCCTAAACCCTAAACCCTAAACCCTAAACCCTAAACCCTAAACCCTAAACCCTAAACCCTAAACCCTAAACCCTAAACCCTAAACCCTAAACCCTAAACCCTAAACCCTGGGACAAGCCCACGAGAGTCGAGGGATGTCTGTTTGCCAGGACCAGATTGTGCCCGTCCCCGTGCAGAAGCACGTGCAGGTCCCCATGGTCCAGACTGTGCAGAGGCAGGGCTTTAGGGTTTAGGGTTTAGGGTTTGGGGTTTAGGGTTTGGGGTTTAGGGTTTAATGCTTCTTGGAGGTCCACGGGTAGTTCTAAGTGAGGTTTGTAAGTGACCTAAGTAAGGGTTACAAGTGTAGTTACCCTACTGATAGCCCTACTTCTACCCACCAATGAACGTGAAAGTTGGGTTTCGGGGGTTGAGGGTTTTGGGACCCTAAGTCCTCATACCCAAGCCCTAAGCTCTCTGAGCCTCCGCCAAAAACCCCAAAAAGCCCCTGCGCCGTGGTGCAGGGCTTGCAGTACGGGCCGCTGTAAAATCCTGTGCCTGGATCCCTTAGCAATACCTCTTAAATAAGGAATATACCTTAAGTCATTGAGGGATCCTTAATCTGATTGAAGGTATATTCCTTGAATCATTTAGGGATCCTTAATCTGATTTAAGGTATCTTCCTTGTTTAAGGGGTATTGGGCTCTGTGGGAATGTGGTGCACCGAAGATAGGGCCCTGAATCCAGTCACGTCCTGAAGTTCGGGGTGCTCGATGCCCGCCGAAAGAGGGGTCATAGGGTTTTGGCACCTTTAGGGGGCTTTGGGGTTTAGGGCCCCTAAGCCCTAAGCCCTAAGCCCTAAGCCCTAAACCCTAAACCCTAAACCCTAAACCCTAAACCCTAAACCCTAAAAAAATCTCTTCACGCTTCCTGCATGCGAGGCAGGTGGATGTGCCTCAGCTCCAGTACGAGGATCAGGTCGTCCATGTGCCTGTTCAGAAGCACGTGCACGTGCCCATGGTCCAGCAGGTGCACAGGCTCCCGGCCGGTTCGTTTCGGGTTTAGGGTTTAGGGTTAAGGGTTAGAGGAGTCTACTTGGAGGTTCTTCGTACTTATTCACCAGTTATAGCTGCACTTCTACCCCCCCTTTTTTAAAGCCCCTTAACTGCCCTAATATGGGGCTATAAGTATAGTTCTCAGTACAGTGATAGTTGATTAATAAGTACCTTGAACCTCCAATTAGAGTCAAAAGTAGTTTGCGGCCTGCGAGGCTTCCTGGTTTGCAAGGGGTTCTGGGTTCATAGTGAGGGTCTGGGTCCAGAGGCGAGGAGGGCTTTGGGCTTGGGCCTTAGGGACTGAAACAAAAGCCACTTGCCCCCGAAATCCTCACCCTAAACCCTAAATCCAAAACCCTAAGCCCCTAAACTCAAAACCCAAAACCCTAATCCCGAAGCCCGAAACCTCACACCCCCAAACCCTGGACCCTAAAGTCAAACTCCGGAACCTTGACGGGATGGCCTTTAGTGCCAAGGACTCCGAAAGCTTAGGGTTCAGGGCCTAACCCTGAACCCTAAGCGCCAACCCCGAAACCCTAAGCCCTGAACCCTAAACCCTAAGCCCTAAACCCTAAAGCCCCGAAACCCTGAACAGAGCGAGTCATCTTCGAGCCCCGAGAGGCAAGTGGAGGTTCCCCAGATTGCGTACCAAGACCAGGCGGGCGCAGCGTTCGGTCCATGGGTTTCAGGGCTTAGGGTTCTTTAAGGGGTTTAGGGTTTAGGGTTTTTGATGCAAGTATAGTTACTTTACCAACTGAAGGGTTTAGGGTTTCGGGTTGAGGGTTCAGGGTTTTGATGCATGTATAGTTACTTTACGAACTGTAGTCACTAGTCGTTTAAAGGGATATAGGGCTTGGGGATTTGGGATGTAGGGTCGCACGGACTGGTGCTTTTAAGGAGTGGATTTCTCTAGTTGTCCTCATGGCTATTGTGTGCTATTGTCGCACCTAGTTTCACGGCTTCTCTTTCCCTAGCACCAACGAATTTAGTGTTGACGTGTTGAGGGTCTGCTGGGGTAGAAGCACAAGCCTCACTTAGGATTACTTCTACGTACCCATGAGAGCCTTCACGCAGTGAAACCCTAAACCCTAAACCCTACACCCTAAACCCGAAACCCGAATCCCTAAACCCTAAACCCTAAACCCTAAAGCCTAAACCCCTAACCCGAGGTTTCAGGTTGGGGTGTTGGCATTCAGGGTTGCTGTGGCATTCTTCTGCTTCTGCTGGGTCCAATGGTACGGGCGTTGAAAATTGGAGGTTTGCACTTTCTAGATCCCAATCCCTAAGCCCTAAACTGGAGTTCTACCTTGTCGATCCTACTAGAGGTCTTTGTCTGAGCACCTGCATAAGTGACCTTCTTGAAGTTCCAACAGCTGTTGACTGAGGTGCGTAGAAGTTTTCAGGTTGAGGGAGCGGTGGGCCCGCAGTTGAGACATGCCTCAGCCCTACCACACCTTCAACCTTGAACCCGAAGCCTTCAAACCTTCATCCTCAGGGAGGCTGCAAAAGCCGTTGGGGTTTAGGGCTTAGGGTTTAGGCCCTCAACCCCAAACCGAAAAGCCACCCAGAAAGACTGAGGTGGTGCCCGTCCCCGTCCAGAAGCAGGCAGGCGACGGGCATTTTCATAGGCAGAAAGTTAGGGTAGGGGGCTTCACCCCCCCCTCCCGGATTGGGAGCTCTGGGTGAGCTAGTAGTGGGGTTAGGGGGAACTGGCTTTCTTCGGGGCTTGGCGCGCGCGCACGCTCGGTGTCCTTCGGGGCTCCTCATGCCCAGCAAGAAGGCGAAGAAAGAAGAAGTAACTTGGGTCTGTATCCTTAAGTAGGATGAAAGTAGTTTGAGTTACTTGCAACCCTGCCTAGGGTACTTTGTGCACCTTGCATATAGCCACCCACGAACCTTAAGGCGAGTTCCAGGTTCACGTGCCGCAAGTGCAGACTCTCCAGAAGACTGTGGAGGTGCCACAAATCCAGCAGCCCGACTTCTCTGCGAAGGTTTCCGAGTAAGTTCGGGGTTTCGGGTTGGTGCGGTTTAGGGTTTAGTGTTTGGGGAGTTGAGGGTTTTTGTTCAAGGCTTCGTAAGGAAAGTTGAGGGCCTAACATTTGTATCCCGAAACCCTGGGGCGGGTTTTGATTTGTTACTCAACCCCCCCCCCCCCCCCCCCCCCCCCCCAAAAAGAAAGAAAAGGAAATAGAGTAGGCTAAAAAGGGACGGCTTTGGGCCGGTCTTGGGTTGATCCGTCCCCAGCTCAGGTACGTGGACAAGGTGGTGGAGGTTCCGATTCAGAAGCAGGTGCAGGTTCCGATGGTCCAGACCGCCCCTCGACTGCAAGTCCGCTTGAGGGTTTTTGGGGGGCTTCGGTGGTCAGGGCTTGGGGCTTGGAGCTTTCCTGGGGCCCTATTTACCTACAGATTAGTAGCAAGCACTGTACCCCCTTGTTAGTAGGTATAACCCTTAAAAAACTGTGGGTAAATTTAATTGGGTCCAAGGTAGGCCTTAGCTGAGGTTTAGATTCTATCTCCTGTCCCCCCCTCATCCCTCCCCCCCCTTCGACTTCCCCCCCCCCCCCCCCCCCCCACTCCCCGCCTCGCTCTTTACGGATCCGAAACGCCGACATCTTGTGCACCCGAACTTCTACCATCCTTAACCACAAGTGCCCCTAAACCCTAAACCCTAAACCCTAAACCCTAAACCCTAAACCCTAAACCCTAAACCCTAAACTCTGAACCCTAAACCCTAAACCCTAAACCCTAACCCCTAAACCCCTAAACCCCTAAATCCCTAAACCCCTAAACCCCTAGACCCCTAAACCCCTAAACCCCTAAACCTCTAAACCCCTAAACCTCTAAACCTCTAAACCCTAAACAAAAGCCCCAAGGCTTGCAACCCCGATCCAGACCCCCCGAACTAGTAGGGTCCTGAGGGAAGGGGGTTCGAGGGGGGTTTAGGGTTTAGGGTTTAGGGTGTTCCCTCATACTCCCCACTACTCCCTCAAGGAAGGTGTTTGGAATCGTTTTCCTGTGTCTTGAACCCTGGGTTATAAATCATGTCAGTTGGTTCAAAGAGAATAGCGCCGAACCTGCTCGAGGTGCACAAGCAGGTCGACGTTCCCCAGATTGAGTACATCGACATTCGGCACGCGTTTAGAGGCTTCAGAGTTTCAGAGTTTACTGTGTTTACTTGGGTTGAGGGTTTACTGGATCTAGGGTTCAGGGTTTACCATGATGGGCTACTTGAAACTAGTTCTTGACATTCACCGTCTTGCTCAGTTGCAGAAACCTGAATATTTTCGAGGATAGCTTAGTCTCTCTGCAACTCCTCTGTACCTTGTTCGTCCCCGAGAGCTACACATTGGTAGGCCAAAACTTGGGTCTGTGCGGGTTTGGCAGCTGATGCTCATGATGCTCCACTTGGTGAGTGCAGGTTTGGCGGCTGATGCGTGCGGGGTGTGGAAGATGATGCTCATGATGTTCGCTGGAAACTGCTTCGTCCGTGAAGCGTTTGGCAGCTCATGCTCACAATGCTCGCTAGTCGCCACCTGGTCAGTGAAGGGTTTGGCAGCGGATGTTCATGATGCTGGCTGGAAGCGGGCTAGTCCGTGCTGGGTGTGGCAGCTGATGCTCATGATGCTCGCTGGTGGCGGCCTGTCGGTGCAGGGGTGTCACACCCTGCACCGACCAGGTCGCGTGCAGTGGAGACTCAAGAGCAGCAGGCGCCAAAACCCTGCTGACCCGCTGCCAAACCCTGCGCAGAGCGGCCGCCTCCAACGAGCATCAGCTGCCGACGACGCGTCCAGCGAGCATCATGAGAATCACTTGCCAAATCCAGCGCAGACCAGGACATAACCAGCGAGCGTCATGAGCATCGGCTGCCACACCTTGCACGGCATCAGCTCATGATGCTTACTGTTTGCGGCCTTGGCCGTGAAGGGTGTGGCAACTGATGCTCATGATGTTCGCTGGAAGTGGCCTAGTCCGTGCAGGGTGTGGCAGCTGGCTGGGAACATGCCTGCATGTTCACTGTTTCTCGTGGTTCTGCACAGGAACCGGCCTGACGCTCACGATGTTTGCTGATGATGTTCGGCAGGAAGCTGCCTGCCCACGCAGAGTCTGGCAACTCAATGTTGCTCGCTGGGCACGGGCCTGGTCCGTGAAGGGTTTGGAAGCTAATGCTTGGGATGCTCGCTGCAAGGTGCATTGGCTGCGCCTGGCTTCAATCACAAGACGCCAACCTGTTCTTTCGGGCTTCAAGCCCTCAGCTCGTTTGGGGGTTCCTGAAACCCTAAGGGGCCCTCTCAAGCAGCAACGTCTTAAAGCCTGTAAAAGCCTGTACCCCCTGTGCCCCTTTCATTCTGAGGGCCGACGCATTTCACGCCTCAAGCCCAGGACAACCATGTGCACATCCCCATCCAGAAGCACCGCCATGTGCCAGTGCACATCCCCATTGAGCGTGCCGTTGAGGCTCTGGGTTTGGGGGTGCTTCTGATGGGGATTTGAGTTCAGAACTCAAGGCTTCAGGTTCGGGGTTTCAGTGTTTAGGACCGGGTGGGTTTGGGGTTGAAAGCCTTGGGGGTTTTTAGGGGCTTTCGGATTTCGGGCGCTTTTGGGGATGATGTCGGGTTGGGGTGTGAGGGCTCAGGAGTGTTCCCGTGCCCACCATCAGGTCACCGTCATTGAGACCGTCGAGAAAGTCGTGGATGTGCCCATCGTCAAGCAGGTCGAAGTGCCACAGGCAAGCCGGGGGGGCGGGGGGGGGGGGGGGGGGGCGGGGGGGGGGGGGGGGGCGGGGGGGACATGGCCCCGAACCCGAAACCCAAAACACCCAAGCCCCTCAACTCGAAAATCCCTAAAGCCCCAAACCCGAAACCCGAAACCCCGAAGTCCTTAGGCCGTCAAACCCCGGAAACCCTCAACAAACCTCAAGGGTTCAGAGAGGGCTTCGAGAAACCGCTCAGTCATCCCTAAGGGTTTGGGGTTTAGGGGTTTAGGGGTTTAGGGGCTTAGGGGTTTAGGATTTAGGGTTTAGGGTTTAGGGTTTAGGTGCGTACAGTTAGGGTTTAGGGTTTGAAGTGCAGGCATCGGGAGCCCTACACACTAAACCGAAAAACCTCAAAGCTCAGGCCTGGCATTTCAGGGAAGCTGAAACCGAAGAAGCCAAAAGAGCACGAAGCGCTGTGGGGATTAGGGTTTCGGGCTTAATCAGGGCTTAGGGTTTTTTTGGTTTAGGGTTCGCGCCCCCCCCCCCCCAAGTAAGAAGGGAAAAACACCCTGCGGGGAAGGTCCAGACCGTGGAGAAGGTGGTGGAGATTCCAATGGCCTGGGCCTCTCTGGGCGTAGACCGGGGTTTTCGGGAAATCAGATATTCTGATATGGGCATATGGGTTGTTCTCAAGATGATGGTCCCTTTTTTGGGGGACCCCTAAATATGCGGGGCCGCCTTAGAACAGTGTAGCCCCAAAAGGGACGCTAATTTAGAGAAGTGACCCTATGGCAATCGTGTTGTTGCTGGATCTGCACTCGGGTTTTGCGTTTCCTTTTTTCTCAGGTCTAGGCCTGTTGGTTTAGGGCTTAGGGTTTCTAGCTCCGCCTCCCCTTTTAAGGATTAGGGCTTCAATTAAGGTTTCATGGCTTTAGGGCGCGGGCAGAGGTAAGGCTAACGGGGTTCGGGCGAGCGTGTTGGTTCGACATGCGTGCGCTGAGCCTTAAAGTCTTTAAAGCTCAGGCCACTCCTCAAACAAAAGGGGAAAACCCGTGGGGAAGGTCCAGACCGTGGAGAAGATGGTGGAGGTTCCAATGGCCTGGGCCTCTTTGGGCGAATGCCAGCCATTTGTTCACCTCAGCTCTTAGCCCTGAGTCGGTCTTAGGGTTTCGGCTGTAGGCTTCAGGGCTTCAGAGTTTGGGGGGTTTCAGGGGTCTTGCGGTGTAGGTTTCACGCCAAAGAGGTTCAGGGGGGCTGGGGGCAACAACAACCATGACGATGAGACATTGTTGTGGCTTTCCATCTTGCCCAGGTGTAACCTATCCTGCTTTGCTCACTCGTTTGTGGACACATGTATGTGCACAGACAGAGAGAGAGAGAGAGAGAGAGAGAGAGAGAGAGAGAGAGAGAGAGAGAGAGAGAGCGTGGCGCGCGCGTGCGTGCGTACGTGCGCGTGTGGGGCGCGTGCGTGCGCGGGCGCGCGGCGCGTGCGCGTGCATACGCGTGCGGGCGCCTGTGTGGGTGTGGGTGTGGGTGCGGGTGCGGGTGCGGGTGCGGGTGCGGGTGCAGGTGTGGGTGTGGGTGCGGGTGCGGGTGCGGGTGTGTCGTGTGCTCGGACCGTGCAGTAGAACTCTCCGAGACGAAGCAGAATGGGAGTGTAGGTCATACACGGGCCAGCTTGCCTGTCATGCCAGAACCAAAGAAAGAACGAGACAAACAAAGAACACAGAAAAGCAAGATATGGAGAAAGAAAGAACGGAAAGAAAGAAAGAAAGCAAGTACTCACTCCTGTTTGCAAAGGAACCAGCCGTCCCTGCATCGGTGCTCCAGAGCCAACCAAATGCCAAGCTCCTGAAATCACAGCGAGTAGGGGAGGCGCCACATCATCAGCTTGCAGCGCAATCCATGCCATCATACCCCCCCCCGCCCTTTTCCCCCCTTATACCCTCCTTATGCCCTCTTCTAAAAACCCCCTTACAATTGCCTCCTTCATACCCCAAGGGTTCCCCCCAAAAAAGCCTCGGAAGCAGCTGACCCCATGCAGGAGGGCCAGACGGTGCAGGGAACCGTCCGCGAGGTGGACGTCCCGGGGCAGGGGCGACGAGAGGAGCTCATGACTTGCCGGCATCGAGGGTCATACTTGGGAGTTTAGGGAGTTTAAGGAGTTTAGGGTTGTATAGGGTTGGAGGTTCATAGGTAGTTTCAAGTACGGTTATAAGTGCCTCAAGTAAGGTTATAAGTACAATTACCCTACTTAAAACCCTACGTGTGATTACCCATGAACCTGCAAGTAGGGTTTCGGGTCTGACTCGGACGCGGTACAAGGTAGTGACCTTACGTTGCGGTGGCTGTCCAATTTTTTGCTCTAGCGAAGATTGGGACCTAAACTCTAAACCCTAAACCCTGAACCCTAAACCCTAAACCCTAAACCCTGCTTGGGATGCTCCCGAATTGCCCAGGGATTCCGCAAGCAGGACCTGAAACTCCTTGCTGTGGCACGCATTTAAATGTATATGTACAGTCTGTATTTGCATCTGTGTATACACAAAAGACAAGAACTATTCGTATCTACATATATTAATTCCTGGCTTTGGTCAACTGTAATGTTTTCATTTCTATTGTTTTGGTTTGTATATTTTCTATTACTGTTGATTTTGGAGATTCGTTTTGAATAATGTGAACTAGCTGTCGGAAGTATCATAGGAACCTTGCGGATCGGTCTAGCTCCTCCAAGCCCCCGCAGGAGCATCCCACCCAGACCGTCCAGCAGGTCTCGGGGGCGAATTCAAGGGTGCAGGGTTGAAGGTTCAGAAAACTGCTGCGAAGAACCCTAAACCCGAAACCCTAAACCCTAAACCCTAGACCCTAGACCCTAGACCCTAAACCCTAAACCCTAGACCCTAGACCCTAAACCCTAAACCCTAAACCCCAGAGAGGGCCTCGACACGAGCACAAAACCTGTTGAAGTTGAGGCCGGATAGGTGGCTGGTGCATCCCGCTAGAGTTCCAAGATTTCCAGATGCCGTGTGTAGAGCCCAGCATCAACCTGCAGAAACACTGAGTTGAAGCTACTTGCAGGACTAGAACGGAATCAGCCAAAGGCCTGAACTCTGAACCGTTAGCATCCTCCCTACGAGCCGGAGAAGCAGTCGAGGCTTGACCTTGGCCCGAGCAGCCGTGCGACTCTAAGCCCTAAATCCTAACCTCCAAGCCCTGAACCCTGGACCCTGAACCCTAAACCCTAAACCCTAAACCCTAAACCCTAAACCCTAAACCCTAAACCCTAAACCCTAAACCCTAAACCCCGAAACCCTAAACCCCGAAACCCTAAACCCTAAACCCTCAGCACTAAGCCGCCAGGTGCTGGCAGGGCCTGACCACCCCGTGCAAGTTGTTCAGGGAGCCCAGGCTGCTCTAAACGTTATTTGTTTAATTAATTAATTAATTAATTTATTTATTTGTTGTTATTTTGTTTATTATCTTTCTATATATATATATATATATATATTTTTTTTTTCAGGGGGGGGGGGCTTACCCTAAACCCTAAACCCTAAACCCTAAACCCTAAACTCTTAACCCTTAACCCTTAACCCTTAACCCTTAAACCCGAAACCCGAAACCCTAAACCCTCTTGCTGCAATTTAGTGCAAAGGACTGCTAGGGAATTCCGTACAGTGAGGCAAGGCAGCTTAGGGGAGTTGGGGTTCGCGGTTTCAGGTCCAGGTTTGTTTTGGTTCTTGCGGCTTTTGGGCAACTTGGTGCGCATACATGATTCAAGACTGCCTTCGGCGTCATGTGGTCTTTTGTGTAGTGGTGTTGACACAGCAGCTGTGTCGTTCCATCTTGGGCCGTGAGATCACTTCCCCATTCTGCGCGATTCCTGCCCCATGTGCCCCAAACGACTCAACACATGTCAACCCACCCAGCGCGAGCAAACCTAAATGTGGGCCTCCATGACCATGCACTATCCTTCTTGCTAAACCATGCACCACCTGGGTGCTGGAAACCAGCACCTCGCCCCAAGAAGCCCTACTTGGAGGTTCATGGGTGGTTATTAATAGGGTTATGAGTAGGGTAACTCTGTCTTGCAATTAGCTGGTTACAACCTTTTTTCGATACTTGTAACCCTACTTCTAAATACCTGCGAACCTTCAAGTAGATGACTAGCACACCCGCTGCAGGGTGCGCAGCAGACGGCCCCCCAGGCGATGAGCGGTACAGTGGCCGTGCAGGGTTATCGGTTGGGGAATGGTTCGGAAATCAGGGTTTTGCGCGGGCTTGCGCGGGCTTGCGAGGGATTGCGAGGGTTTGCGAGGGCTTGGGGGGGGGTTTGTGGAATTGTTTTGGGGGGAGCGAACCTGTTACCTAACCCTAGAAGACCACGCCTGCAGGATGCACTTCACCGCGGCAGGGCAAGGGTACCGTAAAACCCTAAACCCTAAACCCTAAACCCTAAACCCTAAACCCTAAACCCTAAACCCTAAACCCTAAACCCTAAACCCTAAACCCTAAAACCCGAAACCCTAAACCCTAAAACCCTAAGGCTGGACTCCAGACCCCTTGCCCAACCCCTGAGACCCCAACGCAGGGCGCACCGCAGATGCCACCTCAGGGCGCGGTGTTCGCGGCCCCGATGATGGATCCGCAGGCGATGGGTCTGGGTTAGGGTTTAGGGTTTAGGGTTTAGGGTTTAGGGTTTAGGGTTTAGGGTCTAGGGTCTAGGGTTTAGGGTTTAGGGTTTAGGGTTTAGGGTTTAGGGTCTAGGGTGTAGGGTGTAGGGTTTAGGGTTTAGGGTGTAGGGCTTAGGGTTTGGGATCTAGGGTTTAGGGTTTAGGATCCAGAACTTCGGCCAGGGACGGCTTCGAGGCGCCCAAGAGCACCGGACCATGCCCCCAACGAGAGGGTGCCCCCTTGCACTCAAACCCATGGCAAACCTCACAGATGCTGGAGGCGCCCTCGGCTATCGCAATCCTTGAGACATCCCCAGGGCCTTGACATAGGGCCCGAAACCTTTTGCCCTGCTAGCCTCTTCCCCCACACCGTGGCAGACACTCTGGTAGGCGCAGTGCAGAAAGCCTTCTAAATGCCAAACACCCACCCCTCGCCCTCCCCCCCCCTCCCCCCCCTCCCCCCCCCTCCCCCCCCCTCCCCCCCCCCTCTCCCCCCCCCTCCCCCCCCTCCTCCCCCCCCCTCCCCCCCCCTCCCCCCCCCTCCCCCCCCCCCCTCCCCCCCCGCCCCCCCCCCCCCCCCCCCGTGTGTGAGCAAAACCGGGTCTATTTAGAAGCTGGGGCTTGTGATTTATAATACAGGTCCATATACCTAAATGTAATAAACCTAGAAGAGCACGGCTTCTAAATAGACCCTACGGTCGGATTTCAAAAGGACGTTGGCAGAAATTAATAATTTTGATAATTTTAATAATTTTAATATTTTTAATAATCCTGAGAGGCTCCCGGAAAATTAAAATTATTAACAATATTAAAATTATTGAAATTATTAATTTCTGCCCTGAGAGGCTCCCGGAAAATTAAAATTATTAAAATTATTAAAATTATTAAAATTATTAATTTCTGCCATGAGAGGCTCCCGGAAAATTAAAATTATTAAAATTATTAAAATTATTAAAATTATTAAAATTATTAAAATTATTAAAATTATTAATTTCTGCCCTGAGAGGCTCCCGGAAAATTAAAATTATTAAAATTATTAAAATTATTAAAAATATTAAAATTATTATTTTCTGCCCTGAGAGGCTCCCGGAAAATTAAAATTATTAAAATTATTAAAATTATTAAAATTATTAAAATTATTAAAATTATTAAAATTATTAATTTCTGACCTGAGAGGCTCCCGGAAAATTAAAATTATTAAAATTATTAAAATTATTAAAATTATTAAAATTATTAAAATTATTAAAATTATTAAAATTATTAAAATTATTAAAATTATTAATTTCTGCCCTGGGAGGCTTCCGGAAAATTAAAATTATTAAAATTATCAAAATTATTAAAATTATTAAAATTATTAATTTCTGCCCTGAGAGGCTCCCGGAAAATTAAAATTATTAAAATTATTAAAATTATTAAAATTATTAAAATTCTTAAAATTATTAATTTCTGCCCTGAGAGGCTCCCGGAAAATTAAAATTATTAAAATTATTAAAATTATTAAAAATATTAATTTCTGCCCTGGGAGGCTCCCGGAAAATTAAAATTATTAAAACTATTAAAATTATTAATTTCTGCCCTGAGAGACTCCCGGCAAATTAAAATTATTAAAATTATTAAAATTATTAAAATTATTGAAATTATTAAAATTATTAAAATTTTAATTATTAATGGTTGCATAATTTTAATAATTTTAACAATTTTAATAATTTTAATAATTTTAATAATTTTAATAATTTTAATAATTTTCATTTTCCGGGAGCCTCTCAGGGCAGAAAATAATAATTTTAATATTTTTAATAATTTTAATAATTTTAATAATTTTAATTTTCCGGGAGCCTCTCAGGGCAGAAATTAATAATTTTAATAATTTTAATAATTTTAATAATTTTAATAATTTTAATAATTTTAATAATTTTAATAATTTTAATAATTTTAATTTTCGGGGAGCCTCTCAGGGCAGAAATTAATATTTTTAATAATTTTAATAATTTTAATCATTTTAATAATTTTAATAATTTTAATAATTTTAATAATTTTAATAATTTTAATAATTTTAATAGTTTTAATTTTCCGGGAGCCTGTCAGGGCAGAAATTAATAATTTTAATAATTTTAATTTTTTTTCTAATTTTAATTTTCCGGGAGCCTCTCAGGGCAGAAAATAATAATTTTAATAATTTTAATAATTTTAATAATTTTAATAATTTTAATAATTTTAATAATTTTAATTTTCCGGGAGCCTCTCAGGGCAGAAATTAATAATTTTAATAATTTTAAAAATTTTAATAATTTTAATAGTTTTAATTTTCCGGGAGCCTGTCAGGGCAGAAATTAATAATTTTAATAATTTTAATATTTTTTCTAATTTTAATTTTCAGGGAGCCTCTCAGGGCAGAAAATAATAATTTTAATAATTGTAATAATTTTAATAATTTTAATAATTTTAATAATTTTAATTTTCCGGGAGCCTCTCAGGGCAGAAATTAATAATTTTAATAATTTTAATAATTTTAATAATTTGAATTTTCCGGGAGCCTCTCAGGGCAGAAACTAATAATTTTAATAATTTTAAGAATTAAATAATTTTAAATGTACTTTTTTAGCTTAGAATCAGTAAAAACTGAAAATTTGCTCAAAGAATCCTACAACATAGTAAAAAATCGCAAAAATTGACCAATTTTGGGGGCCCGTGTAGTATAAAATCAAATAAAAAACGGTACGTGAGAATGCCTTCAGATGCAGGAGAAAAGAGTACCCAGAAACCGCGGTATCATCTCCAAAAAATGACAAAAACACACCGTACTCTCCTACGCGATCCTACGCGCTATCCTGCATTCCTTCCTCTTTGTCTTTGGTTCGGAAAAGAAAGGAACGGCTACCAGCCTCCCTCCCGACTTACATCTTTACATTCTCTTGTTTCGTCCTGCTCACCCGGAAAGAAGGTCTGCCTCCAGTCTTTCCTCGCCTCCCTGCTCACTATTATGAGTTCCTTTCACTTCTCTTCTGTTGCTTACATTCTTCTCAAAAGTGTGAAAGGTGCGGGGGACATCCCTTTCACTTTGTCTCTTCTGGGGAAATTCCCAATTGCAGGAGGCTCTCTCTCCTTGTCTTTGTTCTGTGTTCATATAGGGAATGAAGATAGAAGATGAATAAATAAAACAGAATCAAGTCTATAATGTCCTCTATCCGTGTCTCTTGTGATTTCTTCAATTCCTATCTCTGCAGATTCTTCAAAATGGAAGGCGGACTTCTTCCTCCAACCAAAAGCGACCTTCTCAAAAAGAAGACAAGAGACGAACATCAATCACCGGAACCTGACTCCTAATCTCCTGTGTTTCCTTGCCTCTTTCCTCGCTATTCTCTCTTCCTTTCTTCTCTCCCGGTGCTTACATTCCCATCAACATGAAAATTGAGGGGGCAGCGCATCCCTTTCCTTTCCCCATCAAAGAAAGGCTGCCTTCCTATCCGCGTATGTTCTTCCCTCTTCCTTCCGAAAAGACTATAAGAGGTAGGGGTAAACAGAATGAAAGAGGAGTTCTTTACATTCTCTTGTTTCGTCCTGCTCAACCGGAAAGCAGGTCTGCCTCCAGTCTTTCCTCGCCTCCCTGCTCACTATTATGAGTTCCTTTCTCTTCTCTTCTGTTGCTTACATTCTTCTCAAAAGTGTGAAAGGTGCGGGGGACATCCCTTTCACTTTGTCTCTTCTGGGGAAATTCCCAATTGCAGGAGGCTCTCTCTGCTTGTCTTTGTTCTGTGTTCATATAGGGAATGAAGATAGAAGATGAATAAATAAGAAAGAATCAAGTCTATAATGTCCTCTATCCGTGTCTCTTGTGATTTCTTCAATTCCTATCTCTGCAGATTCTTCAAAATGGAAGGCGGACTTCTTCCTCCAACCAAAAGCGACCTTCTCAAAAAGAAGACAAGAGACGAACATCAATCACCGGAACCTGACTCCTAATCTCCTGTGTTTCCTTGCCTCTTTCCTCGCTATTCTCTCTTCCTTTCTTCTCTCCCGGTGCTTACATTCCCATCAACATGAAAATTGAGGGGGCAGCGCATCCCTTTCCTTTCCCCATCAAAGAAAGGCTGCCTTCCTATCCGCGTATGTTCTTCCCTCTTCCTTCCGAAAAGACTATAAGAGGTAGGGGTAAACAGAATGAAAGAGGAGTCTCCTGTTGCTTTCCGACTACCTTCTCACCACAAAAAGGAACCTTCCCACTCTTCCCTACTTTCTTTCTTTTATCTTTTTGCACTTTACGTTTCCCGCTGAGAAAATGAGACGTTTCCCACTGAGAAAAAGAGACAATGATGACAATAAGGAAAAAAGATCACCTGCCTGTATTTTCAGACCTGTCCGCTGCATCTTTTCCCTTTACATCGCAGATTGAAGGAAAGCAAAAAAAGGGAAGAATCCCTTTCCCTACCTTTCCCAGTTCATTCCTTGTGCTTTCCATGTTCTTTGGAATTGCTTTGTTCTTCAGCAAGGAAAAGCGCAACTTCCCTCTCAATTTCATGTTTCCATTTCTCCGATGTCTTTTTCATTCAAGAAGCAAGCGGAGGGGCTGCCTCCTGTGTTTCCTTGCCTCTTTCCTCGCTATTCTCTTTTCCTTTCTCTTCTCTTTTGGTGCTTACATTCTTCTCAAAAACGTGAAAGTTGCGGGGGCATCCCTTTCGCTTTCTCTTCTGGGGAAATTCCTAATTGCAGGGGGCTCTCTCCTTGTCTGTCTTCTTTTCTCATACATAGGGAAAGGAGAAAGAAGATGAAGAACTAGGAAAGAATCATTTCCACACATTCCTCTATTCCTACTGTCCGGAGATTGGCAAGCTTTCGGAAGCTCTGGTCTCTAGTCACGCCTGACCAAAGTCAACTTCCCGTGCGTGAGGGCCATATGTGAGGGGCCAGGAGGGGGGCAGAAAGTCCGGAATATGGTAGTGTTTCGAGTTTCAAAATCGTTTCCATAGTTTCAAATTAGTCTCAAGTCAGTTTCAAACTAGTTTCAAAATCCAGTTGAAATATCGCTGTTAAGGAGGAGCTGCAATTTCTGTCCGCGCTTGTTGAAAACCAGAACTTCTGCATTTTTTGCAATTGCGCGTAGAAAAACGCAGTTTCCCCTTAACAACGATTTTGCAACTGGATTTTGAAACTATTTTGCAACTAGTCTGAAACTACAGAAACGAATTTGAAACTTGAAAAACGCAGCATTTCTGCTCCCTGGCGCTTGGCCACGCCCAAGCAAGAGGAGGCCAGAAGCTGCGGCTCGCGAAACACGCCTGGATCGAAAAGTGCACCTCCGACTTTCTTCCCAAAAGCCATTCCAGCAACAACTCTTGCCAAGGCAGCCACGCAATCACAAGTCAGCAAATTATCTTGTCTGAGACTGTGTCTCTTCTGAGTTTTTCTATTCCTATCTCTGCGTCCTTTCTCCTTCTCACTTTTCCTTTCACTTTTCTTTTGTCTCTTCTCACTCCAACCAAAAGGGAAATCGCAAGGGAGTCATATAGGGAAAGGAGACAACGTGAAGAAATAAGAAAGAATCATGTCCATATTGTCCCCTATTCCTGTCTCTAAATCTGTAGATTTTTCAGAATGGAAGGAGGGCTTCTTTCTCCCTCTCACTTTTCCTTTCGCTTTTCTTTATATTTTCTCACTCCAACCAAAAAGACAAGGGAGAGAGGTGGGAGATATAAAGCCCTTTACCTTCCCAAAACAGAGAAAAGTGACGAGAATCAATCAGGGAAACCTGGCTCCTAATCTCCTCGGTTTCCGCTCTTTCCTCGTTATTCTCTCTTCCTTTCTTCTCTGCTGGCGCTTGCATTCTTATCAAAATATGAAAGTTGCGGGGGCATCCCTTTCACTTTCTCCCTTCTACGGGCACTTCACTCCTTTTTTCCCACTATCTTCTTCGATCTTCCTTCCGAAAAAATTCGAAAAGGAAGCGATAGACCAGGGTGAAGGAGCAGTTTCCATCTTCGTTCCCGGCACCTTCTTATTCGTTCTTCTCTCTTATTATCTCTTTGTTTCTTTTCTTCCGCCCAAAACAGGAATTGCTGCAGGGCTCTCTCTCCTAATCTTTCTTCTTTACTCATATGGGAATGATAAAGAAGAAGAAATGAGAAAGAATCATGAGCTCTTCTTTTCGTATCTCTTCAGCATTTTCAGCATGGAAGGCGGGCCAGAGGCGAGAGAGTGCAAAGGGAAGAGACGCGAGAGATCAATGGGGACAAGCGAAGGGACGTGCGGGGAAAGGAGGGACAGCCCGGTCGAGACAAGCTCCCGAGAACCTGCGTGCAGGCAGGTGATCTTTCTTCACTTATCTTCATCATTGTCTCATTTTCTTAGTGGGAAACGTAGAATGCAAACAAGATAAAAGAAAGTCAAGGGAAGAAAGAGAAGGGTTCCTTTTTGTGGTGAGAAGGTAGTCGGAAAGCAAAAGGAGACTCCTCTTTCATTCTGTTTATCCCTGCCTCTTATAGTCTTTTTCGGAAGGAAGAGAAAAGAAAATATGCGGATAGGAAGGGAGCCTTTCTTCGATGGGAAAAGTGAAAGAAATGCCCCCGCACCTGTCACACAAAGCAACAGAAGAGAAAAGAAAGGAAGTTATAACAGTGCAGAAGGAGGCGAGGAAACACTAGAGGCCGCCCTTCTTCTGTCCGTTTGAGCGTGACGAAACAAAAGAAATGGAAAGATGAAAGTCGGGAGGGGGGCTGGTAGCTGTTCCTTTCTTTTCCGAACCAGGATTCCAGGATAGCGAAGGAAATAGTAGGGAAAGGCCCTCTTTCTTCTTTCGTGTTTATTTATGTCTGCACTGTGCAAAGAAAAGAAGGCGGGGACAGGCCGTTTAGAAATGAAAGCAGGCGATCTTTTCATCCATTTTGGTCACCTTTCTATTTATTGAGCTGTAAGGGGCTCTCTATCTCTCACCTCTCTCCCTTGTCTTCTCCCTTCTGCTTGGAGTGAGAAAAGAAAAGTGAAAGGAAAAGTGAGAGGGAAAATGAAGCCCTCCTTCCATTCTGAAAAATCAGCAGAGATAGGAATAGAAGAACTCCGAAGATAGGAACACAGGAACGTCTGCACATGATTCTTTCTTTTTCCTCCTTTTCTTTCTAGATTCTGGGTTTAGGAGTTAGAGTTTAGGAAATACGGTATAGAGTTTCTTGTGTAGGGTTTTAGAGTGTACGAATTTGTGGTCAGGGTTCCGGGCTTAGGGTCTGAGATTGCAAGAGCCAAAACATTTATCAGTCCGAAATGAGTTGTCTAAGTGCGCATATGCGTGAGACGTTGTTGGAGAAGTAGCTGGGTTGTCTTGGATATGCAAAAATTGATTAATAATCCCAGGCGGTAGCTTCTAAATAGACCCTATTTTGCTCAGCCACCCTCCCCCCCCCTCCCCCCCCCTCCCCCCCCCCCCCCCCCAACAAAAAGCACCTCCAAACCCTCAACTGCGGCAGGGTGCCCCGCCGATGTTCGCGCCGACCATGGATCCTCAGGCTCAGGTCGCGGGGTATAGGAGTTGAGGGGGTTTAGGGTTTCGGGTTGGAGGTTCCGGGCTAGTTATATGTAGGGCTCTAAGTAGGGTACCTGATTTTAGGGTACTCATAACCCTACTTGCAACTACCCGCGAACCTCCAAGTAGGGTTTAGGGGGTTTAGGGCGTGTTGAGTTCAAGGAGCCCTATTTCTTGGAGCCAGGGCTTTTGAGAATCAAACAGAGAATCAAAAGAAACTCCCTAAACCCTAAGCCCGAGAGGGCTTCAGGAGTTTTTTTTGGGGTTTAGGGCCTGTACTTGGAGGTTCATGGGTGGCCATCAGTCATATGTGGGGTTTTGAGTAGGGTATACCTGGCTATATTCTTATTTCGGGTACTTGCAACCCCTTTTCACTGCGCATGAACCTTCAAGTAGGGCTTCAATGTTGTTTCTGGTAGGCGTTGTTTAGTAGGGCTTCAAAACCTTTGGGTGCGGGTTACCTTCATGCTAGAGCTTGCAGGGTTCGCGAAAACTCTTCGGGTTTGAGGTTTGCGGCCAGTTTGAAGCCAGTTTGTGTGCTACCATCTGTAGCACTTCGGGAACTAAACCTACTAAGTCAACATTTCGTAGGGTCTGGGGTACAGGTAGGTCCCAAAACCCTGCACCTGCACGGCGTGGCACATCGAATGGGCACAAACAGATTTGGTGGCTTTGCTTACAACTGCCCTTGCTGGCCTTCCACAGACGATGTACAACTGTTGCCGTGGTTGTGCTAGAGGGGTTCGGGAGCTTTGTAAGTCCGTGGTGTGTAAAAGTGTTGAGAGATAGGTTCTTAAGATTCAGTGTAGCTGTCGCATGGCTCCGCAACATAGCATCCTCCCGTAGACTGTGCAAGCACTGGTTTCCTTGCGCGCAGAGGTGTGTGCCGTCTTTGCCTCGAGCTACGTTGTGGCCTCCTTTCGTTTTCGAGATTCTGAAACCCTAGTCTCCCAAGTCCTTAGCCTTTGGGCAGGTGCCAGGCACCACCACCATCGGTGAGCCGGTCTACCTGCCACCCATGACTGCCCCGGCCGAGGTGCCAGGACTACCTGTGCCCTGAACTCAAATCCTTCTACTGGTTCTCTCGAAATATTACCCCTGAAGCCCCAAAGCTCTACATCTAAATTGTCTTTGAAGCCTTGATTGCCAAAGCTACAAGGCGCAGCAACCCCCCCGAACGAATCGCCTGAATGTTCATTTCGCAGAAGCCCCGGGTCACCTGAAACTCCTGCGCAGATGCCGCCCGCGACTTATGCTCCGGCAACGCAGGCGTGGAACCACAAAGACGCGAAGGTTTTAAACCCTATTCGGGATTTCTGCTCGAGACTTTGGGTCTTGCTGTGCTCGGATTCGCTTGAGCAACTTGTAACGTCGACAACCCGCAAACCCGCAAGATCAATAGGTTCCTAATCATCCCCTAAATTTACGGTATGCAGGGTGTCAGCAAACCAGTCAAGGTGCTTCGCGATCTTGCAAAGCCTCTTTACATCAAGTCAAACGCCCTGAGCTGCTTATACACTCCAAATAACCCTCGATTAACTTCTTTGAGTCTTGTTTTCGGGTCGGGTACAGTTAGGGTGCCCGGACTTCCTACATCATGAGCAGGTGCCTGGCACCACCACCATCGGCGAGCCGGTCTACATGACTGGCCCGGCCGAGGTTTGCGGGGACTTCCTTTACTGTGAGCCTGCAGCCCGTACTAGAATCAAGATCCACTGTATTTGTTTAGAAGGTGTCCTTATACAAGTGGACAATGTCATGGTAACAACGTGGCCCTGAAGCCCCGGAGCTTTACATTGTCATTGAGGCCGACTGCCAGAGCTACAAGGGGCACTAATCGCCCTCTTTGCAGAAGCCCCGAATCACCTGCTCCTGCGCAGATGCCGCCTGCGACTTATGCTCCTGCAACGCAGGCATGGAACCCCTAAGACACGAAGGTTAAGCCCTATTCGGGATTTTTGCTTGAGACTTTGGCTCGGATTCCCTTGTGTAACTTGTAACGTCGACAACCCGCAAACCCGCAAAATCAATAGATTCCTAATCCCCCCTAATTTTAGGGTATTCAGGGTACCAGTGCTTGCGTGCTTCGTCGTGTTGCCAGCCTCTTACATCAAGTCGCGCCCAAACGCCCTGAGCCGCTTTCGACAAATAACCCTCGATGAGCCTTCTTGGGGCCTTGTATTCGGGTCGGGTGCATTTTGGCCGGCGTATTCTGAAGCCCCTCCGCCCTGAACTTCCTACATCATGGCAGGTGCCAGGCACCACCACCATCGGTGAGCCGGTCTACCTGCCACCCATGACTGCCCCGGCCGAGGTGCCAGGACTACGTGTGCCCTGAACTCAAATCCTTCTGCTGGTTCTCTTGAAATATAAACCCTGCAGCCCCAAAGCTCTACATCCAAATTGTCATTGAAGCCTTGATTGCCAAAGCTACAAGGCGCAACAACCCCCCGAACTTATCGCGTGAGTGTTCATTTCGCAGAAGCCCCGGTTCACATGAAACTCCTGCGCAGATGCCGCCTGCGACTTATGCTCCGGCAACGCAGGCGTGGAACCCTTAAGACACGAAGGTTTTAAACGCTTTTCGGAGTTTCTGCTCGAGACTTTGGGTCTTGCTGTTCTCGGATTCGCTTGAGCAACTTGTAACGTCGACAACCCGCAAAATCAATAGGTTCCTAATCGGTCACAGGCGCGTTGCAAACCTGGTGACTTGGAGATGCGGACGTTGTTTTCGCGTGGGTTTTAGCTGCTCAAGCACAGTCTGTATGTACATTTTCCAGGAACGCGAGAACAAGGTCAGGATATCCCACAGCAAGAGCCACTGTAGAAACCGATGTTTTTTGAATTCTTATCTTGTGAAGGTACAAGTAGCTGACAGAGAAGACACAGAAGTACACATCACTCCTTTCACTGCGGGCGTTCTAGTGACAGGCTGCAATGGCGGCAAACAAGCACAATAAGCCATGCTTTTTACGATGTTTTGCGGCATGCACATAAGGGTCAGTTTTGTTCGTTTTTTTTTTTGTGTGTTGCTTCTGCTGGCAGTTGTTAGTGGTTCGAGCGTCATGACGACACACCGTTCGCAGAAGCCTTTTGACTGTGCGTCTTGTTCCAGATTCGTCAACCATCCTGGTGCAGCATGTTGTGTAGAGGAGCAAAACGCTGTAAATACCCGTGTTTGGGCATGGATAGAGTAACCTGGTCGTAACCAACCCCCCGCCCCAATAAAAAAACCCAAACCGCTCCAAGAGTCTACGAAACAACCAGGTTTTTTAAGCGCCTGCCTCCTCCTGATCCCCTCTAGATTTAGGGTATTCAGGGTATCAGCAGAGGTGATTACATGCTTCGCCGTGTTTGCAAGCCTCTTACATCAAGTCTACACCCAAGCACCCTGAGCCGCATACGCCAGATGACCCTCGATGAGCCTTATTTGCGCATTATTTGGGCCTTACTTTCAGGTCGGGTGCATCTAGGGTGGCATATTCTTAACCCCTCCGCCATGAACTTCCTACATCATGAGCAGGTGCCTGGTACCACCTCCATCGGTGAGCCGGTCTACATGACTGGCCCAGCCGAGGTTTGCGGGGACTTCCTTTACTGTGAGCCTGCAGCCCGTGCTAGAATCAGGATCCACTGGATTTTTCAACATATGTTCTTATATAAGTGGACAATGTAATGTAACAACGTGGCCCTGCAGCCCCAAAGCTTTACATTGTCATTGAGGCCGACTGCCAGAGCTACAAGGGGCAGCAACCTCAAGCTAATCGCCCGACTGTTCATTTCGCAGAAGCTCAGAATCACCTGAAACTCCTGCGCAGATGCCGCCTGCGACTTATGCTCCGGCGACGCAGGCATGGAGCCCCCTGTATGAGGCCCAAGGTTCAAACCCTACTCGGGATTTCTGCTTGAGGCTTTGGGTCTTGCTGTGCTCGAGTGTACCTCCAACTGCAATCATGCAGCCCTACAACTGCATGCTGTACGCCTCCAGGTAGGCCCGAGAAACTCTTCCAAGTTTCCTCAGCATCCGTGTAGCCCAGCGCAGTAGGTGCCTGGCACCATGCCTGGTGCAGTGCCCGGCACCACCACGATTGGTGACCCTGTCTTCCTGCCACCCATCACCGCTCCAGCAGAGGCGCTCTCCGCGGTTCAGGGCATCGGCTTGAGTTAGGGGCCCCAAAACTACATAAACATAAGGGTCCTACTATTGGGGTACAAGGGTCCCTAGAGGGGGGGATTCCGGAACACCAGGTTTGAAGAATCCTTACGTTTATGTGGGTTTTTCTGAGGCCCCTGTTGAGGGTTCAACAGCCAAGGCTTAATTTCAGGGCCTCTGGGGATTCGCTTTGAGCTTAGGTGGTTGACCGCAAAGGTTACAAAGAAACTCCCTAAACCCCTACAAACCAGGACATACTAGGACCCAGAGTAGGCCCTTATTTCCTTTTTTAAGGTTTAATTGGTTCCCCTATAAACCTACTTAAGCCAAAAAGGGCACCCTTTTTGTTCCTAGGTTACTCCAAAGGGGCTCTTTTCACTCACTCAACCCTAAACCCGTAGCCCTAAACCTTCCAACCTCAGCTACAAATCCTAAACCACAAGCCCTCGACCCTAAATCCTGCGCCCATCAGCCAGAAGTCCCCTGAGTTCTCTACTCCTACGTGGAGGAGCTAGGGGTTTAGGGGTCCCTGGGCTCCTCGGTGCCAAGGCAACATGTGCTTCGGATGCTTTTGGTGGGGAGGTTCTGGCTTCAGGTTGGGTAAGTTTGGAGTTTCGAGGTCTATGCGGCTTCGGGGCTGGGGGGTTTCGTGTGAAGAAGGAGCACCGTCGAGAGGGTTGCGAGGAGAATTCCCAAGATGTTTGAATCTCCAGCGGGCAATGCAGGCTCCCATGCAGATGGCGCCTGGGCAGATGGCCCCGACCTATGGGGCCCCGCCGACGCAGATGGCCCCGGCGACATACGGCGCGCCGATGCAGGTGCCCTCAAGTGATTCTGGCCCCCAGTGCTTGCGTAGGCTGAACGCCTTCATCTCAAGCCGAGAACCCTAGACCCTAAACCCTAAACCCCAAACCCCCCAGGATCGGTGTGATCTCTTTGAGCCACCGGGTTGGTTTCTCCAGATTCCGCGGCTTCACGTGTCAGCTTCATCTGCTTGCCTTCCCCCATGGTAGCTGCAGCTGCAGCTCATGCTCCTGTTTAGGATTTAGGGTTCAGGGTTTAAATGGTTTAATGGTTTAGGGTTTAGGGTTTTTGGTGCAGGGCCATGACATGTTTGCAAGGCGTGAGATGGTGTGAGGCTTCTTGGTTTGCGGCCCACGGTCTGCACAGTGATTTTGTGCGCGCGTCGCTAGGCGGAATACCGTTTTCAGCCAGGTGCCAGGGACAGCTACCATCGGTGAGCCGGTGTACCTGCCTCCCATCACCGCGCCTTCCGAGGCCAGTCAACAGGGCATAGCTGCCTGATGAGATTCAGGATGGGGGGCCATAGCTTGTGTAGCTTCTGTCGTGTATGTGTGCTGTTGCACTGGCCAAGAGGCAAAGAAATTCAACCCGAACATGATTAAAGATGTTGTTGAGCGTATGCCGTGAGCTGTCTCTGCAAATAGAGCTGTTCAAAACGGCGGCTTCGATGTTGAAAGCCTCGACGAATCAGGGCGCCCCTCAGACGGCCAACGCCATGCCTCCGGGTGCTTACGCCTCTCCAGCCTACGCCCCAGCCTACGGCGCTCCGGCCTACGGCGCTCCTGCTCCGGCCTACGGTGCTCCGGCCCCAGCCTACGGCACATACGGCGCTCTGCCCACCACGATCCAGGCTGGGAATCTGTCTCATGTGTTTGTTGGTGTCCTAGCGAAATGAATGTGAGAGAGAGCGAGAGAGAGCGAGAGAGAGAGAGCGAGAGAGAGAGAGAGAGAGAGAGAGAGAGAGAGAGAGAGAGAGAGAGAGAGAGAGAGAGAGAGAGAGCGAGAGAGAGCGAGAGAGAGAGAGAGAGAGAAAAAAACAAAACAGCGAGAGGAAAAAAGAAGCGAGAGGGAGAGAGGGAGAGAGCGAGAGAGAGAGAGAGAAA